CAGCAGGAGGGCAGGAGGTGCTGCAGGCAGGCAGCAGCAGTTCCCCTGCAGCCTGTGCAGGGAGAGGCCCCTGGTGGAGCAGGCTGTCCCCCTGCAGCCCATGGGTCCCCCATGGAGCAGATCTCCACGCTGCAGCCCCCCCATGGGTGGAGGAGCCCCCGGTGGAGCAGGTGGATGTGGCCTGGAGGAGGCTGCGGCCCATGGAGAGCCCCTGCAGGAGCAGGCCCTGGGCCGGAGCTGCAGCCCGTGGAGAGGAGCCCACTCAGCTGCAGGGGTCTGGGGGGAGCTGCCACCCACCCATGGGCGACCTGTGCTGGAGCAGTTTGCTCCTGGGGGATGGATGGACCCCATGGGACAAAGCCGTTTGGGAGCAGTGTTTGAAGAGCTGCTGCCTGTGGGCAGCCCCTGCAGGCTCAGTTTGGGAAGGACGGCATCCCGTGGGAGGGACCCAACGGGGAGTAGAGGCAGAGTGACCATGAGGGAACAGCAGAGACAAAGCATCAGGGACTAATGGCAGCCCCCATTCCCTGTTCCTCTGAGCTGCTTGGAGGAGGAGGAAGGAGAGGGTGGATGGGGGGAGAAGGAGTTTTTAGTTTCTCACTGCTCTAACTTATTGGTAATAGGCAATAAATTACATTAATCTCCCTGTGCTGAGTCTGTTTTGCCCATGGTGATGATTATTAAGTGATGTCCCTGTCTTATCTCAACCCTTGCACCATTTTCATTATTTTTTCCTTTGAGGAGGGGGTGGGGAGTGAGAGCAGTTGTAGAGGAACTCAGCTGCCCAGCTGAGTAAAACTACAACCCTGTGCAGGCATTACTATGTTACATGGTGTATATAACATGTCTGCCCACAGCAGGTTATGGTGGCTGCCTTCTATTCTTAGCTGATGTCTGGTAATGCACTCAAACATCTCCTTCATGAAGTCATACATCAAGCAGATGTTCCTGATGAGCATCTAATGTGATAAAAAGCTAGTTTTTAGATAACCATATTACGTAGTTCTTGCAGCTAGCAATTTAGCAATTCAAGAATGAAATTCTGGACTGAGATCAAGAAAGTAACGTGCTTAGAACAACTCAAAGAGTCTGTTATGCCTGCACCATTTTCTTTTCATGCTTTTTATACATAAGAGGACTGGTAGACATCCAAGCTCTTCTCTTTCCTAACATAACATTGTTTATTATGAGATTCACAACACTTGTTTGGTTTTTAAGTTACATTTCCATTGCCTTCAACTCTTGCACTTTTTCATTAATGTAGATTGTCCATGTAACATGACAGCATTTTGAGAGATTTATGGTATTTGCCTTCTTTAGGCAAATATCTTAGAGATTTCTCCTAAAGAAATTTAAATCCATGACATCCCTTTCTGATTTCATCAATTTTTTAGTTTTCGAAATAGCTGTTCAAGCTCTGCAGCTAGTGCCCAAGTAACGTGAATAGAAACACAGAGTAACAAGAAGCTTTCACCATATCTGTGCCTTCAAATCTTTCACTATCCTAAATTGAACAAATTTCTGGAAGGATTGAAAACTTTTTTTTTTTTTTTTTTTTAACTGTTTTTTGACTAAGCTAGTCCTTTGAGGGGGAACTGTCTACACATCTTAAACAGCCACAAACCACCAAAGTCATTAAAAGCTAACAGTATCCTGAGAAATATGTTAATACTTCAACTGAAGAAGCTGAGGTCTGCTGGGCAAGCTAGAATAAAAATGAAAAGGTTTGAAATCTCTGCCCTCACCCAGCATATTTTTTGAAGCTTTCTGAGCTGTGCTGGGTCTGGCTGGGATTGGAGTTAACTTTCCCTGCAGCAGCCCATACAGAGCTGTGCTCTGCACAGTGTACCTAGAACAGCAGTGGTATCACACCAGTGTTGTGTCTACTGCTGAGCCCTGCTGGCACAGCATCAGGACTCCCTCCAGACCCAGCAGGCTGGGGGTGGGCAAGAAGTGAGGAAGGAACATCACCGTGCCAGCTGACCTAAACCAACCAAAGGGATATTCCATACCATGTGGTGCCACACTCAGCAATAAAAGTGGAAAAACGAAGGAGAGAGGAGGGGTGGGCTCTTGTTATGAAAACGCCTGTCCTCCTAAACAACGGGGCTAAGTGTATTGAGGCCCTGCTTCAAGGATGTGGTCAAGCATAGCTAGTTGGTGGGAGGTAACTTTCCTCTCTCTCTGTGCTTTAACACAGCCGTTGCTCTTTACCCCCCCACCCCCTTTCCTCTTCCCCTTTAAATTATTCAGTTTTCCCTTAACATTTTTTCCCTTAATAATTATTTTTCCTTTAATTAAATTATCCTTATCTCAACCTGTGAGGTGTTTTTTTCTTCTCTTCCTTTTCTGGGGAGGGGGAGCGATAGAGCACTTGTGATGTTCAGCTGCCTAGCAAGGTAAAACCACTGCATGAACTTGTAACAAACTCCATACAAGTCCTTTTTTTTTTTTTTTCTTCCTATCACCTCTGCCTCCCTCCAGCTCCCCTATTTTGCAGGCCCTGACTACGTTTGCCCTTTTCTGCCAACTCCCCTTCGCGCTCCAGAACCTTCCCAGACAAGCTCCCCAGTAAAGCATCAGTGCCAGCTTACTTCTTTTTTGGTGGTTTGGACCTGGCAGGACTGGATTGACAGCCACAACTCCTTTAAACAAAATGCAACGTACATTAGCAAGCAATGATCCACAATTACCACCTGTCAACATTTTATCTGGCCACATAATGCATCCCACAGCATAGAAAATAATAATAATAATAAAAAAATATTTTTTTATTTTTTATTTTTTTTCAGTTAAGAAAAAGTTGTCTGTAACTTGGCTTGGTCTTTATGGATTTTCAAAGCCTTCACTTTTCTTAGCTATTAGTTGGCATTTATCTTAGGTTCTACATGTTTTGCTACTTACGGAAGTTTCTTTGCAGTAAGTATTCTAAGACCATACATAAGATTTTTGAGGGAGTTAAGTTTATTGACTCTTCCAAAGAAGTCTGAAAAATGACAGTAAAAATACTAGCTTTAAAACAAAGGATGAAGGTGTTTTGTTTTTTTTTTTAAACTTTCAGGATCTTTACCATAGTGATTAAAATGACACCCTGCACCTAGCCTGCATTAACTCTCTCTGCTGGGCTTATCAGTTTGATTCATTTTGAAATGTTGGGAACTTCATTTGTTTAGGATAAAATGACCATAAAGAGGTAGAAATGTCTGATTTGCAGCATTCCTAATAGTGTAATTTCACATTTTTTGGGCCTCTACAGTGAATAAATCTTGTAACAAAACAGTAAAGGAACTAAAGTTCAAAAGTTCATTATACTACCTTGCTGCAGAAGGGTGCATTTTGATTGGTTTTGATTTTTAAAGCAGAAAATACACCTCAGTTTCCCTGAGACATTTTCTCCTTGAACACTTTGAATTTTGATAGCAAACACCAACTATGCTGAACGAGCAGCGTAAGGTAGCATGCAAACCTTGAATTCAGCAGTTCTTCCAAAATGATCTATGATTTTAAAACTGCAAAAGAGCCTCACTTAGAAGTAACTTGGTTAAGTGTTTGATATTTACAGATTTTCATTTTTTTTTTTTTTAATTAGGCACACCTCAGAGCAAGTCCCATGAAAGATGACCACATACACTTTGTCAACTCCTTGTAGCAATGTAAAAATATCATGCAAGACTATATTGCACCCAGATCAAAAACCACCTGACAAGAACATCTAATTGCCATCAGATGTATTTTAGTAACCTAACTTCAACCTAAATCTTATCCTGAAAGCATCAAACATAGAAATCCACATTCAATGAAAATTAAGCTTGATAGATGTCAACACTATTATGCTATTTTGAGGCCATACATTTTCTCTGACAGATTTATGAGAGGAACATAGGATTTTATTTTACTGATTTTTTTTTGTTGTTGTTTTTAGTGTCGGGGAAGGCTTTCCTCTAGACATTCATTGGAGAAGCACAAGCATGTTTTCAACCAAATAATCATACCTTCTGTGAAAGATGAACACATTTTGATACTGCTTTTGTTTTTCTCTAGATACCTTAAGGATTCCCAATACAGTTCAGAGAGAGTTTACTAGAAGCTATGCTGGTGATTTCGGAATGCCCTAACAGCTAAGAGGGCAAACCGTATTCTGGGGTACATTAAACACAAAACAGCCATCTGGTCAAAAGAGGTGATTAGAGGTGCCATTGTAATTAGTGCATGGGAATAGCATAAAGCTGAGGCAGGGGAGGTTTACATTAGATATCTGGAAAGATTCCTTCATTGCAACAGGCATCCTCGCAAGGTGGTTGATGCCCCATGCCTGTCAGTGTTCGAGAAGCATCCTGGACAATGCCCTTAGTAACATGCTCTAACTTTTGCTTAGCCCTGAAGTGGTCAGGCAGTTGGACTTGATGATCTTTGTAGGTGCATCCCAACTAGCTATTCTAATTTCAATTAAAATGGCTGCACATAAGGCCAAGACATCTTACTTTTGTTGCTGTGTCTGCATCTTAATTCCTTCAGAAATATAACATCAGTTTATAACTGAGTTTTGAACAGGAGCAATCCAATTCAACACAAGCAGACTTGCTGTTCTGCAACACACTGAAGTCAGCTGCTGAAGTCTTTTGAAATTCTCACCAGCTCTTATATGTAAATGGTAGCTCTTACTTCTATATAAATGCATATAAATGTAAAACAGAAAGAAGCAGGACTGTCTAGCCTGTCATTAATTATCTTCAGCACACTATCTACACCAGCAATGTACCTATCCTATTCAAACATTTTAGGACACAAGGAAGATCAGGCACATTATCATTATTTGTATTGGATACATGAGATGGATTGCCTCAGCATCAGCAAACCCCTTTATCATTTTTATGGCAGCAGAAATTCCTTCAGAGGAAAGAAATTCACACGTACCTCACTGTAAATCCACGTTTTGCCAGTTAAGAACATCACGTCCAGAACGTACCTGTAACTTCTTCCTCTGAAGGATAACTCATGGATTTTGGAGAGAAAAAAAAAGTAATTTATTTTCACTGCTTTAATCTCTCTACTGTAGTGTTACCACTTATGCATAAGCATTCACTCTTCTATTGTCCTATTTACAATCCACTGAAGTGTATACTCTACAAATACAATACATTTTCAGAAATGTTGGGAAATGCACAATTTTGTGAGGTTTAAAAAAGTGACACTCATCTGTACAGGATCCTCATATTTATCATCTAAAAAGTAAAATTTACAAGGCAATATACACACAGCTATATAAAGGGCAGGTGTTACATTGACAAAGCAGCAAACTTGCTAACACAATACAGAAAATGAAAGTGTTTGGGGGAATGAGACAACACATTTAGTACCGCTGAATTTACTGTTGTAAATTTAGTAATACCCATATTTCTAGAAATATGTAACTGCAAATCTGGAGAATATTTTGAAAAATATTAAGCATTATATACACGAGGTAAATGTACCTTGATCGTTTAAGAGGTATTTTGAGTTTAAAGCAACTGATATAGTGATATATATATTTTTTAATGTAAAATGATTAACACCTTGCAATCATTTCAATGGAACGATACAAACAAGGAACCAACTAAACAGTGAATTTCATGGCAGTCACACTCAGAACCATTACTGAAAACTATAATATAGCCTCTTAATCATTTGACACCTTCATGTCCCGATACAGTCAAACCCAATGTCTTTACCCTATATACAGAAGTCTTTCTTAGGATTACAAGTGAAACCATAGGAGGGTGACATGTTTGGAAAGTCAGCTTGAGAAACAACCCAGAAATCCAGCTTTTAAAGTTGGAAGGTCCCTGAAGAATTCCAGCATTCCAAAAGCAACTTTTCAGGCTTTTCAGCATCAGACCATTTCCAATGCTCCTTATTCTCCATGTCCTTATGCGTCCACTTAGCCATTGAGGCTTCAATGCTACTAATATATTGACTGAAATTGACTGAAGTGATTAAACTTAAGTGAATGTTTAATGTACAATAAACATTTGTATCAATATTCATCAAAATGTTTTGGCATATACTTGAAATTATACAAAATTAGTATTTTGAATGCTAAAATATTTTGGTCCCCCTGGATTTCCAAGAGCAGATCTAGTGATATTACAATCTTAATTTAAAAAATACTTATGTGTACCTGTGTCCATATATATAAGATATGATCCTTACACAGGTAACATTTAAAGTTACATAATATATACAGACACAGCCTTTGTAAAAGGTGTTCAGTTTATATAACGTAAAAAAAAACCAACAAAACAAAACAAAAACACAGCTTGAAGTTGTGGTATCAGAACTGAGCACACACAACTCTTATTCAGAGTTTTCCTGTTCTGCATTCCAATGTGAATAACATGGTTGGTTGTTCAAAATGATGTTCATAAGGTCACATACTGCATCAAGTGTCCTTCCTGTGCTTTGTTTTTGCAAGCTTCTATTACAAAGTTAAAAATTAGAACACAGGAATTGCTAAGCAATTCAGGAGAATGAAGAATAGTAGGTGGTTAGATGAGTACAACTGACTGAATAATCTGCATGCCATTATGCTCTTTAGGTGCCACATATTCTAAGTGCTATAGAACTGCTCCTTACATTTTTGGAAAGTAAACGTTATGGTGACAAGATTTTGTATGTGGTAATTACCACCTCTCTCCTCCCCAAATTAAGTTATCTGATGAATTAGACTGGAAACTCTCACACAATACCATTAAGATTATTACACAGATCAGAAGCATGGTGGTAGCTTGATGCTTCCGAAGTATGAACTATACCATTTGTATCTAAATGTATTTAGTAAAGAACCAGGTAAAGAAAGGTATTGCAAACTCAAATTTTAAGAAAATTAGTGTTTAAATAGGAAGCCTTTGAAATTAGTACAGAGCTAATAGTAAGTCCTCCTTCAATGCTGACCTGCTTTCTTTAAATATTTGTTTAGATATATAAAACTTGTTAGGGAAGCATACCAAGTAGGTAGAATGGGGAGTTTAGTTATTATAAAGTCATAATTGGAAAACTCTGTGGTGTACAGCTGACTATTTGCATAGAAGCAGAGTTTATTTAAAATCCTCAGGTGAAGTCACTTTTGATTCAACTTTGCTTGATATAGGCCAGAAAGCATGACTGGGAGGTTAATGCCAAAAGACCTAAGTGTAGCAGTTGTACATACATTTAAACAATTTTTTTCTGCTAAGAACTTCCCTTTTATTTTTCTCCTGTTCTCCCAGATGAGTAAACTCATCCATAATGGTGGCTGAAGAAAGTATTTCACTGTTTGCAGTTCAACCTCTGTCGATTTGTAATTCCCACATCAATTCAGCTAGCTCCTCTCCATGCAAGAATTTGGAAATGCAAGAGTTAGTGAAATGCTAACGCTAAGCCTTGGCAAAATCTTTTGCTACCTACATAGCCTCTTTTTACTGCTGTAACTACTACGTGTAACAGACAAAGGAATACAATCTCAACTGTGCTCCTTTTCGCAACCACCTTGCCGAATAAAAAGGGAGCAGAATTAAGGTTTCCCTGTATGTGCTGCATACTGAGAAGGGTATTGATGTACTCTAGAGAGTAAGAACTTAACTGTTAGGTTGCATATTAATTACCAGGCACATTTACATACAGAAATCCTACCAGACATTAATGATACCAAAGGTCAGCCAGATTCTTCCTAATATTGCTATTAAAATGATATCCTGGAGACAATAGTTTTAAAGGTTTCCACATGGATTCCCCCATTCCCCTTCAGAAGTTATAAATTGCAGAGAAAACAATTCAATTTTTAAAAATTGAATTTTGTAAAAATCTTGTGATATCCTTACAATTTCAGGCAAAACTTGACTAAAGCCATGCATACTATTCTGTCTTCTTATGACGACACAAGCCATCATAAGCATTATTTCTGTAACTATGAAGATGACAGATGGAGCCCCCTGGTATTTGTATCCAGAGACCTTCAGCTCATCCCTTTCTGTGTATGTGGCACACACAAAAAATATGTAAATAGGATGTGTAAGCAACTTCTAACTTTCTTGTTCAAAAGCCCAAATAAGTTCTCCCCAGTTAAAGGTGCACTTAATCCTCATTTAATTGAATTAAAAGTTTGTTTTTTTTTTCAGCCTAAAGACTGTAGAACTGCACAGCAAGCAGACTGTTCTTATTTAAAGGAGGAAAATCTCCCTTAAAAACATCTTAGTCCTCTTCCTACTTTTCTTAAGTAGATGGGTACTTCAAGCATTTTAAAAGTACCACTTGATAGAAAAAAAAATCTTACATGTAATTATGACTTATGACTTGATAATTACAAAATATGACAAGTGAATTATTAGCTTAAACAGTGACTAGCTTACATGGTTTGAAACTCCTACAGTGGTTTAAAGAGTCAGGTTTTGGTAAAATTAAAGATATTCCACAAAACATATACTCACTGTAACAGGTGTGAATTAAGTCTTAGGGAAAGGAACAGTTGAGTTTTTAACTTGTATTTTTGAAACCAAAAGTACCATAGGCTTTGTACACTCCTACTGTTTTGCATTAAAAGACTCAAAAGTAGCACTTACTGGTATAATACAATCTATTTTGAAGGCAATGTAGTGTTCTGAAAAAATGGAAAAAGTAACAGCAATCATGTATACAGTTGCATAAATTATGTTCCTCACAACCAAATGAGGTCAATTTGCAAGTCTAAGTAAAAGTCCAAAAGACATACAACCTTAATAGCTAGCAAAGTATACTCCAACGGTACATTCAAAATCTGAATCTAAGAACCATCATGGTGGTTCAGAATAGTCAATGTACCAGCCAGGAATAATGTTGCTTAAAAAGCCATCAATGCACTCTAGAACAATATAGTGAACCAGTTCCATTTTAAAAGTGATCTCATATTTTTAGCACAGTTAACTAGAAGTTAAGACCAGCTATGAACTTTCCAAATAAAAAAAATAGAGGTTAATAAAAATAAAACTAGACTACATGATGTTTTGTAAGTAACCTTGAGAAGAGGTTCATAGTGCACAGACAGGACCCAAAACAACTGTTTAGCATGTCCACAAAAATCCTAGTAAGTGACGTTCCTATGAAGTATTAAAAGGCAGCAATATCCTTCTGTTCCCCCAATGAGGTAGAACAATTAATGTTCTTAACATGCCACTCCGGTGCAGATATGGATTTTTACAGTATTTTCGGTAGCAAATCCAGGATTACATCTTTATCCCCTCCTGTTGACTAAGCTGTGATAATGTTTTCTTAATTCGCAAAGCTGTTAGCCTAGCAGCTCCGTTGGCATACCAGCATTCCCGCATGATTTTCGCCATTACTCGTAATGCCTGCAAAGGAAAGACAAGTAATTACATGCAGTTCTGTTCCTATGTAATCTCTATTCTGCCTTAGTCTTTTACTGTACATACTTCTGAAGTCTATTGTATTACTAATACTAAAGCTGCATATTGTACGTGTAGAAGAAAACTCAAATTCTTAAAGTTTTTTTTCTGTAAATAAATCAATATAAGGAGAACGCTAGTATGCTCCAGTGCAATTTTGGCTCACACAAAAATATTTTAATGAAGAATTGGTAGCTTTTCTGTGACAATTTTCTAAATCTTTGCATTAGACAAAATATACTCATTCTTAAATTCAGTTGAAAAGCAGTAGCAAAATAATATAAAGCACTCGTTATTAGCACAGAAGTGGCATGTAGCTGGGAATATACTCAATGATTAAGTGTTTTTCAAAGAGTTAATTGAATGTATAGCTATTCAGCACTTGTTATCACATATTCCTTAAATTGAAGCTCTAAAATACTCTGAAAACTTCTGGAGCCTTTTTATCCTTCTGATAGCCATTCTTTGAAATCCTTGAATGCTACTATCAAGTAATAATGCAAATAACAAAAAATAATGATGAAATAAATTAATAGGTACACATTCCAGATTACATACTGTATGACAAGGAACTGCTAAGTAAACTTATAGGGTTGGAACAACAGCATTTGAAGTGATTCTGTAAGTCTGTGGGTGTACATTGGTTCTCTCTCTCACTGTGACAAAAGTTGGCTGGAAAGGCAAGAGCTCACAGTTGTGCATACTACTGCCTGCGCCCTGGTAAGCAGTGACTACCAGTGCAATAAACTCACTCTAGAATCAGGCACAAGCACATCTAGAGAGGCATGATCAGGAGCAGTTGCTATATGCATACCTCAGTTCTATGTCTCTGGTTTATGTTAGACTCAGCTTCCTAATAACTGTGCTTGTATTTCAGTAAGTACATAAGTACAAATTCTGAGACAGATGAACTGTTAAGGCCACTACAGTCTTGGATGAAAATTCTTAAGGGCACTTACTATTTTGGTCAGTCTAAATTCTGCAGGATATACCTCTACCACAACATGATAGGGAAAAGGTCCCTGAGTTAATTCTAAAGGGACTTGAGCATTCACGTGAGAATGGACAACACTGTTGAAGATACCATTTGTATTCCAACAAGCAGTACTACTACTGGGCTGGCAGAGCCAACCTGAAACCAGCAAGCTTTTAAAAAAGTTAACTAGCCAGCCTAGTTATAAATGAATGGGCACAGACCTATTAAGAAGCTACACATTTTTTCCTGATTCATGTCTTCCTTACTCTGGCTGTGAGTTTACCCTTATAGGCAGCTAACTCCCATATAGCTGCTTGTTCACTCCCCCCACAGTGGGATGAGGAAAGAAAATGAGAAGGGCAAAATCAAGAAAACTTGTCAGTTGAGATAAACACAGTTCAATACAGGGAAAAAAAAGTGATACAAAAGCAACTGCTCACCACCAGCTGACCAATCCCTAACTAGTCCCTGAGCAATAGCAGCCCCTGAAAAACTGTCCCCCTGCTCAGAGTTTCATTGTTGAGAATGACATAAAGTGTCATGGATGTATTCCCTCCTGATCTCGTGTCCACCCCCAACCTATGTGCTGCAGGGACAGGGTGAGAAATGGAGAAGGCTTTGATGCTGTGTAAGCACTATTCAGCAACAGCTGAAGCATCAGTGTGCTATCAACAGTTTTGGTCAAAAAAACACAGCACTATACAGGCTGCTATGAATAAAATTAACTCTGTCCCAGCCAGATACAGTACGACCCACTGTTACACGATTTATTTACAATGACGCTTCCTGGATAATATAACTCATACTGGCTTTAATTTATATTAGCTTCAGAAGAAGGGATCCTAGAACATAAACTATATTTGTAATTGTGGGACTTTATTAAATATTTATATATAACCAAAGTTCAACAACATTTGATAAAGCCACAACCGTTAGAAAGAAATTATGTTTACAGAGGCAACCCTTCTCCCTTTAACAACAAGCACAATTTTTAAGCCACTAAAATCAATAAAAGCTCCAGCGACCACTAAAACAGCTTTAGAAAGGTTAGCCAATACCTCGCAGCTCTGCCATCTGTTTGGAATATTGGGCCTTAACTTCTGCTCACAAACAACTTTCCTCATTTCTTCAACAGAAGGATCTGAAGGAACTAGGTCATAGTATGGCAACTGGTAATCTTCATGGATTCCTGTAAAAGGTTGAAAAAAAAGTTATTTTAGTTAACGCTAAATTACATATTTTTTACTTCTAACTTAGGTGCTCCTTATCAGTACCCACCATTTTCTTTTTCTGCTTTTATTTTTAAAAGTTAATTACAATGACTGACAAAATTAAAAAAAGAATCCATAAACATTTCTCTTTAATTTGTAAGCTTATATATTTGGAAAAGATGAAAGCTATGTCACATGATATGCTTTCAAGAAGTGTCTTTAGTATACGATTAATAACGGTGTTTTATTTAAAATAAGCTATGTACATTATCTGAACGCATTACGTCTTATGTGTTTGTCCCTTGCTCTCAAGGGCATTTAACTTAACCCCTTTCTCCTCCTTATGTGAAAGTTTTCAGAGAAAAAAATAATACAGACAGGAATATTTCCTGTTTTCTTTGGTATTTTTCATTATTTTACACAAGGGTGGAATAACCAGTCATCATTTACAAGATTAATGATCATAAAATCTGAGAGGCACTGCACTGTTTTTAGAGAAAATTTTCTCAAACTTATGCAGGTTCTGTAAGTTACTTATAATTCTGTCCAATTTTATAGATTGCAACATACCACCGATTGAACATCGCCGAGCTATTTCCCAAAACACTAATCCCATTGCATAGATGTCTGCTCGTTTGAATGATTCAAAATGTTTCATATTTATGGAATCATCTAAAACTTCAGGTGCCATGTACCTGTTTGCAATAAAAGAATAGAAAACATTTAATTTCATGAATACTTACTACAGAAGTTCAGTATTACTGTTCAACTCATAAACATTTATGTGGAAAAGGAGACAAACTCAGAGAAATAATGCACTTTACAAAGACTAGGATATTCAAAGCTTTTCTGCTCTTGGCCTACACATTTCCAAAAATCAATGAAGTGTTCAGATAAACATCCGTAAGATGTAATGTAGTCTTCAACAGGACTTGGAGAATAGTTATGTCTGATTATTAACAATACATGCTTCACTATTTAGAACACAGTATGTAAAGAAAAATGAGTGTCAATTTAAGAGCAAGGGAATGGAGCATAGAGGACTTGGAAAATTCTGAGCTTTCAAAAAAGATGGACAAAAAAAAAGAAAGTAGCAATAGAATTCCCACATAAAAAATACATGGGCTGCAGTTCACAGGAAAGATAGATGTTCTTTGTATAGAAGAGAGCAGATCAGCATGAAAATGGATTTTTGGATATAAACACTTCTGAGGCACAGGGGAAAGGACCTGCAGGAGATAATACTAACTTGTAGTTGTAAGGGTATGTGGAATATGAGAACATCTGCCTCATTAAGGTTATCCAACCAGAGACCTTTCAGAACAAAGGACATAAATAAACAGAAGGCAATATGCAAAGAAATAATGGAGAATAAGTAAAAGGTGAAATGATAAACAAAAAGAAACAAATTTGGTAGACATAGGGTAACAAAGACAAAAGCAAGACCAAAAGTCTCCAGTCACTAATTGATGGGCTATTAAGAAAGTCCAGGCATAGCTCTGGAGAAGGCCAGTCTAGACTCTGTAGCTGGGAAACAAGAGGAACATGAGGATTGTGGATATTCAAGGTGTAACGTGGGATTATGCAAAATTTATCAAGGAATGTTTAAGAGAATGGAATCCAGGAGGAACAAAACTGGGTGAAAAAAAGCCTAACAAAGGGGGCAGGCGCATATAAACAGTTGTTAGTCTGCTTTTCTGTAACTGCTCATTAGTGTATTCTATCTTCTTATTAACGCCCCCTTTTTTTAAAAACTATTATTCTATGTAATATCTCACTCACCATGCCACCTGCATATGTGCTCTAAAGACTACATGCCACCAGTTAGAGATGGGCATGATTCAGGGCCAGCAACTGGAACCAGACCAGGAATGAAGCTGCCACTGGGCCTAGGGAACCATCAACAGTACTGTCTCAGCAGCAGCAGCAGCTGGAGGAGGAACTAACGATCCTAGGAGTGCATATCCAAAGGTCTTAGGAGCAGATCTAGAGTGTCATCTACTATGGGAGGACCACTGTGAATGAATTATGAGCCAGAAACTCAACTGCATTTAGACAGTGGGTGAAGGCATCTTTGGGACTGTGTTGCCAGCAGCATAGCAAGTGGTAGTTGTCTTACTGCCAGTGCCAGTCACTGGAACAAATGAAGATCTCTGCTTCAGCCACTGGAGTAGGACCACAGGTCACAGGGCCCACAGTCACATGCTCACAGGAACCAGCTACTGGGGGACTGGAGTGAGAGCCACTTAAAACATCCCCCTAACAAGTCAAAGCCCTGAACACATACGGCATCTAGTTAAAAAAGGCAGCACTGTTAAGTGTTCCTTGGAAACAAAGGCTTCCCTACCTTGCGGTAACTGATTCTTCATAATACAATCAGTATGTCCTGTCATCAACCAACACACATTTCTTGAACATGTCAGGCTTTTTTTTTTTTTTCTCCTTGAATAGTAAATCCAATTCAGGTTACATGCTCTAACAACTGTGCTGAGTTGACCTTCAACATTCCCTACAACAGAAAATCTATTGTAGCCTTTCGATTGAGAGAGACTGAAAACTAGTCATGATATCCAAACAAATTAAGTACTATGTCACTGCAGAACTCACTGAGTTAGTGACAGCAGCACGTCCACAGGCTGCTAGAAAGAATGTGAATAGTATTTATCAGTCAGAAGTTGCAATATCGCTTTCTCAATCTTGTATAACTCTTGCAGCTAAATCCAATATGTAACATCTAGCAGACTCTAGTGTGTTTTTCCACATCATTGCCTTGTCAATCTCAACCTGGTGTATTACTGAAGAAGGTAAGCAAATGACACCAGGGCTCTGGAAAACACCACCATTAATTGGCAAAAAAGCAACAAGCATAGATTACTGTAGTGGAATACAGTATTAGCCAACAGATCAATCTCTGAAACTATCATAGAAGCTTGTGCACAATTTTATCCAATCAATGTAGTACAACAAAGTCCTAAATACTACTGAAAAGTCTTACTAGATCTGTTTTTAACTCCTTCTAGCTCCAGGCAGCAGACAAGACTGACTGCTTAGAATAAACATCATGATATCTTCAGGAATAAAGAGTCAGCTTATTGTCTCAGCATTACTGTACCCTATGAAAGTGACATACAAAGAAGCAAGGGCTATCAACTAGAGAGCAAATACTTGTTAGAGTAGTCCAGAATTTCAGTAAGGATTGCTGATGAGAGAATTCTCCTAAGCACTGTATAGGCATATGAATTGCTCACATGTGATAACACAAGCTGAGGAGGACAATTGCCTGAAGAAGTACATATGGTTTACCTTGACAGTATTTACTGAAAGAAAGGCAGTCTTAATGTGTCAGTCCTTGACATGGACAAGACTGAAACTATTCTAGGCCACCTGTATCAAAAACTTTTTAATCAAGAAGCACGCAAGACAGTTGTGTGTGCTTTCCTTATCTCTGCAAGGACTTTGCACACATATATTGGAATTTGTTCTTATGCTACTTCATGTACTTGACAATATAGTGATCAGCTTTAGGTCTAGAAGAAAAAAATCTCTCATCCATCTCAAGATCACACAGGGACAAGAAGAGTGATGGAGCCAGAAGCAGAAGGGAAAAAGCATAAGCCAAAAACCCCAACCATGCTGCAAGTCTGTAAGTCGTAATTGCTTATATAAACAGTAAAAGGAGACTGTCTACATTTCTGTAAGTCATCTTAAGCACAACGGTTTTATCAGAAAAAAATAAAAGAGGTCTGACTGTAGTAATGAAGCTGAATTCAAACCCTCAAAGGAGAGGGAGAAAAAAAAACACAAATGAACAAACAAAACAACAGCAACCAACCATCCAAAAAAAACGCCAACCACCTCCCTCCCCAAAATGTGCCTTCCACTGAATTTATAGGCAAACTGACTTTGTATGACCTTCCACCAATGCAATTAAGATTGGTTTTGGCTTCACTAGCAACTCAAAATGGTGACTGACTAAGATTATTGCTGGAGGCAAAACACAAGTAGATCACCTATTTCTATTGTTTCATGGGTATTAGACAAAACAGAAAAATGCATTTCCTTGTCAACTTTCATATTGTAAACACACTTTTCACTGACACAGTATTTCAGGTTCTGAAGAGAACTATTCTACACGGACTAATTTTGACCTTCTGAACAAGGTCTGCAGGTCAATATCCTCCAAGAATGGAATGATCGGTCTACAAAGGAGTTTACAAACAATGCTGAGCATAGCCTCGTCAAGCTTTGGGAGCCTGCTGGTTTTCCTCTTGTCACACTCAGTCCGACAGCTCTCTATTCATTTCCACAAATTCTGTGAAAGCTTACAGGGAGTGGAATAGGACCCCAAAACATGTTAAACGTGACATTTCTCTTCACCACACCTGTTCTCAAGCACAGCTAGAATTCCACTCATGCTGAGGTTAGGTAAACTGCAGAAGATCGCCCATGCTAAGGTATAATTTACAACTGAACTGCTTCTCCAGATTAAACACAGCCAGTTTCAACTACCAGAAGTAACAGCTGGGTTACACTTGTTTAAAAGGGAGGGTGGGATTTTATTTCCTCCTCAGTTTAAAGCTCACATTCCCTGCTTTATGCTATACTGCAAAAAGCACGCATTTCACATCCCCTGATGAAGCTAAGTCTCTGAGCAGAAATAAAGATTCGTTCAGCCAGAGAGAAGAATCAGTCCAATCAGTAGCTAGAGCACTCACCTGAAAATGAGTCTTGCTTGCTCCCTAGACCATGTTTTACTGTAGACAATCACTGGAAAAACATGAGCTTAGTCAAGCCTCTCTGAACTTGCATACAGAGCTTCCACGCGCAGAAGAGATACCAACAGTGGTACCCATCAATGGGAACAAAATTGTCATTGAACAGATAAAAGCTGAGCTTCATTATGGAAAAATAAGCAAAGATGCAGAGTTACTTACCTAAGAATACACAAGAGGGAGGAAGAAGGGACCAGCCTTTTATGAGAATGAACAATTTTCAGAGAAGTAAAAGTGACTAATGTCTGAAGTGGGCAGTGGACTTAGTCCTGCTGCTGCCCACTGCAGTAAGAGAGTTGGTACACCTTCACCCTTGTGAAGAAGCATGAGGCAATGATTAGTGGAGACTTGAGAAGGAATAATGCCCAGTATTTTCTCATCTAGTAAAAATTCGTAAGTCTCATCTGTTTGTGTAGTTTTTAAAAAAGTGGGTAACAGAAGAAGAATAGCAGAACTTTAGAACAAAGTAATCTCAGCAATATAATTGTCAGTGAAAACAATTTTCAATACAAATGCAAAAAGCCTTGTTCACTAAACCCCATTTTTCTCCCCCAAAAGCCACAACTAAAGCTATACCCTAGTTCACTGTAACATCCCATTCACACATACACATGTGCAGTATCACTCACTAAAGAGATGTCAAAAGAAAGAAAAACATTTTTGAATGTGAGGATTGGGAAACAGGCAACATCAACACAGGATTTTCTCCACTGCAGTTAGGGCATATGCAAAAGTTAATCTTGCACAACCCTGGACCACGGGACTTCCACACATTTCTCAGCAACAGAAATTTTAGTACAAGTAGGATCACTGACTAAACACAGAAGCTATAAAGAAGTGCTATGAACCAGCTCTCAGGAGTTCTTCTGAGAATGAGAAAAATTCTTATTTCCAAATTCAAAGGTAGGCCTTTAAAATAAAAGGGAGCATCCTCACTCACCCATTGATAACTATTTATGCAGTAGATGACAGACAACTACCTTTTTAAGCTCTTGTACTTCTCTAAAGAATATATTTCCACAAAAGCCCACATTTGCAACTCTGCACTTTGTTCTATCACATAGGCTTCAAACTAAACAAACAAAAAACCCAGCTTTTTACTTTCACTGTCAATATCCTGTCTTATGTCACGAGACTGTGCTGCAGGCAATAATTCCATGCAACAAAGCAGAAAGAATAAGATATAGCAAACGAAGTCTCTACAATCACTATTCATGAAGTCTCCTAGTTGTTTTTAACATACACTTCTGCCCTACTACAATTTGCACATTTTTGACATTTTTCAAATTCCACTATAATAAAACCCAATGTTCAGCATGCGCTTTCAGTACAGTCTAACCAAATCACTAGCTGGAAGAAAGGGCCACAGAACTGTACCTGCCATTATTGACATTTTTTGCTAATTATATTTGTAGCTAGAAAAATCCTCTAAATGAAAAAAAAAAGAAAGCAAAGCATTTCATTCTAAAAATCACCTAATACATCATACTAATGATTTTTACCTTTTTGTTCCTACTCTGTGGTTGGGGGCAATATCAATTGTGTCTGTAGCTGAATCATGCCTAACTGCCAATCCTAGGTCTGCAATGCAGCACGTTCCATTCTTTTTTACCAATATGTTTTTTGATTTCAAATCTCTGTGGGCAATTGCTGGTTTGCCTGTGAAGGAAAAAAAAATAGTAATGACACATCTGTAAAAAGACAATAGCTGGTATTGCGAATCTGATGCAGACTGAGATTAAGGAATCCCTTCCCATTCCACCACTTTGGGCTCATCAAGGTAACTCTTGAAATCATTCATTGTGGAATAGCTGGTTACCCAGAAAAGTGTCTTGTTCCGTGTATGTACACAAATACTACTTGCTGGCAAAATGCTTTTACTATCTCTGGAAATAGACCCACAATGTTGTCACAAATCAAAGTTAGGGAGATATGACAGGCACTATAGATGTTTTGTATGAATGATTATTACATCATTGTGACCTGGATACACCACAGAAAGGAAGATAAAAAACCCAAACCCCCAGAATCCCTCAGCAGATCATCAGTTAAGCAGATACAAAATGTGTCAAGACTACTAGAAACTTCACATAATTTTTAACTGTAGGGGACTTTATGACTGTTTTGTTTTCAAGCTTTGGAAGAAAAGCAAAAAGTGTTCTGCTTTAATAACAGAAGAGCAACTATTTTAGCATGTAAAAGAATGGGGCTGGGGGTGAGGGTTGAGGGAAAGGGCATGGCAATTGAGAAGAAAGGGAAAAGCCTAATAGTATAAATCATATATTTTTGGAAGTTTACCATGTATTTGTTTAGTAGTGGGAGAAAACTTATTTTCATATTGTCCTCAGTAGAAACTGATACTGAAACAGTATCAGTCTATATTATATTAAGAACTTATATTAGTTCAGAAATTATCACAGACTGACATTTTTCAATTCACTCAGCTCCTCAAAAGATTAACCTCACTATCAGTGCTGTGTTCAGATGCCTTCTCATCACAAAAACAAGCAGCTGTGTGCAAAGCAGCTACACCCTAAAAGAGTTTGATGTTCTAATTAAGAAGAGAATTACAATAGAAAAACATGTATGTGCTATTTAAAAAAAATCTAGTATTATCCACTGGACAAACTGAAGAACTGTAAGATTACCTTGTGTGCCCACAATTTCCATGTGAAGATGAGCAAGGCCACTGGCAGTGGATAAAGCTAGTTTTATCATTCCTTCCACAGTTACTGTATACCTGTTCAGGTAATCAAAGAGCGACCCATGTTCATGATAGTCTGACACCAACCACAGCTGAGTCCACGTACCGTTGTCTGCAAAATAACATTGGCATGAATACCGCATACCCCATACATACCAGTTTTATACAATGCTTACAAGTTACAAACTCTCTTGCAACCTCAGCCAATTGGACTTGAAGTCTTTACTTCTGTCTCTTTAACACTTAAATGCCACCTTAAGGGCTGGGCCTACCAATGTGCAATCTGAACAGCTTAGGGAATATTCTTTTCTTTAAACTAAAAGACAAACCGCGGAAAGCTAACGCCACTATTGTTCATAGGTGACATTATTGGTGAATAGTTATTCAGGTTATTTAGTCAGGCCCTGCCTTCCCCTAACTCTTCTGCTTGGGGAACAATGCTGAATACATGATGCAAAACTAACACCACCAGTATCTGAACTGTGAGCCAGACAGGTTGTAATACATTTACAAATATCTGAAGACATACAAGCGAGATGCAACAGCTAAATTGTTCAAATTATTAAAACAATGGACACAAAATATCTTGAAGTTGAGGCTACTGAAAGATACAACATAAAAATACAAACAAACAAAACAATCAGAAAACCTAATAAAAGCAACTCCAATGGTAGATCCAACAAGTGTTTTTACAGCTACTTTGTAGAAAAGCCTTTAATCTCTTTCTATGGGATAACTACTCTTTAACAATTTCTGTTGGACTTTCTATCCTGGTTTATACAGCCATTCTCTAATAACAAGTGAGAAAACAGCATAAGCTAAATATATGAAGAACTAAATCAGAAGAATAGGAAGAAGTGAATTCAGAAATTAGTTCCTATCATAAACATACTGATGAACAAACTGGAAAGTCTAGTTTCCAAATTGGAGGGTCTTATATTTCTTTTCCTTTTCCTTCAATCCCCTCACAAGTACATGTAGCTCAGAAACATCACATAGGCACACAACGATCTACAGATCAAGAAATGCTGTATTTACTCAAGCACCTGTGGCTGGCAGGGAAGACTTTAAAGAATCTCTTCTACTTGGACATCTGTATGGAGGCTAGAGTTACCATTAAAGAAAAAGGTAGTAAGTAGTAATAAGAATCAATAGAACACTTCAGAGTAGGAAAACAGAAGTCTAATCTACATTCAACCAATTCTTACAATAGAAAGAATACTGACTCTGTACATTCACAACTCAGTCTCAACTAGGTTTTGTTTAAACAGATGAAAGAAAGCAGACAAATGCCCTGACTGTAAAACACTGTTGGAAAGCTGCTACTGCAGTGGGAAGACCCTTAAAACATATCCGCAGAAGCAATTCTTCAATGCTTCATCAGTTATATCCCCACACTGCTAACTTCTCTATTTATTGTTGTCTAGTTTTAACACACAATGAGAAGTCCCATTCATATGAAACATGAGAAGTCAAATACAGGATCAAACAACAGGTATGTGTATAGTGTTAAAGCCCAGGCACTGTTTCAGGCAGAGATACCTAAACAATTTATTTTAAGCTGTGTACTGACCTATGGCATTTAAATAGATCTTTCAAAGACATTAGACAGTTTCTGAAGCATTATCATGGCTTTGAAACAAGATTATATTGTCTATGCATAAAATTTTTTACTTCTGAACTCTAAGTTTCTAAGAAGAGAACACACTACTAATTATAGATCACTCTATTTCCTTATGTACAACTTTATTATTTACCTTCAAATTTTAATATTTAGTTTGTTTTTATCTTTTTTCCAAAGAAGAAAAAATAAAGCTTGTATCACTATCCTTTCCGAAAAATGATGATTTTTTGTATTATGTATTGTTTGTGGATACCAAACAAGAATTTAAACAAGCCATGGTCTTACATCCAAGCTTACACAAATATTATTTACAGACAATCTGAAATGCAGCAATAATTACATCACTGTTCAGCTATTAGATGGAACCTACTACAATATCTCCACCTTATTAAATTTGACCAACTATACACGTATTTATTCAGTGGTATAAGCAGAACCCAAGCTATGAACTTAAAGTCTTCTTATACTGTTGATAATGTGGTTAATTACTAGTGACTTGAATATTTTGGTTTTGCAGTAAACAGCATCTGCTGTGAAGTTTTCAACCACTGCATTTGCATCATCAGGTATGAAAAAGTAATTATACACAGTTATAATTATATGCAGTAGAACAACTTTCCAAGACAAGGTAATCTAATTTAGCAAACACAGTTTAATCAAGAGTCTCATGCAATTTCAAAATGTTCAAAAATATTACAAGAAACTAGGTATCTTCAAAAAAACCCAACCAATTTAAAAGTGCTTAATTATAGTTATTTAATCCATCTATGATAAACAATATTTTCAGACCATCAAAATAACTCTAAAGCAATAAGTTTATTTCTCTCTTCAGAATTTTCTTATTTTGTTAGACTTGTGAAACATTCAGATTTATCGTTAGAGCACTGGTTACAGGATGTGAAAAAACATTAGTGAATTCCAAGCAACGTTCATTTTAGACAAGCTCCCTCTGGAGAGCAGAATTCATTACAATTACCTTAGCAAATCTATGTAATGAAGTTTCAACTAAAATTGAATTCACTGATTGAATTCACTAAAGCATTTTTCACATCATTACTAAATTATTTTTCAAGTTGTTACTCTTACAACAAAAATTTGGACACATGTATGCTTGTCTTAAAGCTAAACCCTAACTAGGTTTTGAAGTCCGACAGTATTGTCTGGTAACTTTGAACCCAAGATTTATGCTCCAAGTTGAATATTTAAATGAAGCTTAAAGTTTAAGAACTGCCTAATTGCATATTTCTCTAGTATCACATAGTAAAATGTATCCTACTCTGTACTTTGAAACTAACCTTTCTTGGCATGCAGATAATTTAAGGAAAAAAAATGAGGAAAATGAATAGTGGTAAGATCAGTTACAGTGGAATCCTTAACTGTAAGACTCCTAGAAATGAGATATTCAGGCAGTTGCTGGGATAAGACCATTGGAGCTGGAAGAGAACTTCAGCTTTTTCTTTTTTTAAAACGTGTAAAAGCTTGATTATCATATAGATAATCATCTGATTAAATTAATGTAAAACACTTGAGTTGTGTAGATTAGCAAGACCTTCCTGTCGAATGCCTTCTTCTCAGGCTAGTATCACAGCTCAAACAGAATAAACACAAACATTACTTCTCTCAAGAGGAAGCAATTTCTCTGCAATATATTGCCTAACATTCTTAGGGATCTACTTAACATATAAGGTAGTCTGACTGAACAAAGGGGAAGGAACAGAAAAGTCATATTATTTTAACGCATAATTTTACATAAAAGTATACAGTATAAGATTTCACCTTACTCAAAATGTGACTATAGAGTTATGGTTACAGACAGTTGAACCCAGGGAAGTAATTAGTACTGTGAACAGAGGTTGCTGCCGTTGCTTGTAAAATACTGTAGGTACTTAACACACTTTAGCATTGGGTATCAAGCAAAAAATACCCAAGCCCCAAACTACCTGCTTAGGTAGTTCAAAAGAAGACAACACATGGCCCAGAAAGCAATTTCTCTGACCTGGCAGTGTTTGAAAGTTAGCACGTAACTCCTGGCTAGGTAAAGAGCTAACCAGAACATAAATGTTCTAGCCAGGCAGAACGAGACTGCAGACAAAAACATTTATTGCTTTTCAGCCTTCAAGTTGGCTTAACAGCAGCACATATTTCCCAGTAAATCTTCAGACGGGAAAGCAGATAATAGGACCAGGTCCTGCAGCCTTCTGAACAAATGTAGGCAAACAGGGAGAGGAACATTATGGCACATGGAATGCCTAAATAGTGTAAAATGAGGAGTGATGGTTGATGAGTTGATGGTCAAACTGACTCAACTGTCTGAGCTGAATTTCACTGATTTAGCTGATCTGTGCTTGTATAGATTACAGTTTTACAGATACAATTGTCAGCCAAAGAGTTCCCCAAAGTTGTGAAAAATACATTTGGTGTTAAGAAGAGAGACCTTATTAATGCTTTTAAAAGCAGAGAAAATTGCAGCATCAAACTGGCCAACTTTTACACCACTACATGCAACGAAAGAGAAACAAGTCTTCAGCACTCAATGGACACAGGAAAACCTACTCCTGAGAAATTAATCTCTATGCATTACTGAAACTTTTAGCAAGCTATGAACTGGTATTGCACAAGGAATTCCCTGTACTGCTGTATCTTTTTAGTTACCTTTGCAAGGTAACTAACACATCATCAGGTTCCTGGTGAATGACTTCATGTGTTCCAGCTAGGCTGTAGCAACTCCCAAATGCATTCAACATTTCTCCTGCCCTATGGGGAAACGGATGCAAATCCTTCACAGCTATTACCACTGCAAAGTAGTATTTCATCTTGCTTCTGGCACCTAGTAAGCACTTAGCAGGAAACACTAGCATCTATAACGAAAGACCATTAATGGGCATTTTTAAGCCTACTGTCTCTCTAAAGCTGTAACGTGATACACTCGTTCCTTCTAAAGTATGATGATAGCATACCTGGGAAAGTGAAAGAACTACCTCCTTAATGGTCCCTATGTGCTACCCCATTTAATGGTACACAGGGGGCTCCAACTATTCTAAAGTACAGTTGACATATTAACCTCCTTTTGATATTCAGGACTTCTGAATCCTTAATCTAGGGGGATAATGGTGTGTACGGGTTTCCTTGCTATGAGGATGCAGAAGGCTATCCTGAGAATTCTGCATTGGTAGGTGAAATAAACCAGCAGTAAGCTCCTGTGAAAAAAGCTTTTCCCACCTGATTAGATAGTAACACCATTGGAGAAATAGACAGAATAAAAAGTTACAGCATTTTCAAAACATGTCTTCATCCTTTTCTTGTAAACTGATTACAAACTAGTTCTCAAGAGAACAAGAGAGCCTCAAATAACAACATGAACTTTTAACAAAGGATTTCTTCCCCAATTTAAGTCCAGCATATTAACAACAGAAACAAACAAAAAACCACTGTTTTTTACATCACATTATAGTGTACTGCAGGGAACCAAGAGATGTTCAAGTTAAATGCAAATCCACTGTACTGCATCTCGAACCTGAGCCAGCAATTATAGAATTATTTTAGGAGCCCACTAGTTTAGGGTAACTTCCTCATACCCCCTGTGCACAGCAGTCAAGTGTAGTTTTGGGACAAACTATGGGTTTGAGGCAAAATGGGAGACTGCTATGCTTAACCACAGGCTGATTTTCTTGAAAGTTACAGCTAAGATAGTGTGATATATCCATGGCACTTCTAACTGAAATAGTGCTTGTAACTTCTGCAGAGGGGCGTTTTCATTAGCATCTTTAATACAATGAATGTATTCATTTAAGGTGCAGATTCCAGATATTCCAGTAGGTCCATCACAACAAACTCATGCTTTCACACCTGTTCTTACTGTCACATCTAAAGTTGTATTGGATATTAAGACTAAGTTTCTCATGGTAAGCATACTACATGGCTGGAACAAGTTGCTTAGTATGCTGTGGATATCCAAGCTCTTGGAGACAAACATGTTAAACATGTTAGGAACAATTTAACTGTAGCTAACTGTTCCTTAGAGAAGGGGAGTGTTTCACACAAACTTTTGGGTTCTGTTCCAATTCAACATGTTCATAGAGAAATAGACACTTGAAATTGGTCTACTGATAATTAAAGAGAATTCTACTTGTATACTCCAACAACAGGAGATAGGTACAGGTTTTTAATACTAGGAACAAACTATTAATAGCTTTTTTACAGCTTCTTTTCTAATTGAACTGCTAAATGTAAAACTTCTCATATCTCAGACTGAAAAATGAATTCTCTACCTCCTTCATTATATTAGGATTACCAGATTAGACGTTATTTCTCTTGGTCCCACACGTCTATCTTGTTAGGCTATTAGGAAAGTAAAGGTATTCAGCAAACTTGCAGGCTGATTGGATAATGCAGCTACTTTTTGATATCGAGTTCAGTTAACATTTTAACTTGTTTGTGGAAATTACACCTCATTAAATACATAATCTTTTTGAATTATAGCTATTTAAAAGATTTAAACATGTTTTCCAGAAAAAAAGTACTTTTTTAATTAAACTTGACGAAACACCAGATGTTCAAATATTATTTTCTTCCTGTTCTTAACTGGATGTTTGCAAAACAGATTTTAAAATTACCATCTTTTCTGATGCAGAATACAAAAAGCAAAATTAATTCACAGTATTACCAACCTTTATTGTCTGCAGCTATAAATCCGAGAATGTTTTCATGTCGTAGCATAACTGTTTGATAAATTTCTGCCTCTCGAAACCATGAACGTTCTTCTCTTGAAGAGAAGATCTTCACTGCAACTTCTTCTCCTCTCCATTTCCCTCGCCATACTTCTCCAAAGCGACCCTTACCAATGCTTTCTTGAAGTACTATAGTTCTTGCAATTGTTCTTTGCACAAGTAAAGGTAAACCTGAAAAGAAGATTTAATATTAACCTTAAACAAAGTAAGTACTTCGGATCTATTTTCCATTAAGATGTTTCTCTTAGAATGCAGACTCATAAGAGTTTGACAACTTGTTGGAGACTGGTAATGAGTATATTGATAAGATGCCGTCTGCAGTTTTAAATGCCAACAATACAAATATTGAAATATATTATGCTGCAAACTGCCTCTACAGCTTTTAAAAGTAACATACGAATTTCCTTTCTATTTAAACTTGCGGGGGGGGGAGGGAGGGGGGGAGGGGAGGAGGGAGGGGACAACACCACGAATATTAACCAAACATAAGAAACAAACCATGGAACAATCAGATTAATTTTTTTTGTTGTTGTTGTTAAAGATCATAACTCTCTTGACAAAGCAGCTCAAGAGCACCTTTTCTACTAATCCATTTACTTGACTTCTTGCTAGGTGAGACTTGGTCCATTTCTAAGACAAAGTTAAACCATGCTTATCAGCAACACTGTCATTCATGCTGATACCAAGTACATGAGCAGCCTGTTAGTACTCCCAAGCCCCTGTAACATAGAAAAACATTCTTTTAACACTATCTTCCTGTTTCACAGGCCACACTTGTGCACTTCACTAGCATTATACATGAGAAAACTGCTCACATTCATGCAGGTTTTACAGCTCCAGAATATCTACAAGCATTCAAATCACAGCACCTCATAACATGCTTCCATAAACTTACACAACAAACAAGAAGCACTGGTATCCCCCAAGGGTAGGTTTTTGTTGTAACTAAAAGGCTTGTTGAATTCTGCAGTGATACTGCATTACAGGGTGAATGTATCAGCCAAGTCATCTGCTCACAATGAGGTCTTTTGATATTGTATTATTTCACTTAAACACTTGAAAATCTATTGCTCTGTAACTGCTGTTCCAACAGCTGATAGAACATCTGCATTTCCTTAAGCTGCAGAAAATGTATCACAACTAAAAGCTTAAATAACTATTTCCTGTCCATCTCTGGACATTCTTTGCAAATAACAGCACTAGAAAGACATCTGATCTGCTCAACAGCATTGAGTCTTTGAGCAATGTAAATTAAAACACTGCTGTGTTCAGAGGAGCTCATTGGGAGTTTCAGATTTAGAGGAATTTTCTGCATGTTCTGCGCTGAAAATATGCGTAATTCTACATGAAGAAATGATGGGGAAAATTGATATACTAAAGATTTAAATATTTTCAGGACTTGCAATGATTATTTGCTAAGAAAAAAAACCACAAAACTTCTGTTGCAATAGCTGACCTCAGGTCAACTGTGTTGTCTGCTCAAACTGTACATGCTTATCTGTGAAGCCTAATTTGCATTCTTTATGGACAAATTTTTGAAATGCAGAAAAACCAACCTAGAATAACCACAGGACCAAACTAATTTCTAAAAATGTGAAATTTGACTCTGTCAACCAGAAGAGGTTTCTTTCTTAGCACTTCAGTGCTACTGCAAAATCCTTACACAAACTTCTATTTGAAGTTGATCTTCTATACTTGAAAGTTGTGATGTACCTACTATTTTTTCTATAGCTGCTTCCAAAAATTGTTTATCTACAGTTTGAGGTGCGCTGCTTTCAACATGGTGAGCCATTTATGGATGACACTTCTTGTATAAAAAAGATGTCCAAGGATATCAGCTAACCTCAAAACAGATACAAAGCTTAATCCACCTTGCTTCTATACTTGTTTTTACAATTTTTACATAATTCATTTGTCTCTCTCTTTTTTTTTTTTCCAATTGTGCTTTCTTTTACTACTGCTGCTGTCAGAAACAATATTGGAAGGCTGGAATCCATAATTATCTTAAGTCAGTAAGAATTATTTACCTCACAGACACTGTTTCAACTGAGCACTCTCCACTTTTTGCTACAGATGAAATGCAGCCATGTATCACCAGGAATTTGGGCAACTCTATTACTGTAAACCAGAATGCCTGAAAAGTAACTTGCTACAGATGGCTATAATGTTAGCCTTTGTGACATACACCCTGGACACAAGTGTACTTCAAGATCTTTTTTTTTTTTTTTTTTTTAAGCTCAAGTACAGCTCCTTTTCAACTGTGCATGAAGATCAGAATCAGTTAGCTAATCAGCAGTATGAGAAAAATTCAAGCTCACGTTGAATTCAACAACAGGTCATCTTATATTCAAGCATGGTCATCCAATTTATCCATGAAGCATCCATCATCTTCATACTTCATATCCAAGTATCCTCAAGCCTTCTTAGAGTTCAAGAGAAGAGCTTTTTTCCTTTCCACATCTTAACTGTGCTCTGATTAATTAGGACCAATGACTTTATAATGTATAAGAAGTTTTTGCCTGATTTGGATTAGAAAATTCTGCATTCAGGAATTAAGTTTTAAGGCACTAAAGGCAGCCAACAAAATCAGCTGCTGTAACTTTGGTTCTGAATCACAGAACAGTTTGAGCTGAAAGGAATCTTAAAGATCACCCAGTCCCAACACCCTAGCCATGGGCAGGGACACCTCCCACCAGCCCAGGTTGCTCAAAGCCCCATCCAACTTGGCCTTGAACACCTCCAGGGATGGGACATCCACAGCTTCTCTAGGCAACCTCTTCTAGTGCCTGACCACATGCACAGCAAAGAACTTTTTCCTTGTATCTAGTCTAAATCCACCCTCAGTTTTAAGAAATTATCTACTGCTGTACTCCCTGATAAAGTCTCTCCCCATCTCTCCTGTAGGCCCACATTACGTACTGGAAGGCTGCTATAAAATCTTGCTAGAACCGTCACGCCCCTAGGCTAAACAATCCCAACTCTCTCAGCCTGTCTTTGTAGGAGAGCTTTGTTAGAGCAACTCCTCTGGACTTGCTCTATCAGTTTTTTGTTCATATTCTCAAACATTTGGTCTACAGTGCAGAATGTACCTGGATAAGTCTCTCCCCAAAAGACCTTCCCTGAAAGGCAACCCAAAAACCTACGAACTGGGAGAACTTAATTCTCTTCAAACCTCTATGAATTGCGGATAAGTTTTAGTAGTTTTACATCTAGTTGAACTGACTCAGATCAACATTGATTTTATGATCCTCTGGTTTTCAAACTCATTTAAGTACGTGCTTGAACTCATCTATCAATGACAGAAATTTCTCTCCCATTTCATATGACCCCTTCCTGTTTCTTGCAGGAAAGTTGCTTTGTCACTTGCAAGTTATAGCATTACAGTGGGGCATCCCAATCCATCTATACAATCTGTAGTTATTTCCAAGATTTGCATGATGATCTGAAAATTGTTCTCAGCTCCAAAAGACTCTGAAATCTTTCTCTTAGAGCCCTCTGCTAAAGTTTCAGCTTCTACTTTGAAAGTTTTATGAATTCCTTTCATCAAGCCTGTAATTGTTTCAGGTCTTGCTTTATTTTCTTTTGCTCCTCGTGGAACAATAAGGAAATACTAACAGAAGTCAAATAATTAACAGCAATTTAGTATTTATCACCACAGAAAATGAATCCTAATTCCCTTCTGATCTCAGCAGTAAGCTCATTTTTAGAATTCTGTACACTTCATTTGATACGCTGCTCTTCAAACAATACCATACCATAGAAACAGGTGAATCCATTTTTTACTTGACAAGCTCAAGTTTTTTGGTCCCTCTGCATGAACATTCACTCTAGGTCAACAGCCCAAACATTTTCTTAGCTGTGACTCTTACGTAAGTGCTTTGTGCTGAGTAACTATGGCTCTTACAACTAAATTTGGATTGTTGTCTATTCTGTACATTTCCTGTTTCTTGCATCCTCTTTCCCCAGCAGCATACCATTCATACAGCTCAGTGCTTAACCATGTCAGAAACTTTTGTCACCAGCAGCTCTGTTCCTATCACTGTTCCTACTCTCAGTTTATTCCATAACTGAGGAGTCCTCTCATTTTTAAATGTGCCGTACCAAAATCAGGATGCTGAAATTATCATTCAAGTACTAAGGCACGGAAGAATTAGAACTTTTAGTAAGCAATTGACTAATTTTGAGACAAAATGACACAAGTCACAGCAAATATAAACACTACCAACAGCACTGACAGTAAGTACTTGAAACACTTCCTGTTCCACTCCCATGATAATCACATCACCCCCACAACAACAACAAAAAGCAACAAAACTACCCATCCAACCTCCAAACACCCCACTTCACCCCCCAACCCTAAAATACCCCATCCAACAACAAACACCACCACCACCAAAAGAACAACCAACCAAAACCACCCAACATTTGCAAATAGAGAAGGATGTAAATGGTTCAATAACTTTGAACCACTCTGGAATAAGTTTCTTCTGTGATTCCCAGCTTATCAAGAACTTATTTTGAAGGCATACTTCCAGAGAGTATCTTCAAACATGAAAGTTCTCAGAAGTACCAGACGGAGGAAGGCCAGAATGCAAATGAAGGGATATTCCCAGTAACAACTGGAAAGGTCAATCAACAACTAATCCTAAATTTACATATTCATAGACCTGACTTCTGATCTAAAGTAGTGGGGGAAAGGAGCCACGTAAAGGTTTGTAAAAGCGCTGTGATTATCTACAGAAGTTAGAAGGGAACTACTTCTGTACACAACCTGGTGCCTCACTCCCGTAGAACATATGTAACTTAACATGGACCATAGATTGATTAATTTCTGCAATGTTTTGTGTGATGCATCATCCCCTATCAATGCCTGTTAAACTGTATCTCTATGATAGACCACCACAATCCTATAAGCAACTCTGTTAGGATTACAATAGCAAAGACTATAAGCAGTAAACAGACTATAACCTCTTCATCCCAGAGGAATACCTGTTGAAGCCGGAATTAATAAATACAAATTATGAAATCAAGGGATAGAAATTCTTCAGACATGGTCTGCAGCAATTTACAATTGACACACCATCTTCTCTAAGGAGAGAATTGGCTAAAATATTAACTTATACTTAAAATATTCTTTATACACCAATAGCTACGGGTGTGCATGAATTTAGAGCTAAAAATCACTTATTTTCATATACTACAATCTTTCTCAATATCAAATAAATCCACACAAAAGCAGCATCTTCTCTACTTCCTATTCTAATCATTTACAAGTTTAAGTAGATCTGACAATATTAAAAAAAAACAAACAATGTTTTACAAAGCTCTTTAACAGTTTAACCGCTACTACAAGTATGACGTTACCTGACCCAGAGCCTGAAGTTGTCATATCATAAATTAAATCCTTTAAAGTAGTTCCTTCTGATATAAAGGGACGATCTAGCGAGGGATCTTCTTCACTGGGCACACGATGATGAATCACAGTACGGTTATGACAAAGGTATAGAATCAACATTAGTGAAATGCAGACAAAGCAGACGGGTCCGGCAATAACAGCTGCCAGTTCCACAGGTCCTAGATTAGAAGCTGGTTTTCCTGGAGTAGGACCTGAAGGTAAAAAGAAACGGAAATGGTAAAACTTCTTCTCTTTTTGTAACTCTATGAAATACATTACATGTAGTTATTCTGTGATGTGCAATTTACTTTAACACGTTCATTAATAACTTTTGCACCGTAAATTTTTGAAGACTAAGTATTACAGTGAACAAAAGCAACTATATGCTTACTCAGTTTTTATTTGACTTGCACAGAAGTCTTCAAAACTGACTCTACCGTTCCTACACAGGATATTAATGTCTTATGCCAAGGCTCTTGAAATTTTATTTGCAAAATCTAAGGTGTACTTTAGGCCTTCAAGTTCACCTGCAACTTCAAAATTGGAATGCTTGCAGAATTTGTGAAGTTTAAAAAAAAAATAATCCAACATGCCAAAAACTCTTACCTGGTGTTGGAATTGGAAGTTCTATTTTATTGCAGTGGTCTTTGTCACAGCAATGAGGCACAGTAATAACTCCATCTCTGGAGGACGGTGCACAAACAAATGGCCTGTCTCGGGGAATCAGATCAATTTCTGCTATACACATGCTATTGTGTATGACTTTGTCTGCAGTCCGTGTTACTGAGGTAAAACAAAGCCCATCTGTCACACATGTAAAGTTGTCTTTTGTACATAGATGGCAATAACATTGTAATGCTGTATGGAGAAAAAAAATAATGTTAGTCTTGGCACACATTCTGAATTGTAAAACAACGTAAACTACTGAAAAAATGAAAGTTTAAGAAACTGAGCCCTATATAATCTTTCTGGCTACATAAACACAGGACTGTAACACTAAAGAACACCACTACAATGTTTTTTATTGTGACAACAGAATTAGGAGATCTGCATATTTAAGACAGTAAAGTAGAGTTGAAGTCATCTTCCTTATACAGTTACATATTAAAAGAGAAGGGCTACTATCTTAGATATTTCTCCAGGTAGAGAAGTTCTGTTACTGTCTTCCACCCTAAAAAATTACATACTTTATAACACTATCCTCTAGAGCACTTATCATGCAGTTATCTTATTTTCAAAAAAAATACAAGTAATGTCATTTTAAAGCCATTACTTGATGGTTTTACAATTATATATATATTTATTTATTTTTGCTGAGGAAGGGGCATATAAAGGCTTAATCCTCATTTAAAACAAACAGAATCCAAACCCTGAACAGAGCCCAAATAACCAGAGAACATACCTCCTTCCACACAAGCAGAATAGCGTTTGGACTTATTTTGAAGATACAGGAAAACATCTCTTTAAAACACTCAGGTTCCTGATTTACTAAAGCTATCAACTGAACTAGTAATTTGAGGGCGGGGAATATAGCAGACTAATCACATGTAAGATCACGTTTCATTCTTTAAATTGCAGAATTTTCTGGAGAAGGAAATCTGTTATTACAAACATTTATTCTTCAAGTTAACTCTTGCAGGCCTTTATCTGACTTGCTTCATCTAAGACTTTTTTTTTCCTATTTAAGTCATCTCCTTGGCTCACCGTAACTGCACATGCATCTGAATGCCTACAGTAAGAGACATAATATTTTTTTAATGTACATTAAGTCGTGGTACAGAGAATAAGTTACCTGAACTGAAAAAATGACATTCAAGTAGATCTTGTTAAGCTTATTCATCACCCTGGTCATACAGAATTGCAAAGATACACAAATGTCACTCATACTAAATAAGGCATTTGGTGTCTTCCTTGTTTTGTTCCCCCCATTCCTTTGCTACAGAGTTCTCAATGAGTGCAATTTTATAGAACAATTTATACTTTTGTCCCAGTTTGATGCAATTATCTTCTAGCCTCCTATCAAGACAGTATGCTGTCCACACTCGACTGAATGTTTTTCTCCACAAATACACCCCTACTTCCTTCTGAAGCTACACTCCCCCATCCCTTTATTTGAAAGTGGAAAATAATGCCTAATCAGCCAAACAGACAAGCTTCTAGGAATATAGTTTTTTGCTGCTCTCTAGTGGACACACTCTCATAAAAAAAAAAAAAAAAGACTTCAAAAAATGTCAGCCGCCTTTCTACTTTTGCCATTTACAATTTTTCATACCTTACAACTACAGTGTGTAATGGTAAAATGCCTGTACTTTACTAACAGGAAAACTGAATCAGGCATCATTAACAACTGCTAGCAGGAGGACAAGAAAGAGACTTGGAATATTCTTGCCTATATCTCACTTCCCAGTTACCTATGCATAAAAGAACAAAGACTATGAATATATGAATATGTTACAGATGAGATTTAACACTAGTGGGATGAGGAGGAGAAGCCAATTACTAACATGCAATTAAATCATTTTGATAAGCAAGTGTTTTCACTTACAACTTCAACCTCAAGGAAAAAACAATCACACTGCTATTGTCTCGGAGGAAGTTTTTGCTTCATCTCCATTTTTTCTTCAGGGAAGCATTGTATTTAAGAACAGACACAGAACCCAGTCAGTTCTCCAAGCCCACTTAAATATTCATGTATTTTCAACTACTGTTGGTTGATAAGATCATGCTGTAAAATACAGCAGTCATTCTCTAATCTTCCAGAGCTAGTAATATCTTTCAGGTATAATACATTCCCATACATTTTGAACCCTCATCTCCCTGCTACCTCTCTCTCCCCAGTAAAGTTTGTAACACAAAAAGCTCCTTCAAAACTACTAAACCTCAGGAGGAGCAAAAAGAAAAAAAAAAGTTTAAATTCAAGTTTTAGTCCATATTTTAACTAGCACAGAACACTTTCTTTTTCTTTTAAAAAAATTACAACAGTGTGTGGATGCAACCACTGGCATTAAACGAGGGTGTAACAAGCTGGCAATGTAAATGAGATGCAGCTTGACAAGAAGTTGGTTCTCCAGAGCTCAGTTATAAATACTATATACAAAAAGTGAACAGAACAGAATTAAGTACAGCCTATTCACTTAGCTTTTAACAGTCTATACTCTTAGGTTATCTACAGAAACAATATTTTAAATATATTTCTTGTGTTCCCAAATTAACAAAAGTACAGAAAGACTTTTTTTTTAAATAACATAAAAACCTATGAATTACTATATACTATTTGTTCACATCCTGCAACACTATTTCATCCAGACAGTTTTAGTATAGAACACTACCTTTGATGAAAGAATTTTTGGCTGTAAATCATATGCTGAAAAAGATCTTTCAAGGGATGCTAACAAAGGGTATTGAAGCAGTTAAAACATCCTGGGGGTGTTTCTCAAAAGCAAAACCACATCTCAATATGAATATAATTTTATATTTTTAATTCTTCTATCAAAACCTTTGTTGTAAACATTTTAAAGTAAATCCAATCAAAAGTCAAACGATTCCAGGCCTCAAAAGCAGTATTATGCTGAACAAGAAGCTCCAGGTCTTTCTCTTGTGATATACATTAAAACTCTTCTTCCATGGGAAATACTTGTGACAGCTGGGGGAAAAGCACCACCACAGGAACAGTCAGGACTTTGGTTCCACAAGACATAATGCTTGAGGTGAGAAAGAAGCAAGGCTGTGATATATAGAAGAGACACTGAGAGATCCTGGGGAGATGACCAACAGGGCTCTAGTGTTTATTGTCTGTTTCTTCCTTGTCCAATTTTTTTTTTCACAAGCAAAAATGTAATACATAGAGGTGCTGTCAGCTTCCTGCGTTATTTGTACATTCCCCTCAAACAACACACCTGACTCACCACTGAACTCTTCTGGCTCAAGATGCAGAAGTGTTTAAGTACGGTATTCCAGATACTCTATGACATTTTTAACCATGATATTTCAGGACATTCACTAAGTGATTCTTTGCACAAAGGCACTAATTAAGTACTGTAAGGTAACAGTGTCCAGGGCAGCATTCACATACATTTAATACTTTTTTGTTTTGCACAACTTTAAAGGAAAACAGCAATTTTGGAAGCCAAAATGATGCACCCAAGACAGCGGACAAAATACTTTGAGGCCCTATCTACATCTTGCAGGTAACGATAAAGCCTTGTGAAAAATCTCAGCTTCCAAGAAGCAATGCTATGTCCTCTGTAGTGCAGGTGGCAAATGGTGCTACATACATGTATTTTTTTGCAACTCATCCATAAAGCTACTCACAGGTGTGTTCTTGTCTCTTATAAGAAAAAAAATAAAAATTGGTTTGGGTAACTTTCACAGAAAAGTATACTTAAAAAAAAATAATTAAAAGCCTTGGTCTTTATCTTTGTTTTAGCCTTGCTACCTTCATGAAAAAAAGAAGTCTTTAATTTATATGTTTAAATACACTTCAGCATACAAAACAGATTTCTATCCTTATTTGTGATAAGGACTAGTTGTGTGAATGCAATTGTTTCCACGAGGTAATGCCCCTGAATTCTTAAAATATTAAAGACTATTTGTGGCTTACACAGTTACAAAATAAAAAATAAATAAATCACGACTGCTTTCAAATTAGGGCTAGTAGTAGGCTTAAAAAGTAGAGCTTGACAGGAAGTCAGCTAGCCACTGTGATTCATGACATGTCTGATTTTCATACAAAACATATCACAAGAGGATTCATTCACACATTAAACTAGCATGCTGCTTCTGATGTTGTTTTGCAATCAGAAAATGTCTAACTTTTGCAAAGAATGCTAAGTAACTGTATACAAATCATATGTCACGCGTCTTTGTCAACTTACAGCACAGTATTCAGACAATTTAATCCCTTTACCAGTAAGAGAGGACTTGTCTACGAGCTATGGATCATGAGCCCTAGATCCCCACCCATTACTCTGGACAAGGCGGACTTCTTTCCCCTCCTGCCCCACTTAAAACAAACAAACAGAAAGAGATACACACACAAAAGAACACTTCTACTTCCAACCTTAAGCTTTTGCATAGAAATCTATTACCTTGTTTTCACATAAAGCTTTCAGACCTTTCTTTCCTGAAAGAGATTGAATGGGAATTCTTGACAGACTAGAAGCATTAAAAGGGAAAAGAAAGCTTCAAAGCTGAAATCAAGTTAAAGTTTCCCTCAACATCTAGATTGGATACGGTATGTAAGAAAGCTTCAAATTATTAAAGCCTGCTACACCTTTTCACGAACACAAGAAAAATCAATGGTTAACTTAGGCTTACTTCACTGTTTCCACAACAAAAGATTCTCCACCTCCTTTAGTAAGAAGACTGACAAGCAATAGAGTATTTTAGTTTAGCAAGTTGGTTTGCTTTAAGCAGTATTTTCTTTACAGTGTAAGTACCACCTTAAAGTGAACTGCGAACAGCACGGTGAAACCCCAGATGTCTTATAGCTGGAATAAGTTGTGGTGCTTCTCCGTTTCCTCTTTAAAACCCAAAGCAGTATACAACCCACCTGCAGAATAATTTAGGAACTGGAATTCATTATAAATCAGATTTTGTGCATCTGTCATTAACCTCTCACTAGAGATGCAGCTGGAACCTACAGCAATTAGAACCAGGCATCTGTAAGACTTGTATAACAAACATCTCTCTCTCACAAGACGCCACAGGTACAGAGAAGCCAGCAGAACAAAGCCACTTCACTGTGCGACGCTCACTGCAGCCTTCACTTCCTCGTGGTGCGGTCCTGGCAAGGCAAACACGGCTGTCTGGCTGCGAGGGAAAGCTCGCCCACCTCCCTCGTCACAGCTTCCCCGCAGACACTGTAAACACGCTACAACGTGGCGTGTTAAAGCGCCCGACATGGCAGCCGGGGGATCTCTTACCCTCACTCCGGGGAGGCTCCGAGCACCGCCTCACGCCTCCTCTCTCCGCTGCGCTGCCTGCAAGCGCCCTTTGACACGCTGCGAGGAGACATAGCGGGATTTCCCCGGGACGACGCCAGCGCTCCCAGGGAGCAGCCACAAGTTTCCCCAAGAAGAAAGGAGGCTCAGCCCCACCGCCTGCGTACCTACAGCCGCGTACCCACCTGGCGGGGCGGCTGTAAAATAAACCACAGGCAGGGCTGGAGAGGGTTCAGGCAGCACACAGCAGCGGGGCGGCAGGGGGCTGCTGAGGCACCCCGGGCACCTCGCCCGCCCCTCACCGCACCCGCCCGGCCAACAAAGGGACGAGCCGGCCGCGGGCCCTGCCGGGCTCGGACACCAGGGGGGTGGCGCCTCCGCCCCAGCCAGCCCCTCCGCCATGTTGTTGAAAGGAACCGCCGCGGACCCGCAGCCGCCCGCCGCCGCTCCCCTACCCCCCGCCTCCAGCACCGCGCACTGACCCCGCTCGCTCTCAACCCCCTCACCCCAATTCCTTTCCACCCTTATCTCCCCCTATCTTGCCCCTCAGACGCTCACCGGCCGCCGCGGGGAAGAGCAGCGCGGCCGCCGCCAGGCGCAGCGGGGCCCAGCCCGGCCGAGTGGCCGGTAGCGCCATGCTCCGGTCTCGAACCCGCAACGCCAGCCCCAGCGAGCGCGCGCGCGCGCGGCCCCGCAGCGCCTCAGCCCGCCCCGCCCCGCTCCTCGCCTCCCTCCTGCCGCTGCCGCCGCGGCCGCGGAGGCGCCGCCTGATTGGCCGCTCCCCCCCCCCTCCGTCCCCGTCCCCGTCCCACCCCCGCGGCGGGGCTGAGGGGCGGGCTGGGGGCTGGCGGCAGCCTCGCCGCTGAGCATCCGCTTTCGTCTGTCCGCCTGAGAGGGCTTCCGGCAGGAGGCTCGTTGAGAGAGGGGAAGCAGCCCCAGGAGCTGAGGAATTCGTCTTTAGAAGCTGCCTGGGTGGGGGTGTGGGTTAGGGGAGGCAGGCAGAGCCCGTCCCGCGGCTCCCTCTGATGCGTTTCTCTCACACACGGGTGTAGGTGTAACGCACGGGCGCTGTGACAGCTTGCTCACAGACCCGCTGGCAGCCGTATAGAGGAAGCTCAGCCTTCGTGATGCTAGCCCCGCAGCCCGCCTGCAGCTCAGGAGCAAAGGATTTGTCTTCCTGTAGCCTAAAAGGTCATAGGGTAGAGCCTACCTGCATCAGGATGAGATAGGGTAGAGCCTACCTGCATTAGTATAAGGATAGAGCCTTTCTAGACCCCGTTTGCAGCTCCCACATTATTTCACAGATTCATTAAAGCAGGTTATTACACCAGGATTATCCGCGGTTTAAACATGGGTTTGTTCCATACCTCTACTAGAACATGGTGGCCTTTAGATACATTGCATAAAATATGCAGGACCCAGAGAGTGGAACATTTGATCTATACTTAGTCTTATTTCTTGCAAGAATTTATTATTTCTTGCAAGAATTATGGACAGGTTTTGAATAGTCTTTTAGTTTCCACCTTCCGGAAAGAAAGCAAGTACTTGAGCATGTATGGAAGGTTCAAACAGCACTCTGTAATGCAAGAAAAACACATGCTGAGGAGCTACATAAAGCATTAAAATGTAACCAGTTTTGAAAAGGGACAAGTGATGACAGGAACTTATACAGAACAAATTGTTCTATGGATTAGCTTTTGACTAAGATCAAATATACGAATACTCATAAGTAGATTTACTTAAACAAATGGGCACTAATAAAAATCGTTCAGTTTTTGAAGCAAAAGCGTATGGAAATGTGGTACTAACAGCGACCACTATATGGTCTAACAACTGTGGTTATACTACTATGTGGTCTAACAGAAACGTGGTACTAACAGCTCTGTCAGTCTTTTAGGATAAGAAGTACTGTATCAGGCTAACAAAAAATTCTAGTTAATCTGTGTTTCAACAAGAAAATATGTATGGTTAGTGGTAGCGCAAGAGGAAATAAGATGTTGCAAAACTTCATTTGCAGTTTTTAAAGTTTTCTCTTCATTTAATTAGCTGAATTTTATGTTTTTTAAACTGTTTGGTGCATTGTGACATTTACAAGTTATGGTTAGTAAGAGGAAAAATACTGAACGTGTAATATTTTCCAAGTCAACAGAATAAGCTGTTTTCCATCAAAAAAACCAAAAAAAGCCCCCAACACAACAAAGAAAACCAGATCCTTTATTTTCTCAAGCAATTTTACTCAAACTAGCACAGAAAGAATGAAAGTACTTATTTGCTTCCCTTTTCTGTAAGCTCACAAATCAGAAACTTTAGCAAAAGACTGTGATGCTGCTAAATCAGAGGCAAGCAGCAGATTATTATTATTATTATTTTGTCACTGCTTTATAGAATACCCAGAATTTTTACATATCTAACCTTTATAGATATTGCCAGGTTTACCTCATCTGTCCCTCCAAAACTAAAAACAGTGAGATCTTAAGTAAGCAAACCCAGTTCATTATCCCCATTATCAGGAGGTCAGTTAAAGGGTGTCATATGTCTTAAAATTTTCCTTTTAATTCACTGTCTGTGAAACATGACAGATCCGTATCTCAGAACTCTGAATCAGGTAGCACTGCTTCATAGTGCTTCAGTATACAGTTGCTTGGTCCCTACAGCTTACGCTAATTATCCTACAGCTTGTAGGTTTGCAAGTATATCGCAGTGTTGTAAGTTCTTAGTTTGCACTTAAGCAGATTGCAGTGATGGCAGTTTTAATGGTGCTGCTATTAAACCCCTCGAACTTTGTTTCCTACACTTACAATGTCCAGCTTAATTTGAAATCAGGTATGGTATATTCACAGAGGGCAGTGTTGACTCTAAGTCTCATAGAATCATTAAGGCTGGAAAAGACCTCGAAGATCATCTGGCCCAACCATCACCCTATAACCAATATCACCTGCTAAACCATGTACCTATGCACCAGGTTGAGCCTTTCCTTGAACATCCCCAGGGACGGGGACTACACCACCCCCCTGGGCAACATATTCCAATGCCTGACTACTCTTTCTGAGAAGAAATGTCTCCTCATTTCCAACCTAAACCTCCCCTGGCACAACTTGAGGCCATTCCCTCTAGTCCTATCACTAGTCACCTGCAAGAAGAGGCCAACATGCAGCTCCCCACACCTTCCTTTCAGGTAGTTGCAGAGAGCAATGAGGTCTTCCCTGAGCCTCCTCTTCTCCAGACTAAACAACCCCAGTTCCCTCAGCTGCTCCTCACAGGACTTGTGTTACAGGAAGATGCCTTGGAGCCCTTGGGCCAGGATCCCGGTGAGGGCCTCTCTGTGAGGGCAGCTTCTTGGAGACAGGACACCATGGGGCCGCCTGCTGTGTCCAGGCCCAGCATCATGAGGACTGGGTCCATCACTGTGGGGGCCAGCACCGCCACCAGGCCCACTGCCGCCACTGTGGCTAAGCCACAGCCCGCAGTACCTGCCCTGGGGCTGCACTCACAAAAGAGTGGTCTAATTTATGCTAAAAGTAGTGAGGAAATATGTAGTCTGAGGCATGTTACTAAACACAGAAGTGACTAAGAAGACTGGTTAGACTGGGGGTGGGTAGCCAGAAGTAAAGAGGCTGACATGAGGTCTGGAAATGGCTTTGGACTGTATGTCATGATCTATCCAAAGGCTTTATGTTGCTGTGGCAACCCTGAAATTATATGATTATCTCACCAGTGACTCTACAGTGAAGGATAGATACATTATAGTAGCTTGCCTTTAATTAAGAAAGGATACTTTTTTTTTTTTTTTTTTTTTTTTTTGTAAAAGCACAGCTTTTACCTGCTTGAGCTCTACTTCTTGTATGGAGTTGATAGTAATATTAAGGCAATAATGTATGTCATTTTTGCTACAGCACATCGCGTCTTGCTATTTACTCCCCATCCACTCTCATTCTTCAGAGCTCGTAACTGCTTGTGACCTGGAGTGACGGAGTCCTTCATATCTTTTCTCTGGCAGTGACAACCTCAATTGGTTGTCCTCAGGTAATGTCCTGAGGTAAAGATCCTCAGGTAATGCTCACAACAAATATCCTTGAAAGTAGGTGGCTTTTACACCTAACAATTAAATAAATAAGCTCAAGCCAGGGAGAAAAAGGTCTTTTTGATGAGAAGTCCTCATAGAGTACTGCTGGTATTCATTTCTTGTCATTTTTTATTTCTGCTGGTATTTAACCTCTGAGGAATATTGTCTAAAAACTTTACAGAATTTCTTAGTGCGTAAGGATAACAGTTAACTCACACCTCTAATTTTGTCTCCTAATAAAGCTCCAATTTTTTCTTGTAGTCATGATCCATTTCTGTTTTCACTTTAAAAATTCAGCACTGCAACAGCACAGCACAGTCACAGAGTAGTAAGCATCATAAAGGTCACCTGGCACTCAGCTATTTGTTTGCTTACATCTGGTAAAATATTTCTGATACATTTGAAGGGAAAGGGCTTTTTCATATATCTTTTAAAGCAGGAACCAAGAGATATGAGATTCCAGTCTTACCCTCTGGTGCTTGTTTCTGTTGATATTTCTGTACAGTTCACAGATCCCTTTTGGTATTCCACGGGATTGTGAAATTGTGTTATGCCACTTTAAGCATGGCTGTGAGTAGAACCCTGAGCCTGGGTGCTTACTACTGAACTAGTGATGACAAATCAATGTACTCAGCAGTCCTTGCTGTAAAGAACTCTTTGCTACTAGCGTAGATGCCAGAATCTGGACATCAAACATTCTCCATTCACAAATAATTCTGCATTCCTCCAGCAAAGTTAACAGTGTGCTATTTTGGTGGCACAGTATACAAATCACCAGCCTTTTTCATGACAGTTACTTCCACTCATCTCTGAATAGGTTAGGTTCAAATATTTGTGATTACAAGAAGGAAGATGTAAAAAAACGATCAATCCCATTCCATTAAGCACAATTTCTCAGTACAGTTGTGAGGAACCTATTTCTGCCAAATTGGAGTTCTGTATAAGACTGGTGTCTTGGCTTATTAATACTGAAAGGAAAGGCAAATAATGTGAGCAGAAAATAACAAAGAGTATAAAAAAAAATGTATATCCTGAAGCAGAAAATAGATTTCTTGTGAACGTTAATGGGCAAATGTGTATTCTATTACCACAAATGTGAGACCATCCTTTCTCTTTGGACACACCATGCCTTAGCCACTGCAGCATTTGTAACAGAGGAAACTAGGGTTCTCCAGGCAGTTTTAGCCTTAATAAATAATCTTAGTTTGTGCTCTGGACATTGCTTTCCTGTTTACAAAATAAGGAAGATGAAGAGTTGTGAAAATAAAACAACCATAAACTACTTTGGTCTTAAGTGCAGTGTACATTTGAACATTGCAACCAAAACCTTTAGAGGCATATTTTAATTTCTGCAGATTTCTGTCCTGGTCTGTGCTATTACAGCTTTGTCCTATGCGTACAAAGTCTGCATAAGTATGTCTGCTCTTGTATTTTTCTTGTATTCTGTGTTTTACTTGGGGCTAAAACAGATTTAGTCTTCTCTTGCATATGAGCTAGGACTAACTGTTCCAGAGGGTTGTGATTTTTGATACCAGTAAGTTGCTGCTCTACTTCTTATCTTTACCTCCCTTTGATTAAAATAGGCTTCACTAGTTCAGAAGTAATTTTTTTTTTTTTTTTTTTTACTGTTGGGTGCTTACAGCTGCACACTGTACAGAGACATCAACCTAAAAATAAACTGAACAGAAAGTTGTGGTCAGGGCACCAAGGGTTGCCTAAACTTTTTCACTTTCTTCACATAGTTTAGTTCCTATGTAGAACTAAAGCTTTTATGCAAAAGTATACCTTAAAGCTGGTACCTTTTGGACTCATTTTACTAGTGGTTAATATGGGAAATGTACTTTCAATGCCCAAGGGATTTGTGCTTACAGATCTTACTTGCAAGACTATGGATGTTTTGCTTGATACTTTCAGTCCTTCCTATTGCTGTTATTTCCATGTCTGTGGATTCTTCCTGCCTCAGAAAGAGATTTTTGCTCTTTAAATGCCCAAAGTGTCAGTGGAAGCATAGTTGCCTATGGATATTTACCAGTGGCTGAGGGGACGATAGAGGATCATTACGTTTGGATGTGGCTACATTAAATCCTTTTCATCACTGTGCTTAACCTTTGTTAGATTTAAATGGGTTGCTTTTCGCTAACATCTCACCTGAGTTCAGTGTCCATTCTGTAGCTCCAACCTGTAGACTAGCCCGTTTACTACCTACAGAGTTTCTGTAATGGATCCTACACAGGATTTTCTTCTAAATTCTCATTTACAGAGTTCACTACAACTTCAGTGCTTTGTTCTTCCTCTTCTCCAATATTTTTGACTCGCCTTACCCTTCTTCCTTCCCACCATATGTCCTAGTGATTGTACCTGTAAAAGAAGATACAGCTAGCTCTAAGTGACTATTTTGATCTGTTCTCTAGGCTGCTCATCAGTATTCCCTACCCTTTCTTCTGGTGGTGAGCAATCAGTTTTTTGTAAGAGAGATCCCGTGACTCAGTGCCTTTGACAGAATGAATAGCATATCTGTTGTTATTTTGCACTCAATTGAGAGCAGGAGTTTGAAATGCTGATATGTACCTAAGCTTTGAAGTGTCTTCTGTTATATCATCAATAGTTAGGTTGACTTCACTTCCTACCCTCCCTCTCACCCCAGGAAAAAACGTGGATATTAGAAAGTAACTGAGTTTGGTGCAACTAATTTCTCTAGCTTCTCTTCCCCAACCTTTTGTTTGTAAGAGCAGAGGCCTTTCTGTAGGAGACACATTTTGAGAGGCCTCATCTACAAATCCATTCAATTGTCACTTTGGTGACAATTACCTCTGTACATTATCCAGGTACTTTCCTGCCCAAATGGAAAAGTATCATGGCACATGCAGAGACACCTGCTTCTTGCCTTCTGAAAATAGAGGCATAGACATCTAAACACACTGCTGCATGTTCTATTCATCCGTGTGCAATTTGAGCAGATCTAAGTTGCTGTGAGTGAGCCAGGTGAGCTACCATCTAGGCGGAACTAATGGCAATGAAAGAAAAATGAAAGTGTGCTGAAGGCCATGTTTCCAAAGCAGCCTGTTGGCAGATGAACCACAGAGACTTCACAAGCCCTAGGAACTCATGAAGGCTCTGAGCCCACGGGGCACTACCTTCTTGGAAGGAAATAATTTTAAAATAATACAATCAACAAGTTGGAAATTACTGCTGAGTTTTGATGGAGTTGATGAACAATTACCAACAACATTATCTGTAACAAAAAATCTAATACAGCTTTTGATAATTGCAAAAGGGGCTTGGCTGTGGTCAGCATCACAATGAGAACTTAGGAAACTCATGAGTTCACACACACCATTCATCCCACCCTAATATGGTATAGGATCAAGGGATGCATTCTCATATCTCAAGGTATCAGGAAGGTTGAAAGGGTGGTGGGATGATTCTGGGAACTAGACTCATAAAATGTCATGCAGAAGATCCGCTGACTAGAATCTGAAGCTGTTACACTACACTGAGGTGGTTTTACCCTGCTGTGCAGCTGAACTCCAACACAACTGCTGTCCCACTCCCTCTCCTCAACGAAAAAAGGGGAGAAAATCCAATGGAAATGGCTCAAGGGTTGCCATGGGCAAAATAGACTCAGCATTGGGAATACATAATACATAAGAATATAATTTATTACCTGTTGCTAATAAGCTAGAGCAGTGAGAAACTAAAAACAAACTAAAACCACCTTTCTCCTCCCCCTCTCCTCCCCCCTCATTTACGTCCTATCCATGAGTGGCACAGGGGAATGGGGAATGGGGGCTGCAGTCAGTCTGTAATACCGCCTCTGCCACTCCCTCACGGTCACTCTGCCCCTGCTCCACATCGGGTCCCTCCCACGGGATGCTGTCCTTCCCGAACTGATCCCACACGGGCTGCCCACAGGCAGCAGCTCTTCAAGCACTGCTCCCACACGGCTCCATCCCACGGGGTCCATCCCCCAGGAGCAAACTGCTCCAGCACGGGTCCCCCATGGGCGGCAGCTCCCCCCAGACCCCTGCTCCTGCGGGGGCTCCTCTCCACGGGCTGCAGCTCCCCCCAGACCCCTGCTCCTGCAGGGGCTCTCCATGGGCCACAGCCTCCTCCAGGCCACATCCACCTGCTCCACCGGGGGCTCCTCCACCCATGGGGGGGCTGAAGCGTGGAGATCTGCTCCATGTGGGACCCCTGGGCTGCAGGGGGACAGCCTGCTCCACCAGGGGCCTCTCCCTGCACAGCCCGCAGGGGAACTGCTGCTGCCTGCCTGCAGCACCTCCTGCCCTCCTGCTGCTGTGACCTTGGGGCTGCAGGGCTGCTTCTCACTCCTCTCTCTCCCAGCAACAGCAGTTGCACAGCAGTTTTTCTTCCTTTCTTAAATCCCAGAGGCACGACCGATGTCGCTTATTGGCTCAGCTCTGACCAGTGGTGGGTCCCTTTGGAGCAGGCTGAAATTGGCTTTGATCTGCCATGGGGCAGCTTCTGGACTCTTCTCACAGAGTATAGTTATTCTTTTCAATTGTGCTGCAGTGTTACTCTTTGTGATTGATTCATTTGTTTTAAATGCAGTTACTTACTGGAATTAACAAATCTTCTTCCTGAAGTGCACCTGATTTTTGTGTTGAACTTCAAAAGTATTCAGCTTTGATAGGGAGAGCTAATTTATTTTTAAGTACTGGGCCAAACTTGTCTCTGTCATATCCTTGATAAACATTACTGTTTCTCTGCAGTTATACCGGGGAATATGAAGAGCATCTTTGGCTCTGGTTATAATGATGGTGTTTTTTGTTTTTGTTTTTGTTTTCTCCAAGGGAAACCTCAGTTTTCTAACAGGTCTCTCCTGTTGGTCTCAGCTCAGCTAGTTCCCTGGCAGGTGTATGAGCACAGTGAGTGTACCCAGCAGTGCAACAGCCAAGATGATGCATTGTTTATGCTCTGTATTAAGATGAAAGGTGTACAATAAATTCCTGTAGCATGTTAAAGTTGGGAAGCAAATGTTAAGATTTCTCTAATGTATCATTGATCATGTTTAACTATTTCAGTTTCCTTCTAAGCTCTAACAGCTATCCAGAATACAAAGAGAAGTTAGTCCTGTGAAATGATTGGCACAAATGGAATTCTGCACACATTACTGCTGGGCCTGACCTAATATTTGTGCACTATCTCCTAAAAACTATGTTTTTCTGACTTCTCCCCTCCCCCTTTGAGCACTTGGTTTTGATCCCATCTCTTATCCCCAACTTGTCATTGCAGTTCTAGGCAAGGAAATACCCAACTCCCTGTGACTGATGGCTCTAGCTCAGGAGTGGAAGAGTAAGAATTGACTGTAATTACTGGCTGCAAGCATAAACATAGGTTTAAAGCTAGGTGGCTTCTGCTGGAAGTACATAAAAAAATAAAATAAAAAATTTCCCCCTTGAAGCTTCAGTGTCTCAGAAGTGAAACCCCAGCATACATATACAACTCTTCCAGCTGTGCAAATTAAAGGAATACAGCATTTCACAAGTGCTCAACATTTTAGGGAAATGGATGTACTAAAAATGAGTGCAGTGAATTGTTATACATACATTTAAAATGCAATATAGAGGCTGTTTTTGCCTCATTAACATGTTGTAATGATGGAGTTGTGGCTTTTCCGAGAAAAAAAAAGAAGATACGATTCAGCTGACCCTAGGAAATATGCTTTTATAATAATTGAAAAAATAAAGTTGGATTTCACATTATTATGTAATAATTAAATCAGTTTAGTATAATAAATGTGATTTGGCTTGCTCTTGTCTTTTGAAAGTAGTTATCTAGTAATTTATTAATTTGCTGACAAATAAGAGTATTATGTACTTAAAACACAGACTTTAGATTAGATTTTTTTAAAATGATAACATGGCTCTTGAATTCCATAGTTACCACCAGAAAAAATACAACAAAATATCTTTTTTAAAGTATGCAGTAGACAAATATGTAGGCAAAAGACTTAAGATATTGTGGTGATACTGTTTGTCAAGAACATTAGCATTTACAGGTCATTTCCATCATTGCTGCTGTGATTATATATTAACGATTCCTTCATTACGTGAATGCCAGAAGGGAAAATTCACAAAAAGGAAAATCACTTTTACATGTAACTTAGTGAGATAACAATATCTAGAACCTATTGTAAAGAAACGATGACAGACATTTTTCATTCAGCAATGCTTGCCACAACAGGAAATGACTTCCTCTAACATGCAATAAAATAAATAACGGTCAGATGGCTTGTTTGTCTGCATATACTTTGCAAAGTTCTGCCAGTTAAAACAGGATGTTTTCTATTAATATTGTTCCAGATTTCCTGATAACGATAGCACCAAAATAAGGACCAGATTTTGTCTAGGTGAGATTCAGTTCTCCTGCATAAAGCCCTATGCCTAGAATCTGCAAATAGTGGAAGTAAGCAGTCAGGCTGCTAAATTCATGTATAAGAACCAGGGTGAAATCTATAAAAGCTTATGGGAGGTAGGTACTTAGCTTCCACGGAGACCAAAAGGTGAGCACCTTTGTTCTTAAAAATTTTTGTCAATTCCATCCCTGTAAGTTTTAACAGCATCCCCTTATTTACTCGGGGACAGCATGTATATAGACATATATTTAAATAGTGCCTTGAGTGTTCAAAAACCTATGCAAGTAAAAAGAACATGCAGCTTCTCAACTATGAAGAAGCATCAGCCTTGCTGAGCCTTATTGCTTCTAAGATAAGCTACTGAATCTTTCCTGTAGACCACACTAGACTTTCACTGATCTTCAGACAGAAAGAAAAGGGGTTGTGAGTTAAGTGTTGGCAGACCTTGAACCATGCGGGGTTCATGTGGAAAGAAGGGTTTAAGTCAGCCTCATGTGACATGGGATATTTCACCCAACTGGAATATGGCTTATGTTGAGGTACATTTTCTTTGGCTATTTTTTCCTGAAAGGTGCAATTGCAAAAAATAAAATATTTACATCAGTACAAATAAAATTTCAGTGTCAGCTTTTTCTGTCATAAGATGGAATACTATGTGCAACAGGTGAATTATTTTCCTTGGGGATCAGATACAAAACTGTTTTCAATACAGAGAACAATAAACTGATTGCTACAGCTATATGCTTTCTGATCGAGAAGTTTTCCCTTCTTCAGTGGTGATGCTTGTCCCATAGCTGCCAAATCACTTGTGTGCCAGGCTTCACAGTAGTTGCTAACCATTCGGATCCCATTCGCAGTTGAACCATGCCATATTACTTTTTGAGGCCTGAAAAGCAATGCTAACAGGTTATTTGCTGAAAAAGTCTATTTTTCATTCAGCTGCATGCCTATATGATGACTTTGCTCTGTTCATACCATATGACCATTTTTTGTTGCTTTCTTTCCTTGAAGCAAACAGCATGTGGGAAAAGATGAAGATAGAAAGCAAAGGAAGAAAAGGAAAACAGAGCCTGATATCTCAGTTGTAGGCTATCTGAAATGGAAAAGAAGACAGCATAAGAAAATAGAGAAATTTTTATCGTATTTCTAATAGCCCAAGATATTGCCACTTGTACTATCTGGCAAAAATAAATGCCATGTAAAACTAAAAAATGATAATGTAAACTCACCAGGATGGGTCTGTCATGACATTTCTCCCGTCAAAGGAGTATATTGGAACATTAATGTTGAATTCTCCACCATTTCCTTTAAATATAGATTCCCAGTTGTGGAAAAGCATTTCTCCCTGTTAAAATTTCAAAGCCATTTTTACAAACAAAATAATATGTCATAACTGACTTTTATAAACTTCTCAGTAAATCTAAAATCTTATCTTGATTTAAGAAAACTTGTGATTCCAGCTTTCACATCTTAGATTCTGCATGATGCTCCTGAATGAATCCAGCTATCATCTCTCTGCAAATAGCTCTCTCACCTTTGCCTCATAGTTGCATCTCTGCTCTATTGTCACTCCAAATATTCAACTTGATCATAGAACTATATTGTCATAGTATGGTTTGGGTTCGAAGAGACTGATAAAGATGATCTAGTTCCAACAGTTCTGAGATGGGCAGAGACACCTTCCACTAGATCAGGTTTTTCAAGGGCCCACTGAACCTGGCCTTGAATGCTTCAAGGGATAGAGCATCCATAATTGCTCTCAGCACCCTGTTCCTTTGCCTCACCACCCTCATAACAAAGAATTTCTTCCTTATATCAAATCTAAACCTCTTTTACAGAATCACAGAATCACAGAATTGTCTAGGTTGGAAGAGACCTCCATGATCACCGAGTCCAACCTCTGACCTAACACTAACGAGTCCTCCATTAAACCACATCACTGAGCTCAACATCTAAACGTCTTTTAAAGACCTCCAGGGATGGTGACTCCACCACTTCCCTGGGCAGCCTATTCCAATGCCTAATTGGAATACTGAATGCCCAATTGGATACTGAAAGAAGTAACACTTTAAAAAGGAAAGGAAATGTGAGTCTTTAACTTTCTGCTTTATCACTACCTTTTTCCTCCTGTAACCTGATTCCAAAATATGAAGGAAAACTTCTTTATAAAATGTACTTTGTGTTGAAACTTTTAAGCTTTTGGTATTCTCTAAGATTTTGGGGCACCTACAGCTTATCCTAATATAACAAATTCTAAGCACTCACTCTTACCTTAAGATTGACTATTGGTAAGTTGTATCGGTCTGTTTTTCTGACAACTGTGGCCAGATCTTGCAAATGTGATGAGAGAAAGGCTCTATAAGTAGCTGTCAAACCTGCTAGCTGGGCCTGTTGAAAACACTGAAAATCTGCTCTCATGTCACCAGAAAATGGCAAGTTTAAAGCCACCAGATGCAGCTGGAGAAAAGAAAGAAGAAAAGCCATTTTTTTAAAGTATATAACACGAGGAAGACATATTTGAAAACAACTACCACCTATCCCCTGCCAGCACAAGACCTAGTACCTTCCATTCTTGGTATTAAGTTTATTTGCCATAATAATATTACATTCCTTAAATCTATGCAACCCTGTAATATATTTCTTCAACAGTCAGGAAAACATGAATTATATACTCTTTAAAAACTTTTTAAAGTAGCTAGTATCTTAAAACAACAGTCTCAAAAAGTTAACAAACATAATCTGAAATCTTACAGACATGGAAACAAGTAGTAAGAGGTGACATATACCATTTGAAAATTCAATGTTACCAAATACAAGAACAAGCATACTTGAGTCAAACAGTACGCAAGAACTATTCCACTTCTTTATTTTTTCATGTAACTCCATGATTTTGCTTTCTTTGTCTAAACATTAATTTTAATATATCTTAACAAATACTTTAATTTTATTTTAATGTATTTTAATATATTTAATAATAATTACAATAAATGTGATAATAAATAAATAAATAAATAAATAAAATTAAATAAATATTTTAATAAATATTTTAAAGTACTTCAAATGAAGGCTTATATTCTAAAGTGTCTGTTTAAAAACAAGCAGCATCATGAAGATAGAAAAGGTTCTAACTAATATTTTAGTGATTTAATTGTAACACAATTATTAGCTTAAAAATTACTGTGTTGCACATTTTTGGGCACAATCCCTAAGTTAAGAGGTATTCCTAACACAGAATCAGTTTTTGTTTGTTTGTTTATTTCTTTTCTAAGATATTAAAGGGGCTAGGGAGACTAAAATAGTCCTGGAGGAAACCATTATATATTTTCTCTGTGATGTCTAAACTAGTTAAAAAAATATTTGTAAATTTCTATAATACACAAATATTTCTATAATACACATCTCCCTCAACACGCAAATTGGAGTATTTCAAAATGCAGCTATGAATTGCAATACAGATCTCATACTTACTACTGGCTTTCCATTGTTCATATTTGATATTGGACTTGGTGCCGGAAGAGACTGAAATCCCTGTTATTTATAAACATGCAGATATGTATGTTAAATATGTTAGTTAGACCAGAATTTTAGACGTTCCATAATATTGTACATAAAGTAGACATTGAATGTTGGAGAATCTGAAACTATATTGTATCAGAAAAATAAACCCAAACCATGTAGCCACAATACTTTACCTACATGTATGTACCTTCAATTTAGTTTGTCACATAAATATGTGTTTGAATACTGTCCTGGCCAAGTTGCCTTGCTAGACCCAAGTGTTACCATTCTGCAGTACCCTACCTGGTGTCAGCACCAGTATGCACCTGGAGTCCCATATGGAAGTGGCCTGCTCTTGGTAGGAGCAGAAGACCACTTCAGGAAAAACAACATTGAAAGGACAGGAAGAATGTGGAAACAGAAAGTTTAGTGGTTGGGGAGATTTCTTAAGGTCTTAGTAATTCCCTCTCCTAAACAAGTGAAATGTAGAGACCAAAAGGTTGATGAGCTTCAATAGCTCTCTCATGAACAGCTAAATTTTCTTCTATGGTCATGGAAAATAGGAGTAATGAGCCAGTGAATGTAGCAATTGGGAAAATGATGTGGTGTCAGCTGGAGGTTGCAGAAAATTTCTTCTAAAACGAGGTCTAGAGATCTTCCTAGTGTGCTAAGTGCATTTCTGTCTGGCCTATTCCAACTACTTTTATTTTCCCAGCCACCTTCCTTCTCATGAGCCTTCATAGCACTCCCTTGCCCTTTCATTATCAGTAAGATCAATTGACCAGTCATCAACAAGACTTCTCTATTCCGTTTGCCATTTCCTGGGTTTCATCCTTATATGATTTTTTGGGACAGGCAGCATGTTCACATGCAAATTTAGACAATAATCTGCAAAATGAAGTCAGGTATAAATTAACACACGAGATTTTAGAAGAGACCTCAGTAACCCACTTATCCTGATGTGGGATAAGCTATATGCAGGTGATGATGATATAGCATAAATAAAGCGCTATAAACTTTTAAAGAAAACCCGCTTTTCAGAGACACTTTTACAAGTTTTCTTGACAGAAGTGTTATGAAACAGAATACTGATTTCTTTTTAGTGGGCAGTCTGCTTTGTCCTGCATTTTGTGGAGGTTGTTTCGTCTTTGTCATGTTTGAAATCTCAGAATATAATGGAAAAAGACTAATGGCTGGCCAGCATGAACAACTTTGCAAGGTTATGCAGTGGCAGGGCAAGGTTCTGCTGAGACTGACAAGTCTCAGCAGAAAATCATGTTGTGCAGGGACCTGCCTGTAACTTCTGCCAAGTGTATCTTCTCTTTTTGCACATTTAGACTCATTTTTTCACAGTCTAGTATTTTTTACTTACATGGCTTGATATGGCTGGAGGAGGAAGGCTGTCATCAGGGATGGGAATTAGCTCACCAAGCTGAAAGAACACAAAAAGAGAAGCAAACAAAGTCATATCAGTAGGAGTTTATGAGCTAAAAAAAGAAAAGAAAAAAAAAGTATTTTTGCACCCATACTTCTCAATGATTCTCATCACAATGATTCCATTTTGAGTAAGAGAGCTCGAAGGTATTAGGATGTAGTGCAATCATACCTGCAATTTTCTCCATCCATTCCGAACACGGATAAAAACCTCACTGGTTTCACTCAGATAGATTAGCGTACCTTCTGCTACGAAATGAACCTTTTCCAACATACCCGCAATGTTTTGGAATGTTGTAATCTGTCAAGTAGCAAAACAAATCATGCTTCATCAAACACACAAAACACTTTGCAAGTTAAATTTAAGTTTAATTTAAACACAAAAATGTCAAGACTTCTTGCTTGGGAAATGCTCATAAAATCAGTTTTATGTCATTCCATACAAAAAACTTCAATAAAAAAGACATATTTTGGCATTACAGAATCATTACTCTCTTGGTTTTTATAGAACTACACCAATTGTTAATTTTTCACAGAGTGAGATGATTGTGTCTCTAATGTTTAGCATACAGGATTGAAATGGCAGAACACAGAAGAGACTTGATAAGGTTGGCTATGCCTTAGAAATCCCACACACAATTCTAGATACATTTGTGTATCTAAATTCTAGATACATTTTCTCTATGAGAAAATGCAGTTAGCAAAGATATGATACTGTGCTGGGAAGTCATTTACATTCTTGTTAGTTCATTTGATAAGGAAAAGGTTAAAAATGGTAGTGAAACACCTCTGCTATCTTGAATCTTTTTTTTTTTTTTTTTTTTTTCCTTAATAAATTAAGAATATTTAATTTAGAAGTTAACAAGACTGAAGTCTTAGGTGCCATTTTTCCTGGATGGATACCTGGGATACAATTCTCATTTGATTTATCCAGTAAGAAAAGGAAACAATTCAGTTTAAATGTATTATTTAGCAGAATAAATTTTAGATTTGTTACAGTTTTCATCTTAGAATCAAGTGACCTGAATGAGTGTGTTTTAGTCTAGTGTGAAGTGTTGTTTTTTTTTTTTTTTTTTTCCTTTTTTTTAATGGAAACTGGTCATTCAGAGGTTATTCCAGTATCTTTGCAAGTTAAGTTGCAGTTCTTTCAGAACTGTTGCTTTGGATATGGAATATGTACACCTTTCCTTTTCTTTAACATCCCATCAATACTTGCATTTGCTTGAATGGACTGTTACTAACAAGGAAATGGACAGACTTCTCTCATCACTTTTCCCAGCTGCATGGATTCCATTCTAAAACATGATGAGGTTTAGTAAACAAGAAAAGATTCTAATAATTAAAAAGGCAGGACTAAGCCTTCTGTCTTCTGTTACTACTACCAGTGACCATGAAAAGATTTGAAACAAGGTTGCTATGGCAAACTTCCATCTTTTGTTGTCTTACCAGATTCCTGCTTACAGGTGGCCCTGGCTCTCCGGGAGGACCTGGTGGCCCAGGCATTGCAGCTGCTAAAACAAAACAAGCATACAACACATGTTGAAGGTCATCTGTTTTGAGAGAGAAAGTGAGTGACATAAATAAAGGACTTGGTGGTGGTGTCTAGGAATAGTGAGAGCTTTAAATGGCCATGGTCCTTATGTAGCCAGCTCTGAATAACTGTGTTCAAGCCAACTATAGCAAATGTATTCTGAGGATTTATTTATTTATTAAGCAATGGTGAAACAATCTTTTCTCTGTTATTTGGAAATTTAAAAGCAACAGCTTAGAATTTGTTGTGGGTATTCTGCAAATGAAGAATCAGATTGACTTAAATTGACCGGAATATTTCTTCTGCTAGCTGCTGTTGATGTGTACTTGGAAGAATTTTTAGCTCCCACCCATATAGGCTTTGAGGGAGTAAATTTATCCTTTGTTCTTAAAGTAAACTAGGATTAACTTTTACTTAGATAAAAATTCACAAGTGTAAGGTCAGCTATTGTTTCAAAGCAACAACGAATTCTCTGGTGGTATGAATCTGAACCTCTAAGACTGTAGTCCACAACATATATTACCTATCTAGTACCTCTCTCTACTCTGGAACTGAATTTTTTCACCTTGGGCTGAAAATCATTGTTTTTTGGAGTAAAAACTACAGGAAAGAAAAAAATATTTGGAAGACTGAAAGCAAAAATATTGTGTGAATTCATATGATAATGGCACATTAAAGCTTCTTAGAAGAAAGACCGTGCAGACCCTAGTGAGCATCATGATGCATCCCAGAGAGGCTCTGTAGCTAAAATCTGGGCAGACCTTTTATAAATCACAAGTAGAGATATTTCTGTGTATAAAAACAGAGACACAAAGTAGGGGCAACAAAATAGGTCCAGAGGTATCAACCAGAGTACACTAGTATACTGCTGGGAGTGTATATAAAAGGCTCAGCAAGAAATACAATTATGAACAGAAAGGCAGTGATGTGAGCTGGTATGACATGGAAGAAAGAGAAAAAATAGTTGGTGGATACCTGTCAAACTATCTGAAGCATGGGGGAGTCTAACATGTTCCAGCACACTGATGAGTCTGTGGCATAAAATATGCACAAGTACCTGCAAGGTTCACCTCCTTGCCAATTCCCAATTCCTATGTTGCTGGGCACTTGAGAATAGTATCCAGTTGATCTTAGCCATGCAAATAGTCCCATGATCCTAAATGTGGACCAAATTGCTCTTCAAAGTTGAAGGAGAATTATAATAATGTAGGAATATTCCCTGAAACCACCCTTTGGAGAAATTTAGTTGAGTACTTCTGGATAACCTCCCCACAATAATCTAAACTCTACTTATTCAGAGCTTACTGGAGAGTTTGGAATGAGATGGACTGAAGGAGAGTAAAAGAAGATAAGCTATAGGACTGTTTCCTCTGCCTTCATAATTTTAAAGTGAATAAGGATCAATGACCTTCAGTGAAAATAGAGCTATAGATTCCCCCCCACTTTCAAATACTATCAGTGGAGCAAAAGTATCGAATATCTTCTGTTTCACTGTATCTCTCCACTTTGAAGTAGTCTGATAATCTGAATAAAGCATTGTAAGATAAAACTTTAAAATATAGAATGGACCATTGAAGAGTCAGTAAAGCCTAATCCTGAAAGCAGTGCTGCATTCCAGAACTTGATTTTTACCAATTTATAACTTCTGAATTGAGAGGCTGCAATTACATACCAATAAAGCAAAATCTACTATTCAAAACTATTTATTTTTGTGAAGCCATGAGAACCCTCAAAATGGCCTTTTACAAATTAAAGAATTTATGCTCTGAGGATTCTCCAGAGAGAATCTCTTTCATACCAATAGCAGGGAAAACGGGCTTATTTCTCACAAGAATTCAAAGCTATTTATCTGCAGATAAGCCATTCTTCTTTCCTCATATTACAGTATGTGAACTCCATATTGCAGTAAGAGCTTTAACAGAGATAACTAGGTGAAGATACTAAATAAAGAAACAAACACCTGTCACCATAATATTTAGTAAAATGGACATCCATCAGTGTGCTGCCTAAAGAAGCTACTTACAAATCAAAGAGGAAAATGTGTGGAAGGATAATGAAGGCTAAGGGCAGAGTAGATAAGTGAAAGTATAGGGATGGAGTATTAATATATATATGTGTGTGTATATATATATATATATATATTCATCTGACTAGGTCTCTTAGCTAATATTCAGAAGTACTTGATGTGAATTACATGGGAAAAGACCTGACAGCCTTTATGGATGCCATGGATCTGTCAATTTTATTGTGATCAGGGGCTAATCCATGTCCAGGCCTATGTTCCAATGTTGAATATAGTAAGGATTACTCATTTGTTCAAATATTCATCAGGGCATGAACACTTCTGGTAAACACTCCATTAATAATATTTGCCAGGATGACAGCTTGGAAGTATCACCTTGTCTCTGGGCAGCTGTTTAAACCTAGTCTGACTAGGTTCAAGAAATACCTGCAGACTACAAACTGGAGGTGGAGGGGTCTTTTCCCCAGATGCAGCATGCTGAAAGCACAAGTGTTACAGGAAGAAGTCAGATCAATAGGTCTCAGAAACTGAGCTCTGTATTAGCTAGGCCAACCTAAAGTTTAGGCAGAACAGTCATGCATTATAACCTCTCTGTATGGTTAACAATGCCCTTGCTGTTAGCATGTTGCTTTCCTTCAGATGAGATTAGGGAATGCTTCGTGTTGGAGGGCTGGTTTTACCTTACCAGATTCTTATTCTGGGCACTGTTTCCTGATGGAGGAATCAGTCTCTCAGTCAGGTATCACTGACAAGTTATCCTCTGACATCACACTCAGCAGTGATGTCAAGTGGAGCCCAGGACCATTTCCATCAGAACCTAGTCTAAGGGCTGGACATTAACAATAAGAGTCTTGCCACTAACAGACCTGCAAGCCAGAAGGAGTCAAAAGTGCAACTGACTTGAACTCTGACATTTGGTTTAAAGCAATGCAAGGTTGCAATAAGTCATCTGAACCTCTAGCACCACCTCGTTAACAAAGCGTCTCCCTTGGATGTTACTACCTGTGACAATTTTTACACCTTTTTCTAATCCAGTAAATTGAAAATGATTAAAGTAACCAAAAGATACAGTAACCAATCCCAAAACAGATTTGCTCATATTCAGAGTGTGCAATAACAACTAGTTTTTAGAAGCAGTTCTCCACCAGTTTCATTTTAGACCTAAAATCTACTGTGAGTACTGCCCTTATATCACAGAAGAGCTTCCTGGCCCACATTAACAGCTTCCCAAATTTAGCCAGTCTAATAAACTTCACAAATATTTCAAGGCAACCTTCCCATGTTATTCTTCCCCTCCTCTGTTACTTCCTCCTAATCACAGTTAAAATAAAATTTTCATGCATTAGTGCTCCCATGGCACTAGTCAATGAAAACTGACTGCAGAGAAATCGTCCCTTTTGTGCTCTCAGTTCCAATACACACCCCTCAGGGAAATAACATCAGTGTGCAGGAAAGAAGGGAGAAACCTGATTCAAGCAGGAAGAATGGATGGGTGGCTAGAAGAGCAGATCCGTAAAGGAAATGGTGAGGAGAGAGGGGCATGTAAGTATGTATATGTGCTCATACACATAGTGAAAAGCAGAATGACACCCTCTCACCTGAGCCATATATTGCAGGGGGTCCTGGTGGTCCTGGTGGGCCAGGCGGGCCAGGAGGTCCAGTTTTTCCATAACCTGGTAGTCCAGGTAAGCCAGGTAACCCTGGAGGTCCTCTGGGTCCAACAACTGAGTCCCCTTTTGGTCCCTATGAATGATAAAAAATACTACCTTGAATGTATCAATTTCACGGCTGCGGGTCCTTCATCTCTGGTGGCAACATTTTCTGAAGGCAGGCCACTACACCACTGTTCAGACACGAGTCATAACCATTTTTGAAAGCCATGGGAAATGAAAAAAAAATCAACTATATATTAAACGAAATTAAAGAATTGGAGTTTCAGAAAGCTTTCTGATAGGTCTTACATAGTTATATATATTGCCTTGACTTGTAATGCTGTTGACAGCATGAATCTACATACTGATTTAGTTGTATTAGCCAGCTGAGCACAACACTATACCAGTTCTTCAGAGCAAATTAATTCCAATAGTGAAGTGTGTGTGTTTATGCCTAATGCAAGTCTGTCTCATTAACCTAATGGTTAGCATAGGAGTGTATATATTGTTCTTAACACCATCATGATGATTATTTCTTTTTACAGCCTTCTAAGTTAGAACAATGAGTACCCACAAGTATTCCTGTTATACCATTTATATGACTTACAATTAATCCTGGTCTTCCAGGTGGTCCAGGAGGTCCTGTCAGGTAAAATCCTCTGTTTGGTTCTCCCTTTTCTCCTTTTACACCAGTGTTTCCATTGTCTCCTTTTTCAGCCCTTTAAACATAACATATTTGAAAGCATTCAGTTGAAGCAAGATCTGAACCTCAGTTGAAGCAAGATCAGAACCCCATGCACTGGTCTTTTAAAGTTGCCTGAAATTTCTGAGATTAATAATGAAAAGGGTCCACTTAAAATCTTTTTGGCATCACTTCCTTCTACAGTGATATGGAATAAAAAGGAATGCCTCCTATATTGAAGCTGCAAGGATTTCACAGGGAGGAGAGGATTTTCACAAGGATTTTCACAGAAGGATTTCACAGGCTGGGAGAGACAGAGACTGAGTGGAGACAGAGGGAAGTGCCTCTGTTGCTGTTTCCTAGTTCACCCAGAAAAAAACACCTGATCTATGTTGTAGCTGGAGGCAAAGAGCAAGTTGGAGGAAGCATAAAAGCTTGTTGCTTTTCTCCCACATCAAGGAAAAAGCAAAGCAAGATTGACATGAAATGGACAGATATTTAAAGACATGTTACAAAGTGATGATTACCGCACATAGGTAATTACCACACAAAAGGATGGGTATGTGTACCAGGATAACAGAAGAGACACCACACAAAATTGCAGGCACTTTGAACTGTATCTCTTCTGATTAGCAGCTAGCTGGGGAACAGTGGCGGGTAAGAAGAAGCATTTAAATGCTAGGTCATTATCTTTTGTACGAAGTAAGTCACCTCCATTGTAGGTTCTGACCTCACATTATTTTCTCTTTGTCTGCTGGTTTCTCCTTCCTTCCTTCCTCCCTCCCTCCCTCCCTCCCTCCCTCCCTCCCTCCCTTCCTTCCTTCCTTCCTTCCTTCCTTCCTTCCTTCCTTCCTTCCTTCCTTCCTTCCTTCCTTCCTTCCTTCCTTCCTTCCTTCCTTCCTTCCTTCCAACCTTAATTTTTTTGGTCTATTTTGGTTCCCATTTTGAGAAATAAAGCTATGTATAGAGGCAGCAAAGGACAATGCAAGAGTGGCAGGTAGCTGGGGACAGAAAATAGAAATGGCTATGTATAGCTCCTCCTCTGAGTCTTCTTCTTTTCTTTTTTTTTTTTTTCTTTCCCTGTAAACAAAAGTATGAAGCTTTATATACGATATGCCATTTTGTAGAGCTGAAGGACTAGATGAAATTGTAGCTAAAGTTGTAAAGCTGCAAACACTGCTTTATTGTATCAGGGAAGCCACAATGGCTCTGCCATGCATGCACTGGACACTTCATGTTATAGAAATAACTTCAGTGCTCTCAGCCAAGCAGGAATAAAATCTGAAAAAAAGACAACAGTAGGAGTCCTTCAAGGAAACTGACAGTACCCCCACAAGCCCAGTTTTCTATGGCATCATTAAATGATAACTTGATTCAACTTTTTTCAGATCTTGTTTTGATAAAGAGCAACAACAGCCTTGTTTACATAAAAGCATTTAAAATAGTATTGTGTAGGTATTCATTTTTTCACTTAAAGCAGTCAGGAGAATAGTGGAACAGAGAGAGACCAAGCACATCATGGTATGGATATGCTTTCTTTTATGAGATCTCAGTAAACGAGCATGGGGAAGCAGAAACATGCTTTCCATCACTTTAATTTATTTTATTGATTGTGTTTAAAAGATAAATAGTATTCAACAGAAGTGAATTTCTTGTCATGCATTGATTGTTGGTAATATTTTTTCTAGTCACCCTCTAGGAAATGGATGTCTCTTATCTGAGCTGGCATGGAACAAAAGGCATTAATTTACAGCAAATAGTTTATACCAACCTATGTTAGGTAACAGTGAATAATGACTCACTTTAATACCACTGGGAAGGCAAAAAGCCTCACTAATGTTTTTTTTTTTTTTTTTTTTTTTTCTTTTTTCTATAGTCTTTCTGTAGTACTAACAGCTATCTCTGTATTTGTAACAAACTTTTATATTCATCTGGAGTTTAAGGAATTAATATAATTTGTAATTGCTGATCCAATTATCTGTTTCATATATTTCACTATTCTGTACTGCAGTATGCTTAATATACAGTATGCTTTAAAAAAAGCTTAAAGAACTCAAGAACTCAAACACAAATGAGATATAATTACCTTTATGCTATTAATAAAGTGGCTGAAATATGATGGAGGTAGAGGTGGACCTGAAAAATGAAGAAAATACAGTAAAGTACAGTAATTATCTGTAATTTCCTTTTTAAAAGCACTGCTTTAGGTATTTTTGGCTTAGAAGTTTAAAGGAAAATGATTTACAATGGTAATATTAACCTTTAAATCTAACATTTTTAGTTCAGTTTCCTAATGAAACCATGCTTACATGCTCTGTCTCACTTCTTCACCTTAATAATTTCTGAACCTTACTGTGGATTTCAGTGACATTTGAAAGCAAAGAAGTCTCAAAGATGGTAAGTACTCAGTTTTCTGAAAAATGCTCACTATAATCTCATTATAATGCCAAAACACACCTCCATCCCAAAGGCTACCCATCTCAAAGGTGTGACCACTCCTCACTGAGCATGCACTCTGAATTTCTCTGAGCCTATAACCTTTAAACAAAAGCAAGAAAAATTTGTACCAATCACAAGGAAGGCATGTATGACTAGAGTCACTATACTTTTAGTGACTAGAGTCACTTACTTTTAGGTGGAGCTTGTATGACAAGCTCCACCTAAAAGTAAGAAAATAGTTAAAAAAAATAGCTCAAGAGAGGAAAATGTCAGGGGAAGACACCATCATAGACAAGTTGGAAGGACATTGATGACTTCTGGGATCAGTTGATGGGCTGAACGTCTCTTACCCTCCTGCAGGAACGCCTATTGAGTGAGATTCGAACTCTTGGTTGTACTGAGTGCTTCCCCAGGCAACCTAGCATTCTCTACAGAGTTGTTTCATAAGTTAGCATGTGTAGTTGATTGTGTTTCTTATATTCTTGGTATTTGCACGTTTTGCAGACAGTGTATTTATCACCAGCAATCCAAAATAACCTATACTCTTGTTGCTTCAAAAAACTACACCTGTCATTTACTAGACTGAAGATGTATTGTACTATTTGTGAAGCCGTGATTGTAATTAATGTGGCCAAACCTTATAGTGCTGATTGTGCTATTTGTGCAACTGTGATCATGGTATATTGAATGCAACTGGACTTATAGTGCCACTTGGGCATCACTCAGAATCTAAGACCAGCCCCTCAGATATCTGAGGACAAGCTGGAACACAAGGGGGTTTAGGTCCTGCCAAACTTCCTTACCCTTTAACAAAAGAGCATTCCATATGTTTTGCAAGCAATGGGGTAGCAGTCAGTACCAGCCCACTTCTGAATGAATTACAGTTGTACTATCTTTTGTGCAAGGACACTTTCACAGAATCACAGAACCATCTAGGTTGGAAAAGACCTCCATGATCACCGAGTCCAACCTCTGACCTAACACTAACAAGTCCTCCACTAAACCACATCACTGAGCTCTACATCTAAACGTCTTTTAAAGACCTCCAGGGATGGTGACTCAACCACTTCCCTGGGCAGCCTGTTCCAATGCCTAACAACCATTTGGTGAAGAAGTTCTTCCTAATATCCAACCTGAACCTCCCCTGGAGCAACTTTAGCCCATTCCCCCTCATCCTATCACCAGGCATGTGGGAGAACAGACCAACGCCCACCTTGCTACAGCCTCCTTTAAGGTACCTGTAGAGTGTGATAAGGTCACCCCTGAGCCTCCTCTTCTTCAGGCTAAACAAGCCCAGCCCCCTGAGCCGCTCCTCGTAAGACTTGTTCTCCAGACCCTTCAACAGCTTCATTGCTCTTCTCTGGACTCGCTCGAGTACTTCAATGTCCTTCTTGTAGTGAGGGGCCCAAAACTGAACACAGTACTCGAGGTGTGGCCTCACTAGAGCTGAGTACAGAGGGACAATCACTTCCCTAGTCCTGCTGGCCACACATAACCAACAAGAAAAAGAACCAAGGTTACTGCCATTTTGCTGATCACAGAACAACTGTTCTTTGACATTTTTCTGCAAGAAAAACCAGTACCAGTACCAATGGTTGTAACAGCTGTGCTGTGTTGTCTGCCAATGGTGGTCAGCCAAAGCAGTCAAGCCAGCACAAGTCTAAGAAGTCTTCAAATATTCTTTGTTTGGGATACACTTGGAAAATGAATGTTTTACAGCTGCCAGTAACAGCTGGGGACATTTTCATAGAATCATAAAATATCCCGAGTTGGAAGGGACCCATAAGGATCATTGAGCCCAACTCCTGGCAGCACATGGGTCTATCCAAAAATTCAGACCACATGACTAAGAGCACAGTCCAAATGCTTCTTAAACTCCAACAGGCTTGGTGCAGTGACTACTTCCCTGGGGAGTCTGCTCCAGTGTGTTACAACCCTCTCATTGAAGAACCTCTTCCTGATATCCAGCCTGAAGCTCTTCTGTCACAGTTTGATGCCATTTCCTATCACTGGTCAGTAAAGAGAACAGGTCAGCACCTGCCCCTCCACTCCCCCTCGTGAGGAAGCTGTAGACCATGATGAGATTCCCCCTCAGCCTCCTCTTTTCCAGGCTGAACAGGCCTAGTCACCTCAGCTGCTCCTCGTATGTCTTCCCCTCTAGGCCCTTCACCATCTTAGTACTTTGTCCATCTGGACACTCTCCAACAGTTTAATGTCCTTTCTGTACTGTGGTGCCCAGAACTGCACACAGTACTCGAGGTGAGGCTGCACCAGCACAGAGTAGAGCGAGACAATCACTTCCCTCAACTGACTAGCAATGCCGTGCTTGATGAACCCCAGGATATGGTTGGCCCTCCTGGTTGCCATGGCCCTCCTGGCAGCCATGGAGGCTGCCATTTCTTCAAATGTGTTCTGAACTTTGGGTGCAACACTGTTCCAGCCATAGGTCTCAGATCTCAGTATATTATCTCAGATAACGTAGATATGTAGATAGTGTATACATCTGTACTCTGGGACAGAAATGTATTGCCAGTGTGGTAGCTATTTTGATTTTATTTGAATCCTGACAGCTATTGCTCAATCTATGAGAGGGGATGGAGAATAGACAGGTATATTGGTAGGTGTCCTTCTCAGATGTTGCTTAGTATTAATTTCTGTGTTGGGTAATATTTTAGGATTTTTCCTAGGAGATCTTTCAAGCAGACTAGGTCTATGCAAAGTATGTGAGGAATAGGGAGGGCATCACTCTAAAATAAAACCCAAAAACTCGTGGTAGGGAACCAGTGGAAAAACAGGGGTGGCTTCAGAAAGGATAGAGGAACTGTGATCCGGGAGCTTAAGGCTAGCTCTACCTATACTGGTACTCCTACCTCTTTAGCCCCATGATCAAATAGCATAGCTTTTATCCATACAGCTAAACTGTCTTCCTCACTCCCAAAACAGGAGAAAGTTATCCATACAGCCTATTGTACCAATCCTTCAGTTAAGCTGTCTCCCATGGTCTTGGAAAGTGTTATTTATTTTAGGCCAAATGTTGGCCAGGAAACATGCTAACATTTAAACTGCAGGACAATTATCTCCTGTCCTGGCCCTGTTTGGTTTACACAGCCAGAGAAGTTTGCCTGACATGACTTCTCAAGGGCTTACCTAGTCCAGTCCTCTTCTCTAGACATTCAGTGGAGGGCTGATAGGCAATTTTTTGTAGGACCTTTGGGGATCTTAACATCAACCAGAGGGAAACATGCTAATTGCATAGCCTGTGCTGGCAGACCAGACATTTTCATTTTGCTTTCTTTTCTGATGTTGCTGAAATGGACTAATAGCACTTTGCATGGGCATTATCAATAGCAAAATCACACCCTCACAATGATCATAAAGTTACAGAACTTTGGTGCCCTTTCTTTTAGAGAAAGCCGTGATGCTTTCTGATCTGGGATCTGATTTATAAATGAACTCAGTCCCTGGAGCAACAAAATTCATTACAGGAATTAGTGCTTGACCAGTGAGATGCTGTCTTGTTCCCCATCTGCTTTTCCTTTAATTCCATTCCTTTCAGTATTCATGAGAAGGAGGGTGAAACTTCTTCATAAAGAAAAGAAAGTCTCAGGACAAACAAGAAAAAGGGTGGATTTGGATGAGTATTGAAACTTGTCCAGAATGCCAGGTATGAATGTGGCCTGGCAGGAAGGAAGGATCAAATGCCAGTGTACTGCAATAAACACTGCATTTTAGATGAGCAGATCTTCAACTTTAGGCAATTGGGTCTGAGATTGTGATACCATGAATTCTTCTCCTCTGTTTCTAAATGGGTTTCCTTACATGGCCTCAGACAGTATTCCTTCAGCCAGAAATAATGAGGTTGTGTTGGAATGTTGCATATATGATTGGAACACTGTGCCTATGTTCTGGATACTCACTATACCTGCCTTTATACAGGGTAGTTATATAAATTGCGGCCTGCCAAATATCCATGCTTTCTATGCTGGCTTCATGTTTTTGCAAGCTATCAATTAATGGAGTCTGTCTGTAAGGTTAGAGGGATGACATTTGGGGTAGAGGAAAAATAAATCCACTGAATGAATAAATGGCAGAGTTCAGAAAGCTTTTCAGATTGCTGTGACTCAACAGATAGTGAACTGGAAGGACCTTCAATTGTTTGTCCCCAAAGAAGGTTTTGAAAATTTCCTATACTATCATGTTCTACTATCCTGCAATTTCTGGATTGTGAATTTCCATTGTCGAAGGTTGTGTAGGTATCTATAAGACCTACAGAATGGATTTGTATAAAAGAACATTGTAGCAGTTACGTCAGCTGACATTCTTTTAGGAGGAAGATTTAAACAAGGCAGTTTAACCAGAATTATTGTATAATTTTCTCCATCCTCTCTAGTTGCAGTTTTATAACAAAACCATAAGCATAATCCTCTGCTTCAGAAGATGTACCTGAAATCATCAATTACAGACAAAAGTAACTGTAGGACATTGAACTACATTAAATACAAAGTCTGGGAATTAACAGACATTGACAGTGGATAAACCGGCACAGAAGAGTAAATCTTAACCTCTGTATAGAAATCTTTCTTGCTCTTTTTTTTTTTTTTTTTATAAGTCTATTGATGATGAGGAAGCGCTAGCTGCTACTTCAGAGCACTGGACATTGATCAGAATGAAGATTAATAAGGACAAGACAAGAAAGCAGATTTGATTACAACAAACAGATGTCCTCATAAAAATAACCAAATATCTTAAGTCAACAGAACTGTGGCTTTGGAACAAAGACAAAATATCCATGTATATACAATTTTGTATTAATTATGAACACATTAGAGGACAAATATTATAAATATGGTATAGGAACATTAATTTGATGTACAGCTTCTTCTATTTTGAATGATTGCTGGCACTGACCAAAGCCTTATCTCAGTATATGAGATTTCAAAAAATATAGTAAAAAGGGAGAATTTGTAATAGCAATCTTTTCAAATAGATGCTTGTTTCTATAACTATTTTTGAATGTGTAAGAATTAGCAATATGTATCAACTTTTGATATAGAAAAGTAAATCTTTGGTAAGCAACATCTGTTGTGATGCTCCTAGCACAAGTGAATTGATAATTTAGCTCTCATATCTTTTATGATTATGGCAAATAAAGCATGGAATATTAAAAAGTTGGTTGAAATGGAGATGGTCGAGTTCTGGAATTGGGACTATCACCAACAAATGGCTGCCTTGAAATCAGAATGCAGAGGTATGTTATCCTGAAAGGGATAACACTGCGTTTTAGTCCAGTTGGCTCAAAAACTCTGACAACAAAATAATGTCTCAGGAAGTGGGTGTGATGTTCTTCTAAGATTTCAGAAAATCTCCAACCAGCCAGATACATTTCAATATCTGTTCATGTACTGAACACACTCATAATAGGTTCACAAATGTGCAGTACAGATAGTTCTTTTCAGAGGATACATTACAGGCTTTGTTGTTCTGCACCTCAGTTCAGCAAGAAAATAAGTGTGTCTTTAGGCAGGTAAAGGTACTTTGCTGTACTGCTTTTAAGTTAAACACATGATCCTTTAGAGGGTATCAGTGACATATCTGATTTAGTATACCTGGTGGTCCTGGATCACCTCTGTCTCCCTTTTCTCCTTTTAAGTCTGCTGAACTCCCAGTGGACTGCAATCCCCAGCAATCTCTGTTTCCTTTAGCACCTGTCATAAAAGCATCACAATGAAACAAAATTCACAAGAACTTTCAAACAACAGAGACTGCAGAAGTAACAACCAAACCACTGATAGTAGGAGCAGATTTTTCATATGTGCAGGGCTTTTAATTCCAGTCCCTATATGCTTGTCTCACTGTTCTCATTAATATTGAATGGCTGGCTGGCTCATTGTCCTCTCTTGTTTATCAATCCCAACATGTACAAAATAATCTTTCTTTTACAGATCAGTCTTTCACTCTCCTTTCCTTAATCACCTAGCCTTTGACCCTCTGAACCAACCTGTTCTCATTGCATTTGTGAATTTCATGGGGCAAGAGCAGAAATGGTTCTTACATTATGATTTTGATACCAAAACTGCTATCTCTAGATTTTGAAAAAAAATAGTATCTGTAATGTTCAGCTGCTCCTCATAAGACTTGTGTTCCAGACACTTCACCCTTCATTGCCCTTCTCTGGACACTCTCCAGGGCCTCAATGTCCTTGTAGTGAGAGGCCCAAAATTAAACACAGTACTCAAGGTGCAGCCTCGCTAGAGCAGAGTACAGGGGGACGATCACCTCCCTAATCCTTCTGGCCACACTTTTTCTGATAGCAAGCCAGGGTATCTTTGGCCTTCTTGGCCACCTGAGCACACTGCCAGCTCATATTCAGGCAAGCATCAACCAACAGCCCCAGTTCCTTTTCCTCTGCATAGCTTTCCAACCACTCTTCTCCCAGCCTGTAGCATTGCTTGGGGTTGTTGTGCCCCAAATGCAGGACCCAGCACTTAGCCTTGTAGAACCTCATACAGTTGGCCTCGACCCATCAGTCAAGCCTATCCAAATCCCTCTGTGTAGCCTTCCTACCCTCGAGCAGATCAGCACTTGTGCCCAACTTGCTGTTGTCTGCAAACTAACTGAGGGTGCACTCAATCTTCTCATCCAGATCACTGATAAAGATATTAAAGAGAACGGGCCCCAGTATTGATCCCTGGGGGATTCCACTTGTGACTGGCCTCTGGATGGATATTTCTCCAATCACCATGACTCTTTAGACCCAGCCACCAGAACAGTTTTTAATGCAATGAAGCGTACACCTGTCCAGGCCTTGAGCAGCCAGTTTTTACAGGAGAATGCTGTGGGAAATGGTGTCATAAGTCATACTGAAGTCTACGTAGACCTAATCCACAACCTTTCCCTCATCCACTGCTCAATTTATAAGCTAGCCCTTGAAGTGTATCCCTATACTCATTTATTCTCTGGCCTGCATGTTGAGACTGGACCAAGATATGATATTATGGATTCAGCAGAACAAGTGAGACTATCATATATTTTTTTTTTCCCTCATGAAACCAGTTATGCAACACCCCCCCCCCCAAAAAAAAAAAAAGAAAAAAAAAAGTGTTTTTAGTTCATAATAAGAACAGTTTATTTAAACCATGCTGCAAGAATTACTCACCTTGGACATTAAGAGCTTCTTCATTCCCAGGGTAAGTAGCGCTCACCTACATACAAAAAGAAATCTATTAGAACTTATCTATACACATTAATTGATGGAAGTGCATCACTTAGTGTGACTGGAAAGGCTGGAATATTTGCATGCTATCACAGTAAGTGTTATAACAGCACTCTGTGCTCATCTCCAGTTTGGCAGGTTTTGAGTATTAACTAATCAAGCCTTTTTCAGGATTGCGCTATCTTAAGCATGCAACATGCTTTCAGTAAGAGCGTAACAGCATGCACTTTGGAGGCACTAGCAAATCCCAGTCTCAGTCATGCTAGAGAAACATCAGAAGACTTATTCTCCAAGAACAATTCTAAATTTACATCACTGCATTTGAAAGCAGGATTTGATATTTGATTGTATGATAACAGAATATAGTTGTAATTTTTTCATCAGACCATGGCTAGGCCTACTCTCTGATGTTGACCTATACTCCAGATGCATTGAAATCACAGTGGGGAGAAACTTCGTATTTTAGTGTATCCTATTCTGAGTCAACTCCCCTGTAACAAGACTTCTACCACCTGTCTTCAAAACAAGGACAGTGCAGGAATTAAAATGTGGCACACTGCTTGGAAATAGACAGACCTTAGTACTAACTAGTACTATTTATATGAATTTAAACAAGCATACAAAGAAAATCAAACATATGTGTGCTGCATATGGCTAATACTGCAGTATTAGCTCTTAGGAGTCTTCAGTCACATGGATAGCTCCTTTAAATTCAGAAATTCACTTCACATGGAGAAAACTTATGAGATTTAGTCTGTAGTTCTTTATGGATATACATTTATATAGGCATGTGCAGCAGACTTCTTATCTATATACTTGGTTAGGTTTAGATTATCCACAAATGTATGTCAAAGCTATCCTAAAAATCTAAAAAAAAACTAAAAAAAATCTAAAAAAGCTAGTGTATTCAGATGCATGAAGAGGTATTTATAACTACTGGCTTTATTACTTTTACATGTAAAATTCACTTTTATTATTCAGTGATTGTAACCTTATTGAAAAGTGACTTTTTATTATTATCTAAAACTCAGCTAAAATAGGTTTGCATTGTTTGAATCGTTCCACAGAGAAGCATACAAAACTTGAGTTTGGAAGGGATTTCTGGAAGTTGTCTAGCCCAGAGCAGGATCAACTACAGCATGTTGCTTGGTGCAGTCCAGTCAGGTTTCAGAGATGAGGCTGACTAACCCAGAACTTTTGTGTGAATGTGAGAAAAATATACCAGAATGTTATGCAGTAGGAATAGGAAGATTTAAGGGAGGAATTCAATGAGGTAAAATGATGTCTACAATAGTGGGCCAAACCCATAGGAATGTGAAATTACCATGGAGTAATGACTATTTATCATTAATTAACAGAAAGATCAGAAAGATACATTACCTGGGATAAATCTTTCTTGAACAGTAAATGGTGTGATGAGTGTCAATGCATCTAGTATAGTCTAAGTCAAGAGCTGCTTTTCTAATATGAGTAAAAAAGGACTATAATGGAAACTGGAAGAGAAGAGCACAGTACTATTTTGAACTATACTGTCTAACAGAAAACTAGAGCAGCCATACCATGCATCAGACTATTCAGGGGAAGACCGTGGTGTTCAAAGACAGAATCCTTTCCAAGTATGTAGCCCACAGGTTAGCAGTATAATATTGTCCTAGGAAGAGTAATCCCAGGATTAAACTGTGTCCACAGTTCATTGTAGGATGTGAATTTCCATTACATGTTAAGCAAAAATTGCATCAAAGTGTTCTGAAAACATGAAAACTCTTTCCTTTCTTTTGACACTGAGTATGAAATTACAGTTCCTTTGAAGACAACAGAGGGTGTTGTCATTTACTTTGGAAAAGTGTGGCAGAGCTTCACCTGGTGGCTTTCTTGTGATAATAATTTTTTATCATAGAATCATAGAATGATTTGGGTTGTAAGAGACCTTAAAGATTATCTAGTTGAAACCCCCTCCCATAGGCAGGGATATCCTCCACTAGATTGGGTCGTATCAAATCTGATCTTGAACACTTCTTTTAGTTTAAAACCGTTACCCCTTTTCCTTTAAGTATAGTCCCTGATAGAGAGTCCCTCTCCACCTTTCTCAGACACACAGACTTGCTGAGGGGGCACTCTATCCCGTTGTCCATGTCACCAACAAGGATGTTAAATAACACCGGTCCCAATACAGACCTCGAGGGCATCAGTCATTATTGTTCTCCACCTGGATACTGAGCCATTGACTGCAACTCTTTTAGTATGACCATTCAGCTAATTCCTTACCCACCACATGGTCCATCCATTAAATCCGTGTCTCAACATTTTAGAGACAAGACTGTTGTGTGGGACAGTACCAAACGCTTTGCACAAGTCCAGGTAGTTGCCATCAGTTGCTCTTCCCTTATCCACTAATGCTGTAACCCTGTCTTAGAAGGCCACCAAATTTTTCAGGAATGATTTGCAATTAGTGAAGCCATGTTGGCTGTCATCAATCACCTCTTTGTTTTCCAAGTGCCTTAGAACATTTTCCAGGAGAATCTGCTTTGTGATTTTATTGGAGACAGAGGTGAGACTGACTGGCTTGTATTTCTCTGTGTCTTTCTTTTTCCCTTTTTAAAAATGAGGGTTGTCTTTCCTCTTTTCCAGTCACTGGGAACTTCATCAGACTGCTATGACTTTTCAAATACGATAGATAGTGGATTAGCAACTTCATCTTGCTAGTTCCCTCAGGACCCTCAGATACATCTCATCAGCTCATGCACATTCAGGTACCTTAGAAGGTCTTAAACCTAATCTTCTCCTACAGTGGGAAGCATTTAATTTTCCCAGCCCCTTCCTTTGGATTCTGTGAATTTGGTGATGTGGCTAGAGCACTTGCTGGTGAAGACTGAAGCATAAATGTCATTGAGTACCTCAGTGTTCTCCATATCCTGGGTAACCAGGTCTCCATTTCTTTTAGCAGAGGGCTCATATCTTTCCTATTCTTCTTGTTATCACTGATGTACTTGTAGAAGCCCTTCATGTTGCACTTATTGTCCCTGGCCAGATTCAATTCTGTCTGGGCTTTGGCTTTCCTAACTTGACCCCTGGCTACTTGGACAATGTCTCTGTATTCCTTCCAAACTACTTGTCCTTGCTTCTATCCTTTGTAGGCTTCCTTTTTGTGTTTACATTTTCCAGGAGCTCCTTGTTTATCCATGCAGGCCTCCTGGCATTTTTGCCTGACTTCCTCCTTGCTGGGATGCATTGCTCCTGAGCTTGGAGGATCCTTGAGTATTAACCAGCTTTCTTGGGCCTCTCTTCTCTCTAGGGCTTTATCCCACAGTACTCTACAAAGCAGATCCCTGAAGAGTTCCAAGTCTGCTCTCCCAAAGTCCAGGGCTGTGAGTTTGCTGTGCACTGACCTAAGAATCTTGAACTCCACCATTTCATGGGCACTGCAACTATGGCTTTCTTTTACCTTCATATTTCCCCAAAGCCTCTCCCTATGGGTGAGAACGAGGTCCAGCATATCACTTCTGTTCATTGGCTCCTCTATGATTTGGAGAAGGAAATTATCATCAATACCTTCTGGGAACCTTTTGGATTGCTTATGGCTTGCTGTGTTGTCTATCCAACAGATATCGAGGGGGTTGATATCTGTTGATATCCCCTCCTCATCCCCCCTGCCTGTCCTTCCTAAATAGCCTGTATGCTTCCATTACAACACTCCAGTCATGAATTATATGTGAATAGTCTGCAATTGAGGGTCAAATAAGGACTGTGATTTTTCTTTTCTGACACACTTTTTATGCCAGACTGAAATATATAAGGTGTCTTATTTTGGACGGAGAAATTGAAAACAGCAAAAGACATAACAATGTGGAGACATTATTTATATGTACGTCTGAAAGATGCATGTACATGTATGTATAAATATTCACTCCCCAAAGCAACTCTCAATCTATGGAAACATGGAGCTCTGAAAGCCATTAAAAGAGTTCAGACAACCAAGTAATCAAAGTGCTTTAAGCAAAAGGTTCCAGTTAGTTCTGTTATACATGTGGCTAACTTTGAATATTTAAACATTTGAAAATCTGTTATCTTGAAGACTAGGTAAAACATCTCCCTGGTGTACAGCAGAAGGCAGGGGGAGTAAAGCTGCAGAGATACTGTAGTTATGCATGTAGCTGTTTTGGTTATGTATTGTCATGGGCATGCATCTTGCTACGAGCAAATTCTGTGTGTGACTTACTGTCATCTTGCAATGAGGTCTGCGAGATACTGGGAAAACTGTCTATTGAAAATAAGAAGGGAAATAAGTTTAATGAATGTAGGCAATAATATTCCAGAAAACACACCAAACAGTTAGATCTAATAGACATGACAAGACAAAACTTGAAAGTAAAAAACAGCACCTCACAGAGTCCTGTTTTCTTCCTGGGAGCTCTCATGGTTCTGTCAGCATAGAATCATAGAAACATTAAGGTTGGAAAAGACCTCCAAGATCATCTGGTCCAACTGTCCCCCTACCACCAATGTCACCCACTAAACCATGTCCCTATGCACCAGGTTGAGCCTTTCCTTGAACATCCCCAGGGATGGTGACACCACCACCCCTCTGGGCAACATATTTCAATGCCTGACTACTCTTTCTGAGAAGAAATGTCTCCTAATTTCTAACCTAAACCTCCCCTGGCACAACTTGAGGCTATTCCCTCCTGTCCTATGACTAGCTATCTGTGAGAAGAGGCTGACTCCCAGCTCCCCACAAATTCCTTTCAGATAGTTGTAGGGAGCAATAAGGTCACCCCTAAGCTTCCTTTTCTCCAGGCTAAACAACCCCAGCTATGTCAGCCTCTCCTCATAAGACTCATGTTCTAGACCCCTCAACAGTTTCATTGCCCTTTTCCGGACACGCTTGAACACCTTGATGTCCTTCCTATAGAGAGGGGCCCAAAACTAAACACTCAACGTGCACTCAACGTGCTGCCTCACCAGATCAGAGTACAAGGGGACAATCACTTCCCTAGTCCTGCTGGCTATGCTGTTTCTGATACAAGCCAGGATGCTGTTGGCCTTCTTGGCCACCTGAGCACACTGCTGGCTCATGTTCAGCCAACTATCAACCAATACTCCTAGGACCTTCTCTGCCTGGCAGTTTTCCGGCTACTCATCTCCCAGCCTGTAGCACTGCTTGGGGTTGTTGTGCCCCAGGTGCAGGACCCGGCACTTGGCCTTGTTGAACCTCATACAGTTGGCCTCAGCCCATCGGTTCAGCCTATCCAGATCCTTTTGCAGAGCCTTCCTACCCTTGAGCAGATCAACACATGCACCTAACTTGGCATCGTCTCCAAACGTACTGAGGGTGTACTCAATCCCCTCATCTAGATCATTTATAAAGATACTGAAGAGAAAATATTGAAGAGAGGATAGCTAAGAAAAACAGGACAAGCAGTGTGAAATCAGTAAAAACAAAAATCACGGGCCCTCTGGTCACAACAGAAGAAAGAAAAAAAAAAAAAGGAAAAGGAGAAATTAACATTTGGTCAAATAAAATTGTACACGTGTGGTATAGAAAAGCATTGAGTAGTTTGTGAACCTGTAGTACTCAGCCGATGAAGAAACAGGGGAGGAATCAAGCGTCGGGTAATAGGGAATATAATGTTATGGTGTATATAGACCTTTACTAGGTGCTCCTGCTTGCAGGATGCCCACCATTGCACTTGAAAATAAAATAGCTTCACAGAAGACCCTGTCTGAAAAAATTATTGAGATTTTTCTCACACCACTAAGATATTAAAGAGGATAGGCCCCAACACTGACTGCTGAGGAACACGACTTGTGACTGTTCGGTCACCAACTGGATTTCATTCCATTTACCACTACTCTCTAGGCCCAGCCATCCAGCCAGTTTTTAACCCAGCAGAGTGTACCTGTCCAAGTCATGGGCTGCCAGCATCTCCAGGAGAATACTGTGGGAGACTGTGTCAAAGGATTTGCTGAAGTCTAGGCAGAATACATCCTTTCCCTCATCCACCAGGTGGGTCACCTGGTCATAGAAGGAGATGAGGTTGGTCAGGCAGGACTTGCCTTTCATGAACCCATGCTGGCTGGGCCTGGTTGTCCTGTGTATGCTGCGTGATTGCATTCAAGATGACCTGCTCCATCACCTTTCCTGGCACCGAGGTCAGGCTGACAGGCCTGTAGTTCCCTGGGTCCTCCTTATGGCCCTTATAGATGGGCATCACGTTTTCAAATCTCCAGTCATCCGAGATCTCTCAGTACTTATTATTGTGTCTATCTTCATGTCTGTCATGAGACCAGTTGAATGAATTCTGTTCATAAGAACAGAGTTGCAGCATGTCCCAGTCTATATGTGTGGGGCAAAGTTCTTACATCACAGTGGCTCTTTGTAGCGTTAAAGCCTAAAGTAGTTCACAGTGATGCCCAATTAGTCATTATGTCTGTCACATTCAGGGTACTGAACTATCACTATTATGGATGCACAAATAACGTAATACACCCTTGGTCTTGTTGCGTTCCATGAACTACAACAGCCACACTTAAAGAGTTTGGTCATGTTCAATCAGAACTACCACAGCTAGATTAATGAGTTGTACAATTTATTGAAGGAACAGGTACACATCTTTGGATTGCTGGTGATAAATTCACCATCTGCAAAGTATGTGCAAATACCAAAAATATGAGTAACACAGTCTGGCTACAAACACATTAAAAAATATAAAGCAACTCTATAAAGATTTCTAAGTTTCCTAGGGAGGCACTTGACATAACCAAGTGTTCAGATCTTACCCAGTCAGTTGACTGATCCCAGAAGTCTGAAGGTATCTTTTCCTTACATGACGGTATCATCCCTAACATCATCTCTTCCTTAAGCTAATTTATATTATTTTCTACCTTTTAGGTGGAGTTTGAGTGACTCTGGCCATGCATACCTTTGTTATGAATGGTTCAAAATTTTCTCTCTTTGCTTTTAAAGGTATAGACTAGAAAAATTTTTTAGCACAAGCTCAGTGAGGCATGGTTACACCTTGGAGGTGGGTAGCCTTTGGAATGGAGGTGTGTTTTGGTATTATAATGATATTATAATTAGTAAAGTTCACGAAAAGGACAGCATTTTGTCAAAAATATGACAGACTGTTGGCCCAGGATACCAAATGTGCAGCTTATCGGTTTCAGTGTGCACAAGAACAATCAAGTTCACATCTTATCACAGATCCTGGCTATGGTGTCTCCACTCTGCCCCACCCACCACACAGTTCCTCTTAGAGTCAGCACACAAAGTTCCCCTGGTGTGATCAACATCTAAGGTTGGAAGCTTAAGGAACTTCTGTGTGGTGCAGCTACATTCCACCCTGGAAGCTTCTTCGATGCTGTACCTTTTCTTTAAAATGGGAATATAAGTTTTAATTTCTGAGTCACCTCAGGCAATTACTCCATACTCTTGTTATGAGATTTCTTCCTACGCATGCAAGCAAGGTGGCCCACAGTAAATGCTGTTGCCTGAAACAAGTTTTGAGGTTTCACTTTGCAAACCATTTCAAGAACAGCACATTTCTGCTACAGAGACAGAACAGAAACTGTTCAGTGTACTTACTCCTTTGATGTAAACTATACGTCCTGGACGTCCAGGGGGCCCTGGGGGTCCAGGCAAGCCAGGCATGCCCTGGTAAAAGAAAGTGAAGTAAGGAAGACATTACACAGATCTTTTCATATGCAGTACAACTGGGCCTAGGGAAGGAAGGACAAGGGGCTTAGAAGGCTCTGTTTAACCAAGAAGTTATATGTGAAATGTCTTGAGGGAAGGCTGAGCATTCAGTTAGAGGGACCAACCTAAGCTGGAAAGTGAATTTTAATATTTAGCCTAAAGTACTCTATGGAGAACAAAGCAGCCCAAAATTGCTATTTCCAGGGAAAAATAAGCAAGCAAACATCCAACTCCCAAGCCCCAAAGCACTATAAGTTGAAACTAAATTAAAGTCAGTGGTTCTACCATTTAAAGATAATTAGGTCTTCAAGACTGACCTGGGACTCTCAGGACTGATGAGATTCATATACTTCAAAGTGCCTGTCAGATAACTCTACACTAATTAGCATCTTCAAGGAATCCTGCTACACTGGAGGCATGACTGCCCTTTACAAAAACTATGCCAAGTCTTTACCGTGTCATTTAAAAATTTGGCACCATGACATGTCCATGTTTCACTCTACATTGATGCACACTTCAGTGAGGTGTCATATGTCACCATATAAATAACTATTCTATTGGATCTATTGGATCTATTGGATTTTATCTTCCCCAAGCACTGAAGGAAAAACTATTAGAACGTGCAACCTGTTTTGCTTGCCTGTTTGCTTTAATGGCCCATCCTGATAAACTTCATCTGATAACAATTGCTTTAATAGTTTTTGTTTGGCTAGGGGAGACATTCCAGAAAATTAACCTTGACACTGTTTAAAGATATGGAGAAACTGAAAATCTATTTAATGTTTTCTGCCAGAGGCTAGTCATCTTTTCTGTCTTTTTTGTCTAGTTATAATTTGTCTAATCTGCCAGGCTTCATCTTCCAGCAACTAAATTTCTATTGACTAGATCATCTCTTCTGATACCTTGCTGATCCATACCTTCCTATGATTTCTATGGTAATGCAGTAAGGTTCCCTTATCTATTCTTTTTTTTTCTGCATATCTTAGATACAGATGAAATATTATTATTACCTGCTGTTGTGGTTAGAGTACATTTTTCTTTTTCAGCACAGATCAGCCCATGATGTCAGAACAACTACAAGAAGTACTCTGCCAAGTAAATAAATACTCTAGTCTGAAACGTGCTGCTTATGCTCAGCAGTATTTATTGATGTGTGTTTTACAATTCTTCATGTCTGTCATGAGACCAGTTGATTTAATTCTATTCATAAGAACAGAGTTGCTGTGCCAGAAGAGAGTTGCAGCATTCATTACTTGTCATTCCATAATTACAGGATACAGGTGGGCATGTTTGTGCAATCATCTTGCAAACACTGTATGGTGGTCATTATTCTGGATACATGTACATGAATATCAAAGCAGGTAATAGGTATCAGCAACCATCTCCTCGTTAGTCGGGTAGATGACACTTAATTATGATATGCTTAAATGCTGCTTGCACATATTTAAGACATCTAAAAGACTATGGAAGTATCTTCACACCATGAAGATCCTATGTATTTGTAGAAAGAATTTGGAAATCCCAGATCATATGCTATTTGAACAACCTATGCTAACAGTGAATTGCATGCAACTTTTACACCTGGGATCTATAAGATCTATACAAAGATCTATATATATATATATATATATATATATATAAATATATATATATATACAAAGATCTATATCAGTAAGAACTGTCCAGGTGGCCTCAGAAGTTGACTTTCTGATGACTGTTATCACATAGGAATAATAGCAGAAGCATATAATCATTTCAAGCTAATTTCAGCTTTTTCATCCCATCATCATTTCAAAGAAATTCATAGAAACTAGACTTGACAAGACTTCAACAAGATTTATTTCAATTAATTGTAATACATAAAAACTTACATTTAATGCTTCACCTCGTTCACCTTTCACACCTCTTAGTCCATTGAGTCCTGGGCGGCCCTGAAATAAGTACACATAACAAAAGAGTAGAAATAGTGCAGTAAGTGCCTGAACCAAGCTTCCCTACTTTCATTCCATTTGAGAGCTTAATACATACTGGTCGTCCTGGGAAGCCAAGTTCTCCTTTAGGTCCAGCAGGTCCTATTGGTCCCTGGACAGAAAAGAAAATATGATTGTGGAGAAAAAGAATAAAATTGAACAAATAATGTATGGAAGAAATCTTTGGCACAGATTTGGTTATTTAGAAATAGAGGCATAGTGTTACATTTGTGTTAAGTCAGTCTGTGATTATTTGCCCACAATGCACAGAATGTCGTGTCTATTTCCTCAGAATGTCCTCTCTATTTGCTCTTTTAAGTGATCTCAGAAGCTGGAGAGGTCTGCATATAACAGAGAAGTCTGGTTTGGAAAAGACTGGCTATCTGAAATGAAGCCTGAATTTTCTGCCATTTGTATTGTGTGTAGTTCAACACTAAGTTGCCGTGTATCAAAGCAAAATTAAGCATATCAGTCAATAGAAAAAAGGCAGTTAAAGGTGTATACTTTGTGCACCTGCTTTTTTTTAAATTTTTTTTTTTGAATCAGACACTATGGGGAAATGTCTGTGGATTAGACTGAGACTTCCTATAGTGCCAGACTTCTTGCCAGCCTGGATACATGGACTTAAGTGGATGATAATTGAAACAGATCCTTCTTTACACAAGAGTTACCCATCAGACCACAAAGACTGATAAAAGAGACTTCAGAACTAAAAGGCAAGCAGGTCATCCAGGAAAAGTAGTCCAGGATCAGAACTAAAAGGCAAGCAGGTCATCCAGGAAAAGTAGTCCAGGACCATGGATTATCTGTGATTTGGTATTTGCAAGCACATGACTTCTAGGCAGCCAGGGGTAACAGATTAACAAAAAGCAGTAAACTGGTGAACACCACAAGCTTTAACCTGCAGTCAACTTCCTAAAACTCAACAAAACCACAAGAGTCTAGACAGTCTCTTTACTTGTGAGTCAGCTTTTCTAGTTTCATTTCCTTTTTTTTCCAGCCTGGTGAAATACTAAAGAATTTGCCTTCTTGAATTATTGCACTTGTATTTTAACTACACTCATTGTTCCACATGTACATGGAGAAGATGAAGGCTACATATGATTTGGATGCATAAAATCTGAAAGTAAATCTTCTAATACCTTGTACTGGGTCTGACACAGTCCCCATTCCTGGGGGTGTTTAAGGAAAGGCTGGACATCGTGCTTAGGGACATGGTTTAGTGGGTGATGATGCTGATGGTAGGGGGACGGTTGGATCAGATGATCTTGGAGGTCTTTTCCAACCTTAATGTTTCAATGATTCTATGACCTCATTGCAATCATGGAGACATAGTGGGATACTTCACATGACTGGAATGCTGTCATTGAAGGCCACGTGCTTTTTAGAAAAGACTGGCCAGGAAGGCAAGGTGGTGGGATTGCTCTTTATGTGAGAGAGCAACTGGAATGCATGGAGCTCTGCCTAGAGGTGGATGAAGCAACTACAAGCCAGTCAGACACCTCCATCTCTGGAATGAAGATGGAGCAGCTCTTCCTTGAGGTGCATCTCCAGGCATGTGGAGGATAAGAAGGTGATCAGAAGTAGTCATCAAGGGGAAATCATGCTTAACCTATGTGATAGCCTTCTATGATGAGATGACTAGCTGGGTAGATGAGGGGAGAGCGGTGGATGTGGTCTATCTTGACTGCAGCAAGACTTTTGACATTGTCTCCCATAACATCCTCATAGAGAAGCTCAGGAAGTGTGGCCTAGATGAGTAGACAGTGAGGGGGATTGATAACTGGATGGATGGCAGAGCTCAGAGGGTTCTGAGAGATTCTGTGAGAGCTTCTGACAGAGCTTTAGTGCATACCAAGTGGAACAGAGCTATTGACACCAACGCTTTGATAAGTTATGCCACAGAGGATGTGGCTAAGCACTCTGAAATTTCTGTATTAATGCTGCACAGGACTCCCACTGACTAAAAAAGATTTTTTTTTAATCTATCGGACCACAGTAAAAGGAATCATGCCTATTAGCAGTGATGATCAAACCAGAGTTCTGCACTAAGAATCTCTAGGCACTAAGAATACACTAAGAAGAGGAAATGGCTGGGAAAAATCTTGAAACAGGCTCTGTGTGTCAAATTATCCTGCTGAGTTCACACCAGTGCTAGCAAGAACATTTTCTGAATGCTCTTGCCTTCATGATAAACTGTATGAAACATCTCGTGGCAGTACAAAAGAAAATATAAATTCAGAGTTTGGGGCTGATAGTAAAAAGGCATGTCCTGAAGGGTGCCTGGCAAAAGGATGAAAGGCAAGAGACACAAGCCAGAACATGAGAATTTTCAAATAAATATATGGAAAAAACTATTAAAACTAAAGATTATCATATACTGGAACATGTTGGCCATAGGGGTTGTGGAATCTCCACTGTAAGAGGTGTTGAAGACTTGACTGGGCAAACCCCTGAGCTAACTAGACCTAATTTGGCCAGCAAGTGCGTACTAGATGACCTCTGAAGTTCACTTCCATTCTAAATTATCCTATGATTCTATATCAAAGTTAAAGGATAAACTCATCTTGCAGTCATACAAGGAGAAGAAAAGGAACTCCCCTTCTCTTAAGTTAGGATAGCTCCCTCAAGGCATTTTAATGTATAGTATTTAAGAAAGCAGTTTATCAGCACACCTGGTTATCTCCTTCTAAAGACCACAGCAACTGATGGGAAAAATCTCCTGTTCACCTTAATGCAGAGAAACTACAAAAGCTACTAACAATCACTTAGGTACAACAGGGACTAGGCTACATCAAAAGCAGAAGCAAAGAAATCATAGAAACATAAAATCGTAGAATGGTTTGGGTTGGAAGAGACCTTAAAGGTCATATAACTCTAACTCCTCTGCCATAGAGAGGGATACCACCCACTACATCAGGTTGGCCAAGGCCCCATCCAGCCTGATCTTGAACACCTCCAGAGATGGGGCATCAACAGCTTCTCTTGGCAACCTGAAAATCTCAATATCCTTGATCTTTGTGGAATATTAGACTTCAGGAAATGAATTCCTGCTCTAACACTACTGAGTCTGGAAAAGTGTTCATATATTACAACTAATTTCTTGTTATGCTTTCATACATTTTGTGTAGAGTCAAAAATATTAGGCCAAGTATGTGAAATAAGGCTTCTAAACCCTGTTTTCAGTAAATGGTCCGATGCTACTGCCTGATTTACTTCTTGCTCTGAATCCAAGGGAGTTGCAAATCCTTGGCTCCTACAGAAATTGGGGCTGATGTAGTCAGTTGTTTAAATGTAAATCATAGAAATAGAATTGGAGAATAATTTAGATTGAAAGGGACCTCCAGAGGTCATCTAGTCCAACCCTTAAAGCAAGGCAAATTTCCAAGTTAGATCATGGTGTTCAGCACCTTGTTTCCCAATCCACCATTTCTCTGAGCATCTATTTCTGTTTAATCACTTTTTTTCTTTTTTTTTGGCATGGTGGTGCTTTTGTGATTTTTTTTTTCCTTATATCTTTTCAGAATTTCCCTTGCTGCAACCTGTGATCATTGGCACATGTCTTTTCTTTTTCCTGCACATCTCTGAGAAGGCCTGACTCTGTGTTTTTTCTAGTTCCCTTTCAGGCAGTGACAGGGAACAATTAGAGCCTCTCTCTCAGTCTTTTTTTTTTTTTTTTTTTTTTTTTTTTTTTTTTGGTGGCTAAATAAATGCAGTGTACTCAAACACTTCTCATAAGTCTGGAAAGTTATGAGCTCAGAAAGAAGACTTCTCACTCTCTGTTTAGTAAATAATGGATACTTTTTTTTTTTTTTTTTTTTTTTTTACTAGAATTTATATTCTATATCAAGTCAGTAACTTACAACACCATGTACGTAAAAAACATTATTTTCTAGAGGACATTGATCATCCTGAAGCATTAATATTCCTTACAATTCCTACTCAGAAGGAATGGAAAGCTAAAACAAACTACCTTCACAATTATTAGTCTCTCTAATGCCAAAACAAAATCAAAAAAGAATTCACTGAATTTTGGAAAGGTCTTACCCTTGGTCCCACTGGTCCCACCACTCCAGCTTCACCCTGTTGAGGATGAACATACACAGCAATGACAATGAGAACTTCTACAGTATCTAATAGAGGTGGTTGGTAACAAGGCCACCAAATATTCTGGAAGAACAAAAAGCAGTACGAACTCACCTTCTGCCCTTTTCTTCCTAATAATTCAGTTAAAGATCCATCAGCAGTAATGATAGCTCCTGGTTCTCCCTTTTCACCCTGCAATTAACATCAAAGCTATTTTACAGTGTTTACAAAGCAGCTCTCAATGAGTAAGCAAAAGTAAAAGCAGCATTGCTGCTGCTTGAAACTTGACATTCTGAGAGAAAAACTACAGTATGATTGATTCTGGGGGAGAGTAGGGCTGATCTTTCCTAAAACACCATACAGTAAACTGAAAATATCCTACTACGGTAAATATCCATACTACGGTAAATATCCATAAGATGTATAAATACTTGGTTTTGTTTTTGTGTTAAAAAAAAAAAGACTTTCAGTTGCTCTCAAATAATTGTCTCTGTGAAACGTGCTGTGTTCATAAGAGATCTCTGCCAAAGGCAGACAGGCTATTGGAGTCTTCCTGTGTACCATCAGCTTAGATATTCGTCAGCAAATACTGCTGGAATTGTAAATTCTTGAAAACACTAAGTGGAAAGAGTGACTATCAGGAAAGCGTGAATCTTTTTTTCTATGTCCTTGAGGTATGATGCAGTCTCATCATCTTTCAGGAAGGCCAATTGGCAGCATTTAAATTACAAAACTCTGAGTTTCTCTTCTTCAATGGGTTTCATTGAATAATGGCACCACCACCAGGAATTTTCATTCTCCAGTGCAGACACGTGGTTGCTACTAGATCTAGATCATTCAGCTGTAACTTTCCTCCTCCTAGCTCAGGTAATCTGAGTTTTTTAGCTTTCCCAAGACCTTTAATGGAAGAAATTTGACTTGAAACTAACAATTGCATTGCTGATTAAAGTGATAGCTCAGGTTAGAACACTTACATTGAGCTTCATTTCCTGCAGATTTAAGGCATATTTTGGAGTCTCCCTGAGCCCTTGTTTTATTGACTTTATTTTTTGTGAGATGTTATGGACGAGAGGCTGCAACAGAATAATCTCATGATCCTTACAGGGAAATGTTCCCTGGTGTCTGTTGAGCTTCGTCTGTGGTTGCTGAGATCATCACAGTCTTGAGTATAACTTGGTATTCACACCTCAGAAACAGCATCAAAAACATCATTATGTCATTGGTGGGTGTAAAATATAATGACTTCAAAACTTTGAGTTCCTTCCAGTGTGAATAGTAGAAGTAAAAAAAAAAAAACAAACACAAAAAACTCCAAAACCAAAAAAAGCAAACAGACAACGCCAAGCCAAAAAACACACAACTGTTTTTAAGTCTGAGCTCCATCATTTTATGCACTGGGTAAAACCAGAACCCATGTATCAAAAGAGGATTATTCTCAAACCATTCCCACTTGTGAGAAAGCGAGGGTCGGTTATTTTATAAATACAAGCAGGAAGTGTTTTTGCTTTTGTTATCCCCAAGACTGTAATAACTTAGATGTTCCTCATCCATGCTTCCAGCAAATGGATGAGAAGAGGAATAAGAAAATGCAACAGCAGCAGCAATACTTGAAAAGGGGAAGAAAAAAACAGAACAGGCCTCGGTCACCTCTCAGCAATGTCACAAAATAAACACTATTGTGTAAAATAAGAGAAAGGACCCTAAGGAAAGAGGTTTCCAGGTCTTACTCTTGTTTTTGGGGAATGGAAAACTGCAGTCTTCATTATGTAGGTAAAACTTTCTGTACCAAGGAAGGAAAAAGAAAGTTTTTTTTTTTTTTTTTTTTCCTCATTTTTTTTGGTCTCCTTGGTTAGAGTACCAGGCTGTCGGCACTGATCACCAGCTTGCAAGAAGAGGTCACCTCATGCTTGATGTTTATGCAAACATATTTTGATAAAGCATACTACACTGCTGAATTTCAGTTCTTGGGCAGAAATGTTAGTTCTCAGTAATATTATATCAGGTATTTTGTTTATCAGTCTTTCAAATCACACTTAGTACATTTTTCACATAAACTTATTAACACCCCAATCCCTAGTAAAATTAGAATCATAAAACTAGAACCATAAAACATTATGATGCCACTAAGGATTTGTTATCTAACACATTTTGTAACATGTAGTTTTCCCTTTGCATTTTCTCTTACCTGTTGGCCTTTGGGTCCTTTTGGTCCAGGCAAACCAATATCACCTTTTGGTCCCTGAGGGCCCTAAGCAAAATCAAGTACATAAGTAAATTGGTGGAGAGCTCTGCTGAGAAAATGGAGCTGGACCATTTTACTAAATGTAATTTTAAGTAACTGGAAAACTTGAACCTGAATCACTCCGGTTGCAGTCTAAGACTTGATTTACAAGTATTACAAATCTTAGACTTACAAGACTAAATTGCTGTCTGAATCAACAAATTTTTAAAAACAAATATCATATAGGGATAATCTGTTAAAAATAGCAAAAGAAAAAAAGTTGTTTATCAGAGTGTAGATGATACACACTTTCACAAAGAGAAATATGCATACATTAATAAGAGTGGAAAATCAGCCTAAAATTCTCTTTCTTCCTTACTCTATTCTCTCTCCTTCCATGGTCATTCAGTGACACTGATTTCCAAAAGATTTTCTGAAGTTGTATTTTTAAGAAACAGTACAATAAAAATTACGTTTTTATATAGAGAGATTATATATTTAAAAATAAGATCGTTTCTGTGAAAGTATTCTTCTCAGATCATATTTTGTTTTAGTCTTCCATTATAAACACGTGTAGAAGCACTTTAGTTTTTACCCATCAAGAGCTAAATTCAAATTTACATGATTTCTGCATTAGTGAAGAGTTAAAGTAAAGACCTGATTTAAGGATGAGAATGGTATTTTTTATGAAGAAATTCTGTTAATAACAGAAAGACTAACAATTCATTATATCACTTTCTAAATGTTGTCAGCTCTTTTTCAACTGAAAAGTATTTTAAAGATTTTTAATTTTTTAATTTTTATTTGTTTTCTTATGCAGTCCACCATGCCCAGGACTCAGCAAACAACCTTTGTAGAACTTTGGGCTAGTTGCCAACATTTTGTTAACATCATTTTTCAGCTTTCCCAGTTTTCTCCTTCTTCTTAAGCAATAGACAAAGGGCCCTGAGATCATCTGCATACATCTGAACTGTAAAACAACCATAACAGGGGGAAATAACGCTACTAAATTAGATATAACGTAAATATAATAGTATAAATAATACTGTTAGAAGTTACAAGCCAGGTAGTGTTTCATGGAACAGCAGTATGAGCAGAATAGGTAGCATAATATAATGTACCTTTTGAAACTATGGCTGTGTGATGCACTGGAATGCTGAAATACTATTTTAAAAAAATTACTAAAATTAATAAAAAATAAGCTTTGTATTATTCTAAAGGATTAAGAAATCATAAACCTGATAAGGTTTTACAGAGCTCTCTAGTATTGACCAAAAAAAATGCAGCAACAGCACAAAAATACGTAACAAATAATATTATTCCATATGCTATTTGAATATAATTTTTAGAAGCCCATTCATTCCATTTGTTTCTCCTAAACTGCACAGGAATTTTCTTTAGGTAACAATTTTTCATTAGACTCAATTACATGTAAACTGCAGATCTGATTCTCAGATAAGCAGAAATGAGTTATGTATATCATAGTATACTTCATTTCCAGCAGAGTTAATTTCTACCATAACTGTTGGTTCCATAAAAACTACAGTCTCATACGGAAATGTATCAGACTTTGTATAAACTCTGTACAATATAAATGTTAAAATATTAAAGCATATTGAGAAATACTTAGATCCCAGGAACATAATACTTACAGGAAATCCTGGTAGACCTGGCCTGCCATCTGGACCCTGCAAAATGCAAAAAACCCTACTCCCTTACAAACACATATTACAGACTTGCAAAACAGAGTATGCATTTTCAGTGTATAGCCTAATTTATGAATATTAATTGATCTGAAACTGGACTAAGAATTTCATTCAGCCAGTGGTAAACCTGCTATCACTCCACAACACTCTATGTTTCTAACTTTTTCTGGGACACTAGGATTTACTTTCCAAAATGGAAGGGACAAATATCCAGGAGAGGCTTCTGAAAGGTGACATTTTCCACATATTAAAGGCATGCAACCATAAGTCAGACTTCTTTGTATTTTTTTTTTTTTTTTACACAACCCATCACAGAGATCACAGGACCCCTTCCACCTTTGCCACTGCACTCTGGGTTGTCTGTGGATAGGAAACAGGATGTCCACTATACTGTGAATATAAACATGGATTTGAATTTGTACTGAGCATATTTAAGATTGCCCCACTGTGATATTTGCAGAAACACAATTTATTTCTAGTTTAAGTCACCTGAACGTGCATTACCCAGGTCACCATGATACCCCAACCTCCCTCCTGACTATGGTGAACTGAGGTTCTGATGCCCTTCCAATTAAAACTACATTTCAGGCTGGACCTACAGGACCTACTTCTTACCATAACAACTACTGAAAACCAATGAATTTCTGCTGGGTTTATGAGACTACTCATCTATATTTTGAGAACCCGTTGTCTAAGGCTTGAATGCCAACTACTTGCAATACCAGAACTCACACAAGGGACCATTCTATTAATCCCTGGCATCCTATAATGTGCAGGGGTTAGGCTTATCTTCCTTGTTTCATCGGGGACTGAATGTGAGGGAGACAACTGTGTTCGCAAAGAAGAAATAGACAATAAATAAATAAAATAAACACCAGTCAGCAACTGAAACACTGTGAAGCAAGACACTGTGGGATTTAAACATTGTGAAGTGCAATATATTGTAGATTTTCAGGCAAGTTCTGCCTAACTTTGAATAGACTCTACAGGCTGGAGAACGTAGGCTTTTCTGTGGATTTAGTCCTAGAAATTTGGAATCCGTACAAAGAAGCATCCAGCACTTCAAATATTTGACCAAACTTTTTTGCAGCTAGACTGCTATAAAACAGAAATTGAAATTTCCAATCTGTTGTTCTTTTGTGAGATTTACAATTTACCATCCACAGCTATAATTTCTGTGAGATAAAATTCAAACATGTGAGCCTACTATTCTTAGTTGCAATCACAAGCAGAACAGAGGGAAATACATTACCCCAACATTTCATGACTTGAAAAACAAGAATACAAAAAGGTGGAGGAAATGCTATGTACATCCCTATTTTTGCATCAGTTCCACAATTCTGTCATTCTGAGCATATTGTTCAGATTTAGAGCTAAACCAACCCCTTCAATTCATTTCTTTCAGATAAACATATAAGAACTAATTCATCCACACAGAATTCATTTCTGCCCTGAAGTACTCCCACACAGCTTGTTGCAGGAGTTATAAACACATTTCTGAAGCACAGGAAACTCAGCTCTAGATGATACTTAAAAGGAGACATTAAAGATAGAGCAATTCTGAGGATTCAATAAAGCAACATATACTCACAGGAGGCCCGACCAGTTCTTCAACTGAAGAAAAATTAAAAATTCCATCTGTATCATTGAGTAGCAGCTAAAAAAGTGGTTAAGGAACAGGTTATTTCAAATATCACACTGGTTATCTGCAGTACTCATACGTTTTTTAGAAATTTGCACACAGTTTAAACTGTGTATCCCATTATAAACGTGGGCAGAAAACTACAAGTAAGGCCAAAGATATGTATAAGCTATTTTTAACTTTTGTTATACACCTGGAATAACAAAATAGAGCACTTTCATTTCATTCCTTATGTAAGGACTTCAGAATGCTTTAAAAGCTTTTACTACCTGACCACCATATATTTTTAATTTGAAAACTTTTACAGCATATATTGTAGTCTGAGGTCATTTCTCCACAATAAAGATCAAAATAAAAGTATTATACCCCAATACGTCACTGGCATTCCGAGATGGTGAATTTATCTGGCCACAATCTATCTTGTAGATTTGAGGTTTTTATTCTGGATATGTCTGCATCATACAATATAGTGACTCCTAAATTAGATCTGATCATGCTGCTGTGTCTACTTGGTGCAATATAGAGCAATCAATGAAACTAGCTTGGATCCCCAAAAAAGTGTAGTCACATGCATGTGGAGCAGCACCTAAGCTAATGCGCTCTGAGTCTCCAGAAACCTGAACAGAGCAGAATGATAACAATGTTGTTACACTTCTTCCTGTCCTGGAGTTAGTGAGGTCTGCAGTAGCTCAGACATCTGCAGATTTTGATTGTAGAATCAGAATAAAGAAGGTCAACCTGGACCTTTGGAAGTAATTTGGTCCAACCTCCTGCTCAAAGCTGATCAAATTAGGTCAAGTCCAGTTGAGGCTTGAACAACTACAAGGATGTAAATGCCATGTAAATGCCACAGATATCCTGAACAACCAGATTCAGTATTTGAGCATCCTCAGGGTAAAAAGTCTTTGCTTTTATCTAATCAGAATTTCCCATTTTCCAACGTGTGTTGATTAAAGTCTCATGATAACTCTATGTACCTCTAAGAAGTGGGTGGCTCCATCTCTGTATTCTCTAATTAGGTAGTTGTAGAGAGCAACAAATTTTCTCCTTAACCTTCTTTACTCCAGGCTGAACAAACACAGTTGTTTCCACTTCTTCTTGTGTACCATGTCCTCTGGTCTCCTGACAATCTTGGTGTCTCTTCATGGGGCTTGCTTCACTATGTCAATACCTTTCTTGTACTAGGAAGCCCACAGTTGTACTTGATATTCCTGATACAGTCTTGTGAATGTCAGTCACATCTCTCTGAGTTCATCAATTGAGACGAGCCAATTTTCCACCTATTTTTAATCATCCTCTTATCCAATTCATAGGTTACCAGTTTGGTGATCATAAGGCTATGGGAGACTGCATCAAAAAAGTTAGGGGATGGTGTCCATCCCTTGGCCACAGGCAGGTGATCAAGCTGGTCAGAAATGACTCGTCCTTAGTAAATCCAACTTGGCTGCTCTCAGTCACCTTATCCTAATGTTTTGATAAGGCTTTCATTCTATTTTCAAGACAGCCAACTTTCTGGTTTAAATAAATGTTCCCAATACTATATAATGTGGTCATACATTAAGTAAGGGCAGTATGAAACTGCTTGCTCCACATAAATGCTGTAGATGAAAGAGATTTTTTTCATTTCTTTCACTCCAACAGTCCAACAGTGTGACTTCTAACCTTGTTTTGAATTCAGAAATATGTAGCGAATACTCTTACAGTCTTGAACTAGTACACTGGTTTAGCAGCAAGACACACCATCCATTTCAAGATCATGCTCTGTGTGCAGCCGTGTATTCCTATTCAATGTAATGAAAATATTCTGAATTTCACAAGGCCAGGGCAGGACATGCCTTCAAAGAGCAGGATTTACTTAGCTCATGAATGAGCATGTTTTCAACAAGGCATTGTGAAATCTGAATACCTTTTCTTCACGTAACTATGTCCGGCTGATAACTACCAGATTACAGTCCTTTTCATAATTTGTTATGAATATAGTATACAGGATCTAACTTTGAAATTAGTTTGAAAAAATCTTGTGTTAAATTCCTGGTTTGAATAGATGGTTTGACCACATGGTCATCAGAGGTCCCTTCCAATTGTCATGTGAGTCTCTGAATACTCTTTTTCTAATCTAGGATGTGAGGAAGGGCACAAGAGAGGGCAGACCTACTTGGTCTTATCATATGTCATATTCTATCATATCCTATCCTATCATATCCATCTGAGCATGGCAACGCATGGTCAGCTTTCTGTATTTTGAGGTCCTGTTGGAATCATGATTCATGTAGCTAAAGCCTGTTACTTCTACTGGGTGCTGCTCCCTTCTCCCTGTCCTCAGGTTCTACAGAAAACTCTGGAAAGTTGTCACTGAAGCAAGTAAAAAGACTGTTTTAAGTCCTACAGGCAGCAGTCCTTCTCCTGGCCTGCATAAGCTCTCTGCTGGTTGCTCCAGGGGTAGCAAGATGCTGTTGGTTGCACTGCATTCCTTGTCCTACTTTGCCCAGAGAGGGAGCAGGACAGGGTCTATACTTTAATGACAGTAATAAGAGTTCTGCTGCTGAAATTGTTCTGCTTTGTCTACAGCTGGTGGCAGAAGTCCAGGAGCCCCGGGTTTACTCTGTCTTTTCAGTACAGAATTACTGAGTTTATTTTTTTTCATTTATTTATTTATTTTTGAATTACTGAGTATTCATTCCAAAGGCCTTGCTGAGCTTGGGAGCAGGCATTTTGTATGTTTTAGAAATAGAGTTTAGCTGCAAATGGAAAGTATGGTTGGAAATAAGTGAAGTCTACAAAGTGCTGAAGATATGAAAATACAGGGTGCAAAAATGATGATTAGAGAAAAAGATTGCACCAGGCACATAGTTATTTAACTTTCTTTTCAGATTTGCAAGCAGCTTTATTAGCCTCAATTTAGCAACATAAATTTTCAGCACATCAAATGAATTTAGAAAGTGTTGTCTAAAAAGTAAGGACAGTGTTGTTTTTTAGTTTTTCTTCACTGTTATAAAGAGGTAGAAACAATAGTTTTTAGCATGACAAATGGAGTGAATAAGCCGTTAATACAATTACAGAAAAAAGGGGTAACACAAAATCTTCTGACATTTGCTTTACACCCCCCAGACATGAACCTTTCTCCAGGAACTGAGCTTTCATTCAGTTTGTGTACATAAACTATGTATGAAGAATGGCAGCAAAGCATAATTAATTGCTTAAACATTTTATATTTAAATCCAATGAAATTTCTCAATTCAATGTTACTTCAGTATAGTTTCCAACTAAATTAGTTAGTATCTTAGTTCCAACTAAGATAGTTCAGAGTGATTAAATCCTAGCAAAAATTAATGTTTTACTAGTTATCATTTACCGGTTATGATGCAAGAAAATGCATAGAATATCACAGATTACTCTCCAAAAGAACAAAATAACCAATACAGGATAAGAATTTTTAGTATTTTATATATTACTTTATATATTTTATATATACACTGTATGTATGTGTAGTGTTAGCTGTATATTGGCTGACGTAGTAGCCAAGCCTCTCTCCATCGCATTTGTAAAGTCCTTGCAGTCAGATGAAGTCTCTGGTTACTGGAAAAAAGGGAACATCACTCCCATTTTAAAAAAGGGTAGAAAGAAGGACAGAGGGAACTACAGACTGGTGAGCCTCACCTCTGTACCTGGGAAGATCATGGAACAGATCCTCCTGGAGGCAATGTCAAGGCACATATGAGACAAAGGGGTGATCTGAGACAACCAGCATGGCTTCACCAAGGGCAAATCATGCTTGGCCAATCTGGTGGCCTTCTATGATTGAGTGACTGTGTTAGCTGACAATAGAAGACTGACCAATGTCATCTATCTGGACTTCTAAAGGCCTTTGACATAGTCCAACATGACATCCTGGTCTCCAAATTGAAGAGAGATGGACTTGATAGGTGGACTGGACCGTTCAGTGGATAAGGAATTGGCTTGAGGGTTGCACCCAGGGAGTGGTGGTCAATGGCTGTATGCCCAGGTGGAGGATGATGATGAGTGGTGTCCCTCAGGGGTCAGTCCTGGGACTCATACTGTTTAATAACTTTAAATCAACTGTTTAATATCTTTTAAACTGTTCAATATATTTTAAATTTTAATATCTTTATCAACGACATAGTGGGATCAAGTGCAGCCTCAGCAGGTTTGCAGATGACACCAAGCTGAGTGGTGCAGTTAATACAACAGAAGGAAGGGCTGCCATCCAAAGGGACCTGGAGAAGCCTGAGAAGTGTACCCATGTGAACCTATTGAAGTTCAACAAAATTAAGCGCAAGGTGATGCACCTGGGTCAGGACAATCCCAGACGTCAGTACAGACTGGATGAAGAACTCACTGAGAGCAGCCTTGTGGAGAAGACTGGCAGGTTCTGGTGGACAAAAAGCTTGACATGAGCAAGCAGTGTGCACTTGCAGCCCAGAAGGCCAACTGCATCCTGGGCTGCATCAACAGAGGGGTGGCCAACAGGCTGAGGCATGTGATTGTCGCCCTCTGCTCTGCCCTCCCAATTGGAGTACTGTGCCCAGGTCTGGGGCCCCCAGCACAAGAAGGATGTGGATCTGTTAGAGCAGGTCCAGAGGAGGGCCACAAAGATGCTCACAGGGCTGGAGCACCTCTCCTGTGAAGAAAGGCCAAGAGAGCTGAGGATATTCAGCCCGAGGAAGATAAAGGCTCCAGGGAGCCCTCACTGCAGCTTTTCAACCGGTTAAAGGGGGCTCATAAAAATATGGAGAACATTTTTTTTCTCAGTCAGATAATAACAGGACAAGGGGAATTGCTTTAAACTAAAAGGGGGGAGATTTAGGTTAGAGGTTAGGAGAAAATTCTTCACTCAGAGGGTGGTGAGGCACTGACACAGGTTGCCCAGATAAGCTGTGGATGCCCCATCTCTGGAAGTCTGGAAGTGTTCAAGACCAGGTTGGATAAGACCCTGGGCAACCTGATCTAGTGGGTGGCAAGCTGTTCTATGGTTCTATGATAAAAAATTAGTATTTTTGAATACCAAATTAGCAGCAAACTGAGTTTTTTTGTTTTGTTTTTGTTTTTTAGTATATATACAGGATAGTTCAGAGCAGACTTCCTAACTGATTAAAGGAGTGAATAGAGGAGGGAGAGAAGATTGCAAGTTTCTGAGACCCACAGATGTCAAAAGGGAATGCAGAAGCCAGACCTCAGTTTTATTTTATCATATCTTTTCACAGTGTTAGAATTGGCTCCCGAAGGAATCAAATCCCCTCAGTTCACATGGAGAACATCAAATGAGGAGGAAAACAAGATCAAATGAGGACGAAGCCAATGCCTACTTTACTATTTGACAACTAATGGTGAAGGTTGGCCAAGAGTCACAACCATCCAGATCAGATCTTAATATTACAGCAATACTGAGGCTTCATCAACTCTTTAATTTATTTAGCTATTGTCAAGCGGTATAAAACTGCTTTAGTTGTAGCCACTAAGACATTAAAAAGAAGACTTCCTTCCTACTCTGATGGTTCAGTCCATTTGATTTCTATATCCAATGAAGTATTATTGTCTTTCTTTAAACAATAGTTGAGTGAGTGAACTAATACATCCTGACCTGGGCAATGATTTCCCGGGATGTGCTATGGATCACTTAGATCACTTAACTGATGTCTGCTACTCTACCAAGGTCAAAACAATATCCACATTGCAACAGATGGTATTGGTATTTATTTTAGTTCTGTAATTCTAACTGCAATTGTTAGGTCTGCTTGCAGTAGTTCTTTTCATTTCTGAAGTTAATTACATATGAGGTCTGATGTTTTTCTGAAAAACTCTGTCAACAGAATTTGGATAATTTAATCTTCTATCTCAGCAAATATATATTAAGCAAAGATCCTGTTCTTATACAAACTGTGCGGTAAGTAGAACTCATTGTCATATATACCCACATATACTTACACATACACACAAGTTTAATCAACCGTTTCAAATCCAGCTTGTCAAGTCCTCAGAGAAATCATCTGATTAACAGCAAGTAGATTTTGAAGCATACGAGGATGTCTCAAAAATAGCTCTTGCTGTACCTCCACAGAATACCTGTTTGCTACAAATGTGTGTAAAGCCTGTTTGCTACAAATGTATGTCAAGTACACAAAGTGTATGCACCCTACTTTGTATGGGAGCTTACTTCTTAACCTCCAATATATTTAGAGAAGGAAATGTGTTTCTGTACAGATTTGTAATATACCTGATGCAATACAGCTTCTACTAGGCTCTACACACTTCTGTAACACATGATGAAGGCAATTCATACACAGATTGTGGAGAATTCAGAGGATGGTTTCTTCAGGCCTATCTACACATTAGATAGACGTGGTGGACTCTGCCTACCACAACACACAGGGATTCATGCAACCTCCAGCAAACTAGTCATTAGTTTGCTATGTTGGCTTCAATAATATTTTTATATTTCTTATCTATGCTGTCCTCCCATACTGAGATTTTTTGTTTGTTTTGAGGAGCAGACTTAAAACCTGTACATCAACACTAGAATTGACAGGTAGGTAACCGCTTGTGCCCTCTTCATGTTAAGTGGGGTTACAAAGACTTTGAAGCTTGACAAATGCACTTACCTCAGGTATTGCTATGATTGGTCCTGGTGGTCCTGGTGGTCCAGGTGGACCCACAATACTGTTCCCATCCTGTCCTCGTTCACCCTATTTTAAAAGCATTACATGTGGAAAACCCATTTACTAAGCACTACAATTCACAAATTTCTCAGAAAGAATGAAATCCACCCAATCTCACCTGAGGTCCTGGGTCACCCTTCTCCCCTTTTGGCCCCTGCACATGATAATAAAAACAAGCAGAAATTATTTTAAAAGGAAAATGGCGAAAATGAGAATTCTTTATCCTCAGAAAATGCACAAGAGTAAAACACAGGTACAGAATGATCACCAGCCTCTCAAACCACAGATGGGACAAGCTAATTTCCACTCAGATCCACTGAGGGCATGATGTTTAAAATTATTTGTCAGCACATTTGACACTTCACAAACAAGAAACAAATGAGCACACACCATTTCATTAGCTGGGAATTAATTACAGAAGCCTTTCTTTCAGTGTAGTGAAATCAGCCATGCCTGGCTGCTTTTTCCTTTTTCAGCACTGACTGCCTCAGTTGTGTCCTGGATTGCCCAGTGAACTGGGCAGGGAAATACAGGTGAACTAAACAGTCGTTTTTCAGATAAGTTATTTCTAAGCTTGATCAGCCCTTCAATATGATTCACTAGACATGTAGACAGATCGTTTGGCATGAGTGAAAGGAAAGTGGCAGGGAATGAGCTGTAGGACTTCCCAGCTGAAGAATTTTTGAAGTCCCTGGGGCTCTTAAGCAGGAGAAATACATTAAAGCCATCTAATTTTTTTTTTATTATTATTTTTTGGTTTCCATCTAATTAAAAGCAGAGATAAATTCTGAATAATTAAAAACAAAAGGAGAATTGAAGAATGAGAACTGGCCCCTGGAGAGGCCTGTATCACTTTTGAGTGGTGTGTGGTGTCTAAACCGTATGCTTCAGGTTAGGTAGGACAAACCCAGACCCAGCTCTCCATATACTGCTACCAAGTCCTGCAGAGGGATCCTGATGAACCTCAAGACACAAGTTTAGGAGCCAGTGTGTGTTAGGTGATCATGGGATATGATATCCCTACTCACCATATTTCCAGGATGTCCATCAATGCCAGGAAAGCCTGGTTTTCCTTTTGTACCTGGCAGTCCCTACCACAGAAAACATATTGTTATTCAAGATAAACTACATGATCTAATACAAAGACTACAAGAAAAAAACTACAAGATCTCATAAAAACATACTGCTCCTAAAGGGACATACTATCTGAGTGGACTAGATAGTAGGTTGGGGGGTTCCATGGAGTTAGGATCAGTAGCTCTCAGTAGTCATCAGCCCTCTGCACTGCTCCTGCTATTTCCTCCTCTCCAGATATATATTTTTTTTAAATGCAGTTTCAATTATTCATCATCATTGTTTGCAACTCTGCTTAGCAAAGGGTGAATTCTGCTACTTTCCCTCAAGCTTTATTGTGGGTTATTCCCACCCTTTCGATTAAGTGACTCTCAAACTGGATGAAGAGGCAGCAGAGATACTGAATGTAGATGGGAGGGAGGGAGAGAGGGGGAGGGATTGGGATGTGGGGAAAAAAGTTTGGTAGCTCCTGCTCTAGTTTAGTGGAGGACTGAACTTTACTGCTATGAATCTGATCAGTTACTCTATATTCTATGGGGAAAAAAAAAAAAGAAATTATTCCATAGTAATGATAATGAACTTTGCCTAGAAAAAATTGATAAAAGAAGACTGTGAATTCTTAAAGGAACAACTAAACAGTGAACTCTCTTTTTATTTGTATCTGTTTTTCTCTGTCATATGAAAAGCAAAAGAAATTACACAGAATAGCTTAATGATTCACCCAAGTGCTAGATTAGTCCTGTGCTGTTTCAGTAGTGGTTTGTGTTTTCTTTTCATTTGATTTTTTTTTTTTTTGAAAAGGTTGTTTTGTTCTTACATTTTGTTTTGCTTCAGAAAAACTACTTCTGGGTTTTACAGTAGATAGTACCATGACAATCTAAAAGACATAGACAATTCCATGTAAAAGCTTGGTAGCTGTCAAAAAGGTAAGCTGAATAATAAAGATTATTATAAAAGGCACAGGGAAAGGAAAAAAAAAAAAAAAAAAGAAAGAAAGAAGAACACAGAGCATTACTATTCCACTGCATATGCTTATTGTATGCCCATAACTTGAATACTGTGGATCATTTCAGTTCTTTCATCTTAAAAGGGTTCTAGTGGAAATAGAAAAACTTCAGAAGAGTGCAATGGGAATAATGAAAGGTACAGAATGATGTCTATATGAGATATTATGGTGTAAGCTAGGGCCATCTAGTTGGAAAAGAGACAAATGAGGAGATGGATGAAGAATATTGTATTATATTCTAAAAGGAGAGAGGAATTAAGGATTCACTCTTCTAATAGAAGAAATAGTGAGCATCAAATGAAAAAAGCTGGAAGAGGTTCGTGCAATGTGTAGCTAAGTTGACAGAGCCCCTTGACACAAGATATCATATATCATAAAAGTTTGTGTAAGTTCCAGGGAAGGTATCAAGTTCTTGCAGAAGAGAATTTCAGTGTACTACTTGTCCTTTTCTAAACTTAAACAGCATCTAAGCATCTGCTCAAACTGTATCTACTTTTGACTATTTCTGGAGGCAGGATACTAGGATGCATAGATGTGATCCAGTAAAACCACCAAGAATTATATAATATTCTGCTGGAGTCTCTAAAAGAACAATAGATCCATAAAGCATCTAAAGTCAAATAGCCTTCTGTGTTGCATTTTTGGTGTGATAGAAGAAGTTCAAATTAACAATTTATAGGGCTCAAAATCCTCTCTCTACTTGTGCCTTATTATAGAACTACCATCATAAAAGATTTAATATGCCATCCTTTCAGGCATGCTGGTACGTGTAGATCAACTTCCTATTATTACAAATCCTGAATAATTTCATCATTTGATTTTACTAATGATTTTAGTTTGGAAGAATAATACAGGATAGGTATGATGCTTTAATTAAATAAGTTATTCAGAAACATCCTCATTTCCAACTCCCCCCATATTTTAAGATTGTAGAGCTGCTCTTTGTTCAAATATAAGAGAACTAAAATACATTCCTCGTTTTCTTTTGTTTTCGTTTGTTTTTAACCTGAGGATTGGAGAGTTTGACTATTCTTAAATAACTTTGTAGCCATTCCACTTACAATATATGCACGTGTTTGAAATGTATCTGTCACAGCATCAATACTAATTACTAGAACAAACACCATAAGACAATACACCTGTATGAATAATAATTAAGGAAATAATTTATAGCCTCAAGCAGATAAAAAAGAAGATTTTAAAACTACAGTCCTATGCATTAATGTATCAGCTTTAGTTACTTCACTAACAAATATCTCTGCCATGGCAATGCTTAAAATACACAGAGCAGGTGGAATTTATGTCAAACAGTCCTACTACATTGTTGTTTTTTAAAAAATAAATAAGCAAATGCTGTTAGAAGACTGTGGCAATACTTCTGCAAATACTCAGCAAATAGAAGGGTAGATTCATAATTATTTTTTTCTTGTTTCATACAGCAACTATTAATTTTAGAGCTGTGCCAAACGCAAAAGAGTTTTATTTTATTTTATTTTATTTTATTTTATTTTATTTTATTTTATTTTATTTATTTTATTTTATTTTATTTTATTTTATTTTATTTTATTTTATTTTATTTTATTTTATTATTTTATTTTATTTTATTTTATTTTATTTTATTTCATTTCTACATGTCCCAGTGCTGCCATCTGCTGTGATACATCTGCAAAACGCACCCAAGTCAGCCATAGTCAGTCATGCAGAAAGCAGCGGGGACATGAGCAGAAACTTTGGAGTGGGCTCCAAGAAGGGTCCAAAGCAGAAAAGACAGGGATGGTGAGGGGGAAAATTGGACAGGAAATATGGACTCTTGCACCATTAACTTCTGCACTAACATGGTGGAAAACAGTGTAAACTGGCTGCTTTTGATGCCATGTTGCATGGCTAGAACTTGAAATGATCCAGAGGAGCAGGTCTAGCTTGCACACTGGTTCATGGGGTGAGTTAGACAGCTAGGACAAATTCCAGCTTGGAGGCACAGGCTGCATATTAGGAAAACCGTCTTTCCTAGATGGATAATGAAGCACCAGGACAGGATACCCAAAGACTTTTTGCATTCTCCTTGGAGTTATTTAAGACTCAGCCAAACAAATTCATTGCTGATATGATCTGGTGTTGGTGATAATCCCACATTAAGTGTGATATTGGACTAGATGACCTCTGGGGTTCTTCCAGCCAACATTTCTACATTCCTGTACCTTCTGAATGGTCCATTTGGATTAGGAGTAACCTGGCTGCAGGAAAATGTTAAGCTCTAGCACAGAAATAGGGAACAATAGTGGCCTCTGTGTGGAACACTGGATTAGGGTTGTGGATGGGTCCTGAGACCTCTACACAACACAAATGAATCTACTGTTGTACTACAGATATGTAGTGTAGTGGTGGAGTGCTTTGGTATGGTGTGCTAGCTATGAACCCTGTAATTAAGAATGGGACAACAGGTAGAACTCAGTTTTCACATAAACTTGCTTATTTTCATTTTTGTTCTGCCAAAAACCAAAGTGGCTTCACAATACACCATGACATCATACACTTAAATAACTGGATTTTAAATATAATTTTAACCATATTTTAAACAGAAGTCTTAAGCAACAGGTTACCTGGCTCCTGACATTCACAACTCAACAATGAAGGTTCTGTTTTTCCAGAGAAACTTTCCTGAGCTTTAATAAATTGACAGAGCAACAAGAAATGTTCATTGCCCCCTTATTATTCCCATATAAAGGAAACTAAGAGGAGGAAATGAGTGAGGTTTTAGATCAAGCTATATGAATTTCTCACCTTTGAACCTGGTGGACCAATATTTCCTCTTTCTCCCTGAAAAAGAGACACAGTAAGTAGAGCTCAAAGATCAAAGTGAATGGTGATTACAAGGATTTTTAAAATGTATATTACTTTCCTTAGGGGGGGGGAAAAAAAGACTGGATGGAGTAGAAAGATTAATAAAAACAGAGCACATTTTTGTAAGTGATGCTCAATATACATTTGTGAACCAGTTCTGGGGGTTTAACCTTCCAGTTGCAACCTACATCATAAGTGCTTCTGGTTAGCACACATTACTTCTGCTGTGCATGCACCAAGCTGCATGCCTGAACCTTCCTTTTGGTATCTGGAAAGTAAATATAGTAACAGTCCCCAGATATACCAGTGCCACAGTGATCTTGTGCATCCACAAATGACCCACATTCTTGCTTCAATACAGTTAAATTAGCCTCCTCCGTACTACTGCTCTCCCATCTACCCAGACACTGTGTCATACCACAAGTAATGTAATGAGTACTGTCCTGTTCCACCTTCAGGGCTTACTCTGCAGCACTCTGGCTATGAGTAGACATGATTTCTTGATTTCACTAGACAAAGAATATGCAATGTAGTTCATTTTAATTTAGATGGATAATATGAAAAGGAATAAAGCATCAAGAAGCTATTGCCATTGCCTGGAATGTTATGTTTATACTTACAGTCTTTCAGGAGTGTTTATATTCTTAAGTTAATGAAGACTGTAGACTCTTTTTAAAGGAAAGTAGTTTTTCATAATAGTAACTGTAAAAGCAGAGTTTGGTCTTTATTTGTTAGGAAAGACATTAAACTTGGTCACAACAGGCCTTCACTGTTGGGTGTTTGAAGGATGAAGGAGATATGAACACAACTTTATCTTGAATATAACGTGTAAGCCTTTGTTTTTTGGAAGTGGGTAGCTGTTGTATTTTGCCACTGTTGCCTAGTGAAGTCCTTTATAACCATGAAAATTGGGTGTAAATTTCATCCCCATGAGAATTATAGTGTATTACAGCCACTTTATATTGATTTTCTGTAGTGTATCTGATTTTGTAAGAAATTAAGCAACACATAATCTGTTCCTTTCTGTGTCTCCATGATCTTGGGGATGAATGACTCAAGTTTAAACAACCATAAACTTAGTGTAGTTGGTGGTGAACTCTCTCGGTCAAAATTATGACTATCTTTTCAGTCCTAGTCATGTTCATAAATGCATCATCATGCTATCCCCATACTCATAAGTAATGCTGTCTTCCAGCATTAACAGGAGGACTTGTTACCCAGTGGAGGGACTTTTTGCAGCTGTGTAAACTGAGCAGTACACTAGACCCTACATATAGCAGACTGGACAGGTCTGAGATTGGCATTGTTCTATGAAAGAGATGCATGCAGCTGTTGCTGACAATGTCCTTTCTGAGTAACCAGTGACCTGTGCTGTGTATAAATTTAAGGAAGAGAGGGTGGAGTCCACAACCTATTATTTTACATTTCATGCTCTCTCAGTGTTCCTGTCATTTCCCAGGGCAATGAAGACATGGAACATCTTTAACTTCATACAACAGATTGAAGGTGCTGAAAAGGTGTTGCCATGCTGTACTATTAAATTGAGCGGTACTAAATCTTCATATAGGATTAGAAGCAAACTCTTCCTGGCTAAGGCTCCATTTTGGGAATATGCCCTTTTATCTTTTTTTTCACATTTCTCTGTTTTTTCCACATGGCTTATTTAACCAACAGTAGCATCAAGGTGGAAAAATTCTGTCACAGCTGAGCTCAAAGAAAAAAAGAAGGCAAAGAACAACTCTCTCTTTTCCCCCAACATTTTCAGAATCTTTTCTCATTACTTTCTTATCACTTATCACAAATGACACCAGAAGGTCTTCCTACAGTTTCCTCTTATAACAAAACACATGCAACCTCCTGGAACCAGAATGAAGTATCAATGAGCAACAAAGAGGAACTGCCAACTTCCTAAAAAATTAAACAAAAGTACCATGTTACAGCAGGTGTCTTGGGGTCTAAGTGCCCCATTGGTATTTATGCACCATTCTGATATGGATAAGAAATAATTTATAGAAAAGAAAGAAATAAGAAATAAATTCTATTAATACACATTCTGTGTTATCCAGTGTAAAAGGAAACACAATTAATCTAGTACTTACCCCATATATAAATGTTAACCATAAAGTTGTTTTTTTAAAGGCAAATACTGGGAATATAGAAATCAAAAATATACTCCGAAGCAAAATAGGTTAGCTTTGATATGTTCTTGTTCATACAGTACTTTTGGTCCAAATGTTGTCCATGTCTTCTGCAGAACCCTATTAAATCTCACTGCATTTACAGGCAAATCCAGGCAACATTTCATAACAAATTTTCTCAGAAAAATAAAAAATCATAATTGCAGCTGTTACAAAAAGAGGATCTGAGATCAGAAATATCAACAGAGTAGTAAGATACAAGCACTGTTTTATATTCATTGTTCTAGTAAATAGTGCCTTGATTTATATCATGAAAAGAGCTAAAGGTATTTTTTTTCTTAGAATGACTTTATTTCTAATACTTTCAAAAAAAAAAAAAAAAGTACTAGTATGCAGTAGCAAGAATTAAATTCTCAAAGTACATTTGTTGCAAGGGATTACTTTCAATTGTTTACTTTTTTTTTTTTTTTTAAATTTGCCTCCTTGTATAAGATTACATTGTATTAACTGAGTACAGGCAATATGGTAATGTCTTGCCAGGCTAAAAATAGCTTGAAACATACTTTTTGGAATGCAAATTCTACTTGTCAGTTGTAAAGGTCAATTATGATCCTTTAAAGGCAAAATTAACTGTCCCAATATGGATCATTTGAGGGGGTAGAATGGAAAAAAGAAATCCAACAAATGATTGAGTCATCTCCATCTGGAATATGAAGAGAAGACACTGTCAAATAAACCGCCAACAAAAATTTACACTGATCTGTGGTAGAAAAAGAATAGAAACCTTGGAAATTTTAGCTACTCTACCAGACGAAATTTTATTTTGAGCAACAAAGAGGAACTGCCAAACTTCCTAAGAAATTAAACAAAAGTACCATGTTATAGCAGGTGTCTTGGGGTCTAAGTGCCCCATTGGTATTTATGCACCATTCTGACATGGATAAGAAATAATTCTATTAATACACATTTTTATTACAAAAAGTTTTAACAAAAAAAAAATATATTTTGTCTGTTAGACAAAACATAACCACTACATTCTTAAAAATGTGCGAGGCCCCACATGGAGTGCTACATCCAGGTCTGGGGCTCCCAGCACAAGAAAGACATGGAACTGTTAGAGTGGATCCAGAGGAGGGCCACAAAGATGATCAGAGGGCTGGAGCACCTCTCCTGTGAAGAAGGCTGAGAGACCTAGAGATGTTCAGCCTGGAGAAGAGAAGGCTCCAGGGACACATCTTTGCAGCTTTCACTGCTTAAAGGGAGCTCATAAAAAGTATGGAGAACAACTTTTTGCTCAGTCAGATAATGACAGGACAAGGGGAATGGCTTTAAACTAAAAGGGGGGAGATTTAGGTTAGAGGTTAGGAGGAAATTCTTCACTTAGAGGGTGGTGAGGCATTGGAACAGGTTGCCCAGATAGCTGTGGATGTCCCATCTCTGGAAGCATTCAAGACCAGGTTGGATGAGGTCCTGGGCAACCTGATCTAGTGGGAGGCATCCCTGCCCATCACAGGGGGGTTGGAACTGGATGATCTTTAAGGTCCCTTCCAACCCAAGCCATTCTATAGTTCCATGTTTCTATGATAAAGGATGAATACAAAAATCATTGGATAGCTATATAGTGGGGATAATTGTAATTTACTTCTTAGCAGCTGCTTTGAGTTACAGCTCACTTAGAAGCAGATACTTTGTTTTCTCTCAAACACAGTCTGGAACCTCTGGAGTTATCACTGGATGTGACTCATAATGCTTTTATTCAGTACCAACAAATATATAAAAACCTGTTCCTGATTAAAAGGAAATTCCAGAATTTTGTTCAGCTGCAATAAGATGTTTTTCAGTATTTATAGCAGAGTGACTTGGAAACCATGTCTATTACAAAATCAAAACCAAGAATAAGTCTATCAATTAGGGAAGTCAGAATGGGCAATTTCAGAACCAGATTTGGACATCTAATTTTGGACACTAACTTGTTTTGGCTAATGAATTCTATTATTGTAAATATAGTTTTCTGGACACTTTTTTAGTAGCTAGGAAAAGATATTAGAATGGGAAAGGTCTCTAAGATTGTAATTGTAACTGAGACAGCTACAATTTCAGTGATTCAGAATTACTAAACCAGCACAATAAAGAGCTGGCTACTTGTTACTGGCTCCAGTTCGTTTCTGAAGATTCATGGAATCACAGAAAAAGTACAGGACCTCCGTAGGCCATCTAATCCAGTGTCCCCCTTGAACCGGAAACATCACCACCTATACATCAGGTCCATGATGACTTTGTCCATTCTGGTCTTGAAAATCTCCAACAATGGAGAGCTTCTGCATCCTCTCTGGGCAACTTGCCACAATTCTGTACCAATCTCTTAGTGAACCAGTTTCTCCTAAGGTTTAGCCTGAACCTCTCAAGATGCAGTTTTTAGACCACTGTCACTTGATGCACCCTCTGGTGCTATGAGGAACAGTTTGGCTTCATCAGCTTTACAACTGCCCTTCAAAGAATTGTAGTCAGCTCTTAGATCACAGCTTTGTCTTCTTTATACCAGAATAACCAGTTTGAGCTCCTTCATCTTTTCCTCACCAGTCACATGCTTGAAGCCTCTGACCCTGCAGGTTTCTGCTGGACTGCGTCTGTCTTCTCCACATCCTTCTTGATGTGGGGTGAAAAACAACAACAACAACAGAACAAACTAAAAAAAAAAAAAAAAAGAAAAAGAAGAAGAAAAAAAAGAAAAAAAAGGAAAAAAAAAAAGGAAAAAAAAAGCCCCACACCTCTTATTCCACTGCAATTGCAACTTCACTAACCCTGGGTACAAGAGAATAATAATAACATAATAACATCTTTATAAGTTTTAGCCATGCTCTTCTTGGTGCATTGCAGCACAAGGTTTCCCTTATTTGCAGTGACAGTGCACTGTTGCTGAATATTCAGTCTGGCATCTACCTTATCCCAAGGTCTTTCTCAGCAGTACTTTCTCCAGACTCAGGGCAACAAGACTCGTTCCTTCAAAGCTGTATTTTGAATGTTCAAATGTTTCTTTCAGAGTTAGCATGGGGGCAGGGCCAAATCAGAACAATGCAGAGAGTTCTAGGAGGAAGGAATACTAGATAATTGCCTGCTTTGGGCAAGTCACAATAGATTGTAGTTTTGGTGTTACTTGTTAAGAATTAAGATAAAATGTGGCAAGCACTCAGTGTTTTAGAGTGGCTCACACTGACAAAAATATCTTGAGACAAGTTTGATGGAGGAAAAAAGCATTCCTTGTTCTTGGTCATGATTTCCCTACTACTGGGAACAATGTTTTAGTTTAAGTGGTATTTTCAGATTATGCTCATCTTGTTGTCAAATGATAACATTTCAATTTCATTATCTTCATATGCGAGAAGGGCATCTATTAAGGGTAAACAGGAAACAGAGAACAAGATAGTAGAAACTCTATCTCATCATTTAATCTCTTAAACAGATACCACTCAATTCTCTAAAAATCATCAGCTAACCAGGTATCAGAGAAATATATTTCAGATTCTTTAGGAGACAGTTATTGTGATATCATTCTAGAGCAACTGAAGCCAGTGCAGTGCAGTTAGTCTATAGCTGATTGGGTCTATGCATTTCCAAAAAGCAGAGAGATGACAGTTTTGCTTTTGGAAAACAAAGAAACAGACATATAGACAAAAAAAATAATCAATGCTTCCCTCCCTCAGAATATCCACTTACCTTTGGCACTCTTGATCCTGTAATTCTGGATTCACCTAGCAAGTCAATGATCCCTGATCCCTCCATGTCCTAATGGAAGAGAAGAACACTACAGAACTTAAGAACTAATCTTTTTTTTTTTTCTTTCTTTCTTTTTTCTTTTTTTTTTCTTTTTCAGCTGCTAATTTTTCTGGAGTCCTGTAAAAAAAGTGGGCAGATGTTGAACATATATATAGATAGATAGATAAATAGATAATGTTTTCTCATTAGCCTTTTATTTTAAATCAGCATATGGTGTTCTAGAGACAGGCTCTTTTCAAATGAGATAAGAGCATGTTGATCTTTCATACAGAAACTCTGGTCTTTACAAACTTGTCACTTTGACTTTATATCTCTGGCACTTGAGTCTGGGCAGCAACAGGCACCTGTGAGAGGATCTCTGCTTTATGTGCTACATTTAAACATGTAGTAGTATTTTTCTGTTTAGCACTTCTTGTCACCTTGCTGCTGAAATACTGTAATGACTAATAAGGGTTACATAACTGATTTAAGGCAGGGAGGGCTTGCAGGCTGGTTTTTAAGAGCAACAGTCATTATTCAAAAATAAAGGTCCTTCATGACTTTCACAGTTTAATTGTGAATTGCTGTCTAAAGTGCAGCTGACTGAAATGGAGAGGGAAGAACTGTTCTGCCAAAGATTGTGGAATTAATTAAGATGGGAGAGACCTCAGAGGCTACCCAGTCCAACTTCCTGTTGATAGTACGGTCAGCTTTGAATTCGAATCAAGTTGGTCAGGGCTTTGTCCCCTCAGGTCTTGGAACCCATCAGAGATTGAGGTTTTACAACCTCTCCAAGCACCTGTTCCAATGCTTGTCAGTCCTTGGGGTGAAAAATATTTTACTTCTGTCAAATTTGAACCTCCCATTTCAGTTTATGATTATTGTTGCTTATCCCTCTGTGCACCACTGTAAAGACCCTAGCTACATGTCTTCTCGGTAACCTCCTTTCAGGTACTTAAAGGGACCCTAAATCTTCTCTAGACTAAGCAACCTTAGTCCCTTGAGTCTTTCCTCACAGGCCATGTGTTTCAGTCTACTGACCATTGTCCTGGCTCTCTGCTGACTTCAGAAAGATCTCAGAGAAATGTAAGACCTTTTGGGAAACACCCATATTTCCTGTGGATATGCACTAGTGACTTTAAAGGAGACTGCACAGAAAGTAACAACCACCATTTGGCTCCCATTATTCTGAGTGTGACATTCCAAATTCAGGGCAGAACCAGGAGGTGCCAGTTCTGAAGCAGACAAAGAAGTACAATTGCAGGTTGGCATAGTTCTCTATCTTAGCTCCAGAACCATTTCAGCCACATATTCCAATTACTAGCTTTAAGCCTATTCCAGAACTTGTCAGACTGTGTTGCAAAGTGTCTGGATGAACTATGCCAGCAGGAAACCATTGTGACTCAATTTCTTCTGAAAAAGAAATGTGACTTCTGTGACTTCTTTCTTCTGAAAATGGAAAATACTGATATTTCATTGTTCCTCTTCCTTGTTCACAGCCATACAGCCTTCATTTTCAACATCTGTGCCACATATTGAATCCTCTGGCTTTTCTGTGAGTCATTTAAGCTCACTAATATGGCAGAAAATTAGTTTTTTGTTTGTTTGTTTGTTTTTTGTGGGGTGTGCGTGTGTGTGGATAGTTCTCTAAAATTTTAGTACATTAAATTTACTTCTGGAAGGATTGATAGAACACTGGATGTTAGTGTATGTGAAGGGTAAGCATGTGCCTGGAACAGCTGCAGACAGGAGGAGGAGCAGAAAGAAAATAAAATCTTCACCTCTTAGTAACAATGAGCATTTTTATCAGTTATTATGTTTAGAGGACCCATACTAGGAGTAGGCACTCCTTAGCTTTCTGCGTAGTTGTTGACTAGAAATTGTTCAGATTGCCATGGATCTTATGTACTCTGATGACAGTGTAAGGAAAAGGGTAGGAAAACCAATTACATCAGCTTAAGCTGCTATGGAATGACAGTTTGGTGCTGAAATTATGGAAAATGTCAACTGATCTGACTCCAGTGAAAAGGAGAGATCTTGTTATTTTATCCTTTTCCACCAACTCCATGAGGGCAAGTACAAGAGAAGCAGAAAGAGTGCACAGCTGGAATTAAGACCTTCTGTTTAAGGACAAAGTGGGGAATAATGAGTCATTATGTTCATTCAAGTCCTTCCATGTAACTTCACCTGAGAATGAATATTACTTAGACTTCATTTTGCTCCTCCATCAGATAACAGAATGACAAATATCATCAGAAAATCTGCTGAGATTCTGCTTGGCCTGTTTAACCAAACACTAACTACTTAGAGTAAACCGTAAAATGTGTTTCTGGGCCCTTCCTTCCTTTGCCTCCACTCCACTTTAAATACTCCATCTGTGCCAGTATACTTTCGTTTTAAGAGAGTGCTTGATGCCTGCTTTATATAACATACCATCGATTTTGACATCTGCATATTTTAATAGGTTTACCAGGTACCTTCTGTGGCTCAAACTGTTCTTTTGGCAAACACAAGTGCCAGCAAACCCCATGCCATTTGTTTTTTGCACATAGCTGAACACAGATGCTAACAAGCACTAACAGGAATGTTTTGCATAGACAGCCTTACAGCAGTAAACAGACTGCCAACCAAAAGGTAGTGTTGCCCTAACAAATTGGCATACCACATTGCTGCTTTAACAGATGGCAGGGGTGAGCCTCTAAAAGATCAGCAAGAATTAGCAAGCCTGTCTCAGAGAAATTACAATCACAGCAATTCTATTTGGACTGGATGAAGTTTAAAATGAAGCTAGTCACGATATTATTGATGCAGTTAGAGCTGATATCTGTCTCTATCTGTGTCCATAGAAGTAGCAACTGTCAGTTTTGACAATGTCATGCTTTCCTGCCAAGTATTACAGACTTTGCTTCTCTGAATTAAGCATCAGAAGTGGCAAATTCTGGTCCTAAGTAGGCCCCCTTCAGGAGCTCTCTTTGGTGGCACAACAAGGCAAAGGTAGTTTCTACTCAAATAGAGTGAATGGGGAAGAGTGGAGCATCCTTTAACATCTGTGATCCTGAAGGGTCACAGGAAGTGACTATCAGTCAGACAAGCCATCCTGGGATCAAACAAAGACCAGGCCTAGGATGAAGATGTGGCTTATTACCAGCCCTTGCCTCATTCTGAGGCAAGCATATATTAATTCAGGGAAGACCCTGTACCAGCCTTCATAGTATGTTAAAATTAATGCAATAGAGTGTTTGTATACTTAGAATTTATGCTATTATTTACTAACAATTGCAGTGGTGGCAGTTAAGAACTTGTTAGCTGCTGGAGAGTTTTTTTTTGCCCATTGAAATCCATGGATGTCAGTGACATTACTACTCAGTAGTGTACATAGTATAATACTGTTTAGTTAGATATCAGATGTTAGAATATGCCTCTAAACAAGCATTAATGGTCACCTCTGTACTTGGAGTACTCAAAGTGTCTCTACAGTAAAAAAAAGAGAAAGAAAAAAGAAGCACTGTAGATACCGGCAGAAACATGTATTTATCTGGCATCTTTTAAACACCATCACCTTATGAATGCAATTCTATAGATGGCCAGCAGTTTTGTTCAATAATACTAATACTAATACTACTAATAATATTGAATAGACAACTCTGGAAAGACTTTTCTGAGTCACTGCTAGATTAGAAGTGAAAAGCACATAAAAAGAGAAGGCAAAAACTCATATGTGACTGTTGATGCAGGCAATCTGTCAACGTTGCTTCACAAACACATTAATAGGGCAGCTCTTGAACCTGAGCGTGCTCCCTTTGCCTTTCTGTACTGCACAGCTACTTCCTGTTCCAAAAGAATAATCTCAATGAGTAGTTCTAAAATCACATGTAAAGCTCAGATTGAGCTGACCAGATACCGTATTTTAAAGTGATGAAGGTATTATTCTCAGAAGTAGAAAGTAGGATTTGCAATTTAGTTTTATTTTTTTTTTAAAGAAAATTTTTCTTCTGAGTAGAACAGACCATGAAACCACAAATGTCAATAATTTTTCTCTGTATTTCCATCTTACTGAAGAAGCTAAACTCACGGCCTCAAAAATGACAGCATGGGAAAAGTAGAAGCTTAAGTGGGACCTGCAGTTTGATTTTAATGAATACTGACAGGTCTGTAGATATATAGAGATCTTTACTCTAAATTATTTACATGGTAAAAATGGTGCCAAAGAAGCTTTTCCATGTAATGCAGTAGTAGCTTTGAGTATCTGATATTAGCAATTATATATTTATATAATACACAACATTAATATTTAATTACTGAATAATTTAATGAAAAGTGCCTAAATAAAAATAGAATATAATAATAGTTCAGTTGGAAGGGACCTACAAAGGTCATCAAGTTCAACTGCCTGACCTCTTCAGGGTTAAGTTTAACCAAAATTTAAAGCATATTAATGAGGGCACTGGCCAAACATCTCTTGAATACTGACAGGGATGAGGCATCAACAACCTCTTTCGGTGTAGAGAGATTTTACCTAATATCCAATCTGAACCTCCCCTGGTAGGACTTCATGCCATTCCCATGTGACCTATCACTGGTTACAAGGGAGAAGAGATCGGCACCTCTATCACACTAGTCTCTTGCTGAGGTGATCAGCTCTGGGGTAGATGTGTTCTCCAGCAGCATTGTGGCCTGCAGGGTATTTCCTGCATAGAGGCCCCTAGAGGCATCTGAGGGAGCCACTAGGACCCTACAGCCCTCTCGAGGGCAGCCCAGGAGTGCTCCTCCTCAGTCATACAAAGCATGCAGCCCAGGAATGCAGCGAACAGGGCATGTCATGTCAGTCAGGGTGTGCACAGGTCCTTTTGTATTCTGGGAGCAGCAGCAGAAGAAAGGCCTTCTACTGTTACAGAGATGTTGTCTACCCGCCAAGCCTACTGGTCTGAGGCTGTAGCAAACGACTCCGTATGTCATCAATTCATTCATAGTCATGAAATATACAGATGATTACATTGCCCCTTCTCTGAAGGAAGTATATGCATAGCTACAACAAACCCCATAACAGCAAAATACCTCAAATCCGGAACTGTAGCTTAGACCTGTGGATCCAGGAGGTCCAGGCGGTCCAGGAGGCCCTGGGGGTCCTGGGGGTCCTTGTTTCCCAGGAGAGCCATGAGGACCAGCTTCACCTTTGGGGCCTATTAATCCAGTGTCTCCAGTACTACCCTAAAATAAAAGGTCAGTCAATTCTTACACTGAACATGAAAAAGTTGATGTAGGTAAGTGCTTAGGATTCACAATAATAATCTTTTAGACTTAGTCCTTTTCAGGGGTACATTCTAAGTAACATGCTGTGTTGGAATGATGCTGCTTTCCCATAATCTGTAAAGTCACTGTCTGTTTTATTTTTATCTTTACCTTTGGACCAATGGAGCCAGGAAGACCTCTATCACCCTGTAAAAGAAAACCATCCTTATTATGTACAGTAAGAGCATTAATCGGGAAAACAAAACAAAACAAAACAAAACAAAACAAAACAAACAGATGAATGTGATTGCTTAATTAAAATGCTAACAAATTTCTTTGTTGTTTATCTTGATGTCATAATGTCCTTTATATGAACCATTAGGCCCATTATTTAAAAGGAAAACAATTTCCTTAGTTAAAAGGAAAACAAAGAGGAAAACAATTCAGGAGTTATATTACCAAATGACCAACTCTGGTCTAAGATGCATACAAGAAGCAAACCTGTATTTCAATTATTGCTGCAGATTTTCAGATCTCTAGACTACACAGAATTAAACACTTTGGGTCACATCCTTATGCTTCTAAACTTAAATGACAAAACCCTCATGGACTATATGAGAAGCAGAAACTGATCTGGTGTGGAAACAAGCAAGCTGTCTATGATACCAGTCCAAACAAGGGATATGATTATGAGTATGGTTTTCAGGCTCTTTTGCAGCAATCAGATTATTTGATTTGCTTTTATATAGTTTACCTAAATGCCATTTCCCCACATCTAACGTATGGAAGAGACAGAAACTCACTGCATATAAATATTCAGTTTCTAAATTGCACTGAATCTAATGGACTTAATTGTTATATTGGCAAGCTCCTGTGCTTACACATTCAGTTGAAACTTTTTTTAAGTAAGTTCTGAAAAAATGAGTAAGCATCAGCAGTGTAACGATAACAATGATTTCTTCAAAAAGTAGTGGCAAAACTAGCTGACTTAACTTTCCACTCTTCTATACATCCTGCAGTTTCACACTGTAGTATTCTATGTAGTAAATAGGAATAATTATTACAACTTGATATCGCACTATAGATTAAAACAAGGTTTTCAGGTAAAAATGCATAGTAGAAATGGAAAAATCATATTATCCCATGGTGTTGGGGATTGTATTGAGCAGGAACAAATATGTGGTGCTTTACTTCTAATTAACATTTGTCAATGTATGTACACAATGTAGAAAACAGTCTCAGTGAGGCAAAACGGTTGATTTTTTTTGCCATTTTTTTGAGTATTATACCCTGTTTGAAAATTATTTTTCTCTTTCAGTTAATTCTCTTTCCTATAATCTGTGAGTCAGGTCCTCTTTGCTTCATGTAGAATTTATTCTGTTCTTAAAATCTTTTACGTAAAACTCAAGCCGCTGTTCACAATAGAGACAAGGTGTGGCTGCCTGCTTTATAAGATGCATTCTTTATTTTCTGGATAGTTGCTAGATCCCAGGTGTTCTGTAGTTCTACCAACATCATTTTTTTTTTTTGAAATTACAAGTCAGACCCTACATTCTCAGATTGATATTAAAAAATCTTTCAATTTAAAAAATAAATATGTCAATATTCTGTCTGTTTTTAATTTTTTGCGGTTTTTAATTTTGCTTGTAGTATGTGAAATTTCAAGGCTCACTTAGGAGTCTACTTTCAAGTTCTTGTGCTGAAACCTAAGTGTAGATAGCCACTGAAGGATGAAATTTTCCCTTAGCCACTAAAAAAAAGTGAGACTTAGAATCACAGAAAAAGGGTTGTACAGGACCTCCAGAGGCCATTTAATCCAGTGTCCCCCTTGAACTGGAAACATCACCACCTATACATCAGGTTCATGATGGCTCTGTCCATTCTGGTCTTGAAAACCTCCAACAATGGAGAGCTTCTGCATCCTCTCTGGGCAACCTGCCACAATTCTGCACCAACCTCCTAGTGAACCAGTTTCTCCTAAGGTTTAGCCTGAACCTCTCATGATGCAGTTTTTAGGCCATTGTCACTTGTTGTACCCTCTGGTGCTATGAGGAACCATTTGGCTTCATCAGCTTTACAACTGCCCTTCAAAAAATTGTAGTCAGCTCTTAGATCACAGCTTTGTCTTCTTTATACCAGAATAATCAGTTTGAACTCCTTCATCTTCTCCTCACCAGTCACATGCTCGAAGCCCCTGATCATCTCTGCAGATCTCTGCTGCACTGTCTCTGTCAGAGTCACAAATTGCTGAGGTTGGAAGGGGCCTCTGAAGATCATGTAGTCCACCCACTGCTCTGCTGCAGAACTTGGCTGCCCTGGAGCTGATGTTCTGCACATCCTTCTTGAAGTGGTTATGCAGTAAATAGGGGAAACATATTGAGAGTGGCATTTTTTTGCAGTATGTGGTTTTTGGTTCAATAGTAGAATAAGAAAATCTCTCTGCTGGATGCTATCATCCTTGCTTCCATTCATGTTTCCCACTTTTCCTTTGTATTGGCTGTAGAACTCATTTGATCCTCAATTGTGCCATTCACTGCAGCAAGTCAATGGAAAACTAAGTAACCCTCTGCTGCACATTAGCATGCTGAAACATCTCACCAAAGACTGAGTGAAGGCTGAAGCTGACGCAAGTGTGGGGTTGGGAAATCATAGCTTGAAATGGCAAAACTGCAGCAGTCAACAGTTCAGGCAGACATAGGATGCTGCAGAAGTGTAAAAACATTGCTGTGCTAGCGGTCAGAAGACCTGTGCTTGTGTGACTTAGGATAAGGCACATGGAGCAGATCACAGAATTCAAACTTAAGTCATTCCAGTGGCCCTAGTATACACACACAAACCATGGAGAGAAGTTTCTGCAGTCTGGACTAGGAGCTGCAATTCTTTCTTTCCCCCTAGAGACTTCCTAGCTTTTTATCTGTGAATTGCAATAGAGTAACTCATGTTGCATTTTGAACATTGCATGCTGCAGAAAATGAGACTGCATCCACCTGGATTTCTCAGTATGTCTTTTCCAATATGTTCTAATAAGTCATTAACATCTGGATTCAGTAAAAAAATTGTTGAAGTCAGCCAACACTGTGTTGCAAGGGGCAACACAGATGTTTAACTTACCTTTTCTCCCTTCTGTCCTGGTGGGCCAACCACTCCATCAAGCCCAGGAAGACCCTGTGGATGATAGTAAACCTAAAGCAGGTGGTGTTTGATAGTCCTCTTCCTAGCACATACAGGCAAGTATTTTGGACCTACTTCATGAAACAAAAGTGTGAAATACTATGTGGCACCAAGTACCAGCTAACACCACTAAGTTCTAGCATTTGTATTTCTTGTCGACTGAGAATTTGGTTTAGTATAAAAAAAATATTTAAATACATATTAATAGAAAACTATATCAAATCATTGCATAGTGAAATAAAAAATAATTTTAAACAATATAATATAGATACAACATTTTCATGTAAAATAATGGTGTTATGCAAGCAGGTTTTGACAATGCTACTACAGTTGTGTTGGGACTGAACTCCACACACGTCAGCCGTCTATCCAGTAATAGTCTGATTAGTGCTCAGACCACACATGGGCTCGTCAACTCCTTTCTCTACCGTTGAGAGTTCTGGCATACTGTAGAAGATTTTGACGAAGACTAGCTGACTGGGGCAATATTTCTTCTTTGCAATCAAAGCAGAAAACATCCTGGAAGGGCTGACAGGCTTTGTGTGTGGCAGGATGAGCAAAGCCTGAAAAGAACATTCTAGGAATACGACCACTGTGCAGCATATTGGAGAACTGTCACTTAGCCCATCCTCCTGGAGCTCTTTTGTGTTAAACCATGGGGTTTTCAGGCATGAATTCCTTAATTAAGTGTAAGAAAGAAAGAAAAATATTTTCCTGACATCATAGTCCTTAGTTTCTTATTGGGAGGATTCCTAACTGGTGGAACAGGTGTACTGTCACTACAAGGAAGATGGTGGTGGAAAGACGATTGCAGACAACTGGGCTTTATATACTCCTTATCCTTATACTTTTACTTATACTTATCCTTTTATACTATCAGGATATCTAAACCCAGCTCAGCAATCTAAACCCATGCCCTAATGCTTAGACATGTTAAGTGAGACAGGATCACTAGAGCTTCAGGCATGCTTAAAGCTAATCCTTACAGGTTATGTCAAGAGTACATTACATTAGCCTGTGCAGGTTGTCACTGTCATCACAGCAGCTTCAAGTTCTGTGCAGGCTAGCCTTGTTATTGAAGGTTTTTAGGCTGGCGGTCTCTGAGCTCCATGCTGCTGCTCAAGCACTGTTGACTACTTTGAAGATTACCCAGAATCTACAAGAACTGTCCAATACTAATGTAACTGAGGGACAGTCGACTGGGACCACCCCCGATAGCCAGGACTGCTGATAAATGATGGTAAGTGGCTTGGCCAGCTCCTCTGCCAGTTCTCTCAGTATCCTCAGGTGGATCCCATCTGGCCCCATCGACTTGCGTACATCCAAGTGCCGTAGCAGGTCGCCAACCATTTCCTCATGGGTAGTGAGGGCCACATTCCCCATGTTTACTAATTTTATTGCTGAGTGAAGCCCCCTCAGTCCATTAGTAGAGTTGCACAGACATACGCAAGGCTGGAACACACTGCACGTGGACAAAAGACTAACTATAAAAAATACAGGGTAATGTTTCATTTCACAACATATAACAAAATATCTATGATAGGAAATAAGACAGTTTATTTTCTAAGTAACTATAGTAACAAAACAAATGTAAGCACTAGTTACTTTGAAGTCCCACTGTTGCACTCCATTTTTTTCCCTAGCAGGAAAAAATAAATAAATAGATTTGTCCTGAAAATGCTTGTATATTTGGAGAATGTGTTGGCACCTCAGTTGTTTGCCTTGTGCTTTCTGATGATTCCTTCTATTAGGCCCTTGTATAGCCATTAACACATGTGCAAAGCAGATACTCCTGAGCTGATTTCATGGGGCTAAAAACACATCTTCTAGAAGTATAACTGATGACAGTGTGTGAGGCTATGGAGTTTCAGGCCTTTACACATGAGTAACTATTACCATTCCTAAAGCACATGCATTCTTTCAACAGACGATACTCACAGGTGGACCATGTTTTGCTGAAGGTCCAGGAGATCCTGGGTCTTTTCTCTGCACATCTTCTATTCCTGGCCTTCCTGGAGGTCCTGTGGGCCCATCTTCTCCATTCTGACCTTTCTGTCCCCGAGTAAGTAAAAAATTAAATATACTAAATATCTTGCATTATCCTGTGGTTTAACTGAGAAAATAATAAACACCATCATCTATTGGCTGTCTCAGGAGAAAATCAGAAAGCAACAGCATCTACTGACTGCTTGAAGTGGTGCCGTCCTGCATTCTTTTGTCTTTATGGTATGAAAAAGGCCTGATTTTCACCCCAAATGGAGCTTCCCTCTCTGAAAATTTCTCATGCTGCACATATTCTTCTCTTTCTATTATTGTAAATAGGTTGAAGCTTCCCTGGAACACTGGGCTGACTTCTAACTCCATGTTGCTATGTCAGGCTGACTCCTAAACCTGTGATCTTCCAAACCACATGATGTGAATCAACTTTGAAGTGAGACTTTGGCCATTATCTTATTGGTCCTCCTTCTGTGTCCATTTCTGGGGTTGTTCCAATGAATTGGACCATTTTTGAGGTCAGTTGGATCACTGTTCCGGGATTGGTTTCATATATTTGGTACTGGTAGTGGTCTTATGAATATATATATTTTACATGTATATTTGCTGCCATAGTATTGGTGAGTGTCATCTCTCATAAGCTTATTTGCTGCTTAGTATTGACAATTTTTTGAATCTATAATACTAATATGTATATATATATATAATATTTTTTTTTTACTGCCTCTAATTGCATATCTACTACCTCTAGCTGCTCCTACTGTTTATTATTGCTATACCTTTAAAATCTGCTATATATTTACTTCTTGGTAATAACTTCATTATTATTATTATTATTTTATTTTTTTTTCAATCAAGAATCTCAAGTCCATCTCAATGTGAGAGATCCTTATAGATCCAAACTTCTGTATAGTGAGAGTGCTTTTCAGTCTGTTGTCATGAGAGGACATTCAAGAACATGAGAAGTAACTTCTGGTTTGCTATGCTGCTAAGATGTAATAGACAAAGAAAACAACTCAACAAAACACTTAACATTCAAATATGTTTACCTGCCCTTGGGCCAAAAAAGATAAAGCAGATAGCAAATCCTTTGTACAGACCTTCTCTCCGCTCTCTGTTGGCAAAACACTAAAACCAGAGGCATCTTCTTCTCCTAAGATTTTCTGTGTAACAGTGGTAGACTGACTGTTGCCTTGTCCAGTTTCCATGACAGCAGAATCTAAATAAAATAATCACTTAATAGTGAGAAATAGAGCAAAATTACACTGATTCAGAGGTTATCTATCATAGCACATGTTGCAATTAGTTTGAACAAAGAAAATATTTAGATTATGACCAAAATACAGAGTATTCCAAGAATTAATATGTCACTTTATAACTCTGAAATATTTAAAAAGAAACAAAAAAAAAAAAAAAAGGAAAAAAAAAAAAGAAAAGAGAGAAGAGAGAATAAAATTATAAAATGAAAGTTTATTTAAGGACAAAGACTGTATTGCATTTTCTTTGCCTCAAACTCATGTCTAATGATTGCCTATTTTTCACGTATGTAATGTAAAAAAAGGAGGGGTAAGTACAACAGGCACTATCTGGAGTATATGTAAAATTTAAAAAGGTACAATTTCTTTGACTTTATTTAGATAAATAGCTTCTTGTTCTCTGGGCATGCACCAAAATTACCTTGCTAGTGGAGGATTAGATTTCTAAGTAGTTTATAAGCTGATGTTTTCATGACATTGCTAATACTTGCATCCAAAATACCCCATTTATGCACTAAATATATTCACATTCTTTGCAGTGAAGATAAGTGGAATATAGTCATTTATTCAGTGGTGGTACTCAGTTTTAGATGAAAGGCTGTGCAGAAGGTCATTGAATTAAGCAGTTATCTTAAATTTCTTTCAAAAGACTCACTTGATTTTAGAGCCAGTGACACTATTTGCAGATATATGTCTTAATAAATGTCATGTTTCTCAATGACCTGAGCAAAATGGAGAGCATTTTTCTCCTTTCCTTCCCTTTGCCTAACACCTGTAATGCCTGTACATTACTGTAGTGTTGTAGAGTATCACATCTGTAGCTCCACAGGTCAGGTTTTTTCTTTTTTTTCTTTTTAATTGTTTTTATTTTATTTATTAATTTTTTATTTTTAACATTTTTGTTCTTCTTCTTTTAAATTTTATAATTATTAATATTATTTGTTTTAAAATATAAAACTTTCTGGAAAAAAAGTGACTGAAACTTTCACACTATGGATGGGTAAACCTACTCGGCATGTTTAACAATGACTGGTGTAAGCATCTATATGGAGTGAAGTGAGAGATGCATTGAGTGTTCTCTGTATTTGCTACCACTTACCTTTGCTGTTGTTAAGAAACTGTGGTCTAACAGACTGCAGTTTCAATGTTTGACATGCTGATCCTTTGAACACACAGGATCCCCCAAATCATATAATTTTCAACTCCTGGCAGCACCCAAAATATGTCTGTGGTTTTTCATACAAAAAAACCCTACCAACTCTGACCTAGATAACAAAAATGACAACCCCCCATTACCTGCCTCCAAACAAGCAAACAAACAAAAAAAGAGATCATGCCTTGTTCTCTAATTTTAGCTGTTTCAGAGGTTTCTTCTGTTCTGTGATGTCCCGAGAAATTGCTTTCTTCCAAAAAAGACAATATGGTTGGTGGTGCTTCCACTGGCTCGGCCAGTGTATCTTCAAGCTAAAATACATAAAATCCCAACAAACTGTTTAGAAAAAAAAGGCTTAGTATATGTTTTAAAGCAGAAATCAATTAAAAAATTTCAAGGGTCTTCTTTTTATTAAGAAGTATTGAGAAGTATTGGCTTAGGGCTAATTTTGAGAGGAAAATAAGATCTTTTCCACTGGGGGCCAGATCTGATTCCCACTATAACTGACAAAAGTACTTTCTTTTGATTTCAGTTTTATTTACTCAATTTGAGAAAACAAGCAAACAAACAAACAAAAAACCACATGAATGTTTCTTCTTCTCTTATTTCTCTTACACCTAGATCTTGCTATTGACAATCTGTTTAGGAATATTGCAATTACTTTTTAGGGATGAATAAACCTTTTATTACAATTTTTCTGAACTACAGGAAACTTATAGTGTTAGCCTTGTAATGTATCACAGAGTTTTGTGTTTAAAAATCCCTTAAATCAGGCTGGGTCTTGGCTACTTTGAGAAATGAGGAACAACATTTTTCTTTAAATACAAAGTCCTTTTAGAGCTTAGGTGGGAAAAGAAATGTATGGCCACTGGAAGTGAGGTTATGTGACATGGGAGGACCACAGAGATTTTTTTTTTGCCATTGTAGGGAAGTGATTCATAGGGTTCGATTATAATTGAAGCTGGCCACTACTGTAGGGGACAATAAAAAGAGTTTCTTAAAATGTGTTAAGAGCAAAAGGAAGACCAGCAACAACATTGATCTGTTTCTTGATGAAGGTGGTCCCTCACAAATAGGAATGTAGACAAAGCAGAGCCATTTAAATGCCTTCTTCACCTTTGCCTTTAACATTAATGATGGGCTGTGGGATCTCTGGCACCCTGAACTGGAGGACCGTGACAGCAGGAATGGTAAACTCCCAGCCAACGCTGAACTTCTGTGAGATTTGCTGCTTCAGCTGGATGCACATAAGTCTATGGGGTCTGACAGGATTCACCCAAGGCTACTCAAAGAGCTGACTGATGTCATTGTGAGACCTCTCTCTATTATTTTTCAATAGTCTTGAGAATCTAGAGAGATTCCAGTTGACTGGAAGCTAGCAAATGTCCTTGCTTTCAAGAAGGGCAAGAAAGAAAACCCTGGTAATTACAGATCTGTCAGTCTCACTTCAGGGTATAGTAAAATCATGGAGAAGATTGTTCTGGGAGTTACTGAAAAACACAATCCAGTGGAAAATCTTGTTTAACAAACTTAATTCCTTAATTAAAACCTTTTATGACAAGGTTACCCATCTAGTTGACAAAGTGAAGTCAGTTGATGTAATCTTTTTGGATTTCAGAAAAGCTTTTGGTATTGCTTATCATGCTAGAATCTAGGATCCTGGTGGGCAGTTGGAAGCACAGCCAGCAATGTGTCCTTCTGGCAAAGAAGGCCAGCAGCATCCTGGGCTGCAGTAGGATCAGTGATGTCAGCAGGTCAAGGGAGGTGATTCTTCTCTATTCAGCACTGGTAACACCCCATCCTGAAAACTGTGTGTGGATCTTGTATCCCAAGTATATGGACAGATTAGATCAAGTCCAGGAAAGGGCCATGAAGATCATTAGGGAACTAGAGCATTTGACTTATGAAGGGAAGATAAGAGAGTGAGAACCGTTTAGCCTCAAGAAGAGAAGGCTCAGAGTGGTCATATCAATACATATAAAATCCTGATAGAAGGGAGTAGAGACAGACCCTTATCAGTCAGTAGCCAGTGGAAGGGCAAGAGGCAACGGAAACAAACTGAAATGCAAGAAATTCCATTTCTACATCAGAACATTTTTTTTCTACTGGTACCAATCAACTTGCTGTCATTGACTATTTTAAGAAGAGATTTGGACAGAATAATCTTCATAGGTCTCTTTCAGCCTTAGCTGTTCTGAGTGTCTGAGAAGCATAAGACAGGTGAAAAAGTTTGAGTTATTTGCAAAATGCATAAAAAATAATCTTTTTTTTCAAACGTATCAGAAGCAGGAAGCCAGGTCAACACACGATTAAGTTGTAAAACAAGTTCTCAGAGAAGTTTAAACTAAAGCAGAGAAAAATAAATGAAATTTTAAAACGTAGTAATAGAATCTAGGACTTGCTATCTGAAAAAATAATATTAAACCAGAAATGTAGGGTGTGTAAATCAAATAAATTTACCCTTATGGGAAGATGAGAAGGTGAAAGGGCTTCTTGTGTCTCAGGAATGTTTTCATGTTCTTGAATGCTGCCATTGCCACTCATGTCCCCCGAGGCCTGTGCAAAACCCAATCATAATAACATGTTCATAAAAGTAAGAGGAAAAAAGTATGTTCTCCAAGGAATCAGCTACTTCAAAGTAGAAAAGACTGATCATTATTTTTCCAAATTGGTGAAGCCTCATTCTCATTATGATGTTAGCTTATTTTGCAATACTTAGGGTATTTCATGAATATGACCCTTTAGAAAATTGTAAAACAGTTCACTTTCTTAAGCATGTTATAGAAAGAAGAGAAAAACAAAATAAGAGACTCTTACACAAAGAGCTTTTAAAATGGCAGTATGTTGCCATGAAGAAATACTGTATTTAGTTTCATAAAAAAAATAAAAAATTAATAAATAGTTTTAAATTTAAATTTATTTTATAATATTATTTAAAATTTAATAATATTATAAATTTACTTTTTTTTATATATATATAAAAAAAAAACTTGTGGCAACCGACCTTGAAATCTGTTATATGAGCACTGAGGATAGATGAAGTGTTTGTAAGAATACTCACATAAGGATCATCATCTTCACAATGGTCTTCAGTAGCTCTTGGGTCAGATCTGATAGTCAGATGTTGAATTGAACCCTACATGAAAGAATAAAAACAGTACAAGGAAGTAATATTTAATGTAGGAAGGTGAATAATAACAATAATAATAATAATAATAATAATAAAAAAACAACAATAATAACAATAACAATAATAATAACAGAAAAAAAACTTTGATATGATTTGATTGCGAAATTATCTAAGGCCTGAAATATTATGATAACAAATTCATTTTTAAAATGTGAATAAATTTTAATGTTTTGATGTTCTGTTTTTCCATTATTTGGTTTATGTTTGTTTTGTACTTCTATTTAGAAGCACCAGTCATAGAATTTCCTTTTCTTTCCATAAAATCTGATTATAGTTATGTCCTTTTGTGTCTGGTAAACAGAGCCTTGGACACATGAATTCTTGAGAGTCAGAGCAAAACAGCAAATTGCATAGAGTCATTTGCTTAATTTGTGTGAATTTTTCTATTTGGGACAAAGAGTTCTTGCTTGAGGGTTTATCAAAAATTTATTTGTTCTGCCCCTAACTCATTGTGACATATGATGCATGAAGTATAAAAACAAAAGAGCGTACATGTGACCTACAGAACACATCACAAATTATAGTACTGAAGCAATCAGCTGAATGGCTGAAATTTACTGTATACAGAGTATACAGAACAGTCTGTTTCAGTGGAAGATGCCTTAAAGCGTAATCTGCTATGCACTCCTTTCTCCATATTTACAGAATTATTGGTGGGAATCTTGGAAACTAATCATCACACATATATTTTCCAGGTGGGCTACCAAAGTCATCTGATTTTCTTGAATGTTTCTCGTTCCTACTTGCTAATCAGGCAGCCTCAATAGCCCAGTCAATCCAACAGTCTACAGAAAGGTAACACCAGCAGGCAGATTTCCTGCATATCCTTTTCTGCCACTTATTCGCTGCTGTTCAATACATCCCTGTAATTTCTAAATGCTTAGTCTAGTCAGATAAATGATACAAGCATATTATCCTTGCTGTTTACCTGTTGGAGCTCACAATCTGCCAATACAGTTGAACTTTGGAAAGAACTTCCTGTTTTTCTGAAGCAAAGGATCTATTCAGTTTTGTGCTGCTACTCTGCTAATTTATGGGAAGAGATATTATTCTTACAAACTACTGTACAAGTTTTGAAGTACTGGAGAAGTACAAGATAGGAAAGGTGTGACATTTCCGTTTTAGTCTGGTAATGAGTTAATCTCTTGCATACTGGTCTTGTGGTAGTGTGTTGGGTCCTTTCCATTTTTCTAGAGCACCTGATAAGCTTCAAGTAATATATAAATTGTAGAAACAGCTTTATTTTCCAGCTATACTTTGATAAGATCACTCTCTTCTTGATGTTTAGTGTGGAATGAACATACCAAGATAAAAATAATTTAAAATGCTGAATTGTACTAAGGTATTATTCTCATAAATTAAACAAATGGATACTCTGAAATCTGACTTCCAGAAAAAAAGGCTATATAAATGTAAATTATACACTTACTGTGAAATTCCTGGTACAAAAACTTAGCATTGAGCTCAATATCTGGATCATTTATAAATTTCTGACATTCTATGAGCATTTTAAGTCAGAGTTTATATATCTGCATTAGCTGGGTATAGAAAAAATAAGCTCTATACATTGTAACCATGATATAACCATTGTAAACAGAATCTCTTGGTTGAAGTGTACATGTACACAATACTGAGATGTGTATCACATTGTACTCACTGTGAATTTATCCAGTCCCGTGGCTCCTGCATTACCAACAAATATCCCAGAGTCAGAATCAAATACCAAGGCTTCAGCTGACCTCTGAAATGGAACTCTCTGATATTCTTCACAGTCCATGAACAAAGCAATATAATTTCCCTGAACAGTCACTGTAAACCTATTCCACTTGTTAGTCATCACTGGCACTTTAAATGAAGCAGCCTCTTGGGAGATACGGGAACCAGGCTCTGTGTAGTACATAATTATTCGTTGGGTGCTGTCATCGACTGGTGAAATTCTCATTCCCAAGTAAATTGTTTTCTGGAAGGCATCTGTTATTGCAAATAGCACTCCTCCACGATCGCTGTTTGGTTTCACTGTAACTACGATAGCAAAGTCTCTATAGAAAGACAGTGGTATTATAGCACTTGTCAATCGACCAATGTTGGCATCTATACCAAAGCTGTATGCCGGAAACCCTCCGTAGCCGGTGACAAAGTAGACAGAAGGAGGGAGTGGAACTCCTATTAACTCTGTGAGATCAAGACTTCCTTTTGAGCCTCGTTCTATAAAGTATGAGAGAAACAAACAAACAAACGTTATTATTCTTGAAGTGCACAGCCCATTTAATTCAAAACATTTAATAAAAACCTTAAAACCTGAAATGCTGTTTTAAAATACCAATAACATACTGCTACTACTTTAGGCCCCAGTTCAGCTAGTTCTGAAACACACTTAGCCTTAGTTATGTGTATGCACCTTTGTCCTTTGACTATTAGAGGTTACTCATATGCAAAATGCTCATGTGCTTCTGACAAAAAAACTACTTCCTACAAAAGACATATCACTTTTGCTGGCTATAAACTGCAAAGAAAACTTCTGCAAGTGCTTGCTTCCGTGAAGAATAAACAACCTCTGTTTTCACAAATTAGCTGAGGTGTTATCCTCTCAATCAAAAAAGCAAGAATTTTCTATAAACAACACAATACAGTTACACAAAAACAGGCTAAAAGTTGCAGTGAGTTTACGTCAGTCCTTGCAATTAGCTCTGCTTGTAAAACAGACCTCAGTTTTTATGTCCTTTTTCTCAAATTTATTTCCTTAGTTTCACTGTGTATATAAGAAAAGTCAAAACCCATCATCAGTCAAAATTCAGTTTTGAAATGAATTTCTGCTCCAGCAAGCACACAGAAGTAAATGTGTAAAAATAAATAAATAAAAAATTAAAAAGAGTAAAAAATCTCTGTCAACATGCCCAGAAAGAAAATTCCTGGCAATGTAGTAGTAATGACAAGAGCGAATTACCTACACACAATTCTAACTAAAACCTTGCAAAGGTATCCTTCCTTCCTTCCTTCCTTCCTTCCTTCCTTCCTTCCTTCCTTCCTTCCTTCCTTCCTTCCTTCCTTCCTTCCTTCCTTCCTTCCTTCCTTCCTTCCTTCCTTCCTTCCTTCCTTCCTTCCTTCCTTCCTTCCTTCCTTTTTCTCTCTTGTGTTGCCTTACCTTGCCTTGCCTTGCCTTGCCTCACCTTTAATACCAACTTAAAGGTTGCTATTAAAAGCTGTTTGGACTAGAGTCTAGATCTATACTAAGACTAGTAATTGTAAACCTGAAACATTCTGACACCTGGAGAAGAATATTTGTATTTCTTTTTGTATAATAGAGCTTGTATAAAACATGGTCCCTGTTTCCAACTAATGCTAATACACTGCATTTTCACAGAACCCAACTTCTAAGGTGGTTAAAGTATATTAGCATACAGGGTTTAGGAAACCTACAACAGAGTCAATGACAACAGGATTACAGATAAGGAGGCTGTTTTTCTGTGTCCTTTCACCCTCAATTTCAGTATATCAGAAGCAGAGTTCAAAAAGCAGGGCTGTTAGGCCTTACACAGACAGAATTCTATCTTATCCCTGGTTTAAAACATACAATTCCAAAGGCTCACATTCGGAAAAAAAAAAAAAAAAAAAAAAAGACAGAGAGAGAGAGAGAGAGAAAAGACCAATGTAGACCAATGTAGAAGGACTTGAACTACTGAAGAACAGCTGGGGGTTCAAAATGGACATGGCATGGAATAAACAGGAGTGTTGAGGAATCTATCTGATTCAGTGCAAGGCAGTAGGGAAAAAAAAAAAAAAAAAAAAAAAAAAAAAAGAGGAAAAGTCCAGGTTTGAGTAACTTGACAATTTCTTTAGAAACATAGAAATTCAGCACCGAAACTGGTTTTCTACTGTCTCTGCACTCAGAACAATGCAAAGTTGCCATTTTATCCAGCCTTTTTCAAATATAGGATGTGTGTATGAGAGAGAAAATATGAGCTGGCATTCTGGGACATCCACCATCTTAAAGGTAACTGGACAAAACTAAACTGTAAAAGGATTACAGAATGTGCATTGAATATTGCAGCTGTCCAAAAGTATGCATCTGTGGCAAGCTTGGTCACTGATTTTATGGAATGAAAATTGTGTGTGATGTAAATATGTAAATTACATAAACTGATATGCTGTTACCATTGCCAGCTTGAGGTACACTCTTTAATTATTGCAAAGGAGCAGAAATTTTATATTTCACCACTAGGCAGCGATACAGCACTTCATAAATCAGATTAGAGCTTTAGTTTAGGAAAGGAGAGCTTTACTTATGAATAACCAATGCCAGTGTCTGCTGTATGTACTTTTTCACAACATCAAAGCTAGTTTATACTTAATTTCCATTATGTTCAAAATGGATGTGAATTATTACCCTGTTGTTTTTGTTTCGCAGTAACCTTGGAAATCAGACAAAATATAATTAACTAAGTCTGCTGTGTATTTTCATGGGTAAAAATGACATTGCTTTTCTCATTTTCTCTTTCTATTTTTATCTCCTGAATTTTAAGGGAGCAAATCATTGCAAGGCCATGACCAATGCCTTCATTACCAAAATGTAATATTTTTCTAACATAATGAGGACAATTCTCTTTTAAGGTACAGGGAGAGACATCTGACGCTTTTGCAGACTTAGTTGTATGTGTCAGCAGAGACTCTCTGCACAAATGAGGAAAAACAGACACCTATTTAAAGATACTGAACGTAGTCTGGCACACTGGCCTGGATCTAAATTCTCAACCCATATAAAGGGATTTAATGGGAAGCCAGGACAGAGAACACTTACTTAGAATCTCCTATTGTTCCTGCTCTTCTTTGCTAGCTCCCTATTGCACTACAAAATTCTGTCCTTGGATCCATGGTGTGAGCAGGACCATATGAGCACTGTATGAAAATTATAAAACTTCACCCAGAAATGGTACTTCCATTCTCATACCTACCACACTACACCTCTCAGCTCAGTCAAAGCCAACACTCAAGGGCAAATATTACCCCAAATGTATGGAAAAACTGCCTGCAGGCAGTCTCTGAATGGGAGGTAAGAGAAACAAATAGCTGACATATTTGTATTTTCTACATTCTGATACAATCTCTGTGTGATGGAGGCTGATACATGCATAGTAAATCATCTCAGGTTTAGGTGAAACTTTTCTGCAATCTTCCAGTAATCTGAGAATGGAAAATCTGCTTAATCCCAGGTCAGGGTAGATCAGAACATCATAACAGAAAAATAAAAATATTGCACAACATTTTGTTATTATTGTTATTGTTATTTAAATCAAGGGCTATGGACCCAGTCACGTAATGAAAACAGTATTTTTTATGCATCATCAACAGTTAGATTTTACTTTGAGACCTGGTGGACTGTATTCCTCTCTCAGATGACTAAACTATCCATTCTTTCATGTTAAGCAACAGAAAGCAATGCTTTGTTACTAAAGTCTTTTCAAAGCCTAAGTAGGGAGCTTTAATTTTTTATTTCCTGTAATCTAGGAGCATCTCTTCCATAAACGTTCTTCAGTTATGTGCCTGGTATTTATTACTGATTTTTATTCTTTATGTAGTCACCTCTTCATCATTTATTCTTTGTACTTCTCATATATTCTCCACGCCATGGGATTAAATACTTAATATATTAGATATTAAAAAGGCTGGGATTCAGAAAAATGGAAAATTAATTGTGAGGTAGAAGTTATGGGAACAGTAAAATCTAAAATTATGTTTTATTTTGGACATTAATATTTCTTACAGCTAAATCATTTCATAACTTAAGTACACTTAAAAATGTAGAGCAACAACAACAAAAATTCAGCCAGTGTAATCCTATTTCTTCCATCTTCCTTTTCCCAGGAATTTCATTTCCCAAGAGCTACCTTACACTACATTTATTTCCTGGTGTAAATCACATATACTTTTATTATGGGTACACTTTCATATTTCTCCAGGGTATGCATTGAGTGGGTTAAACAAAGTATCTTAAAAATGTAATTTTTGTTATAAAAAATTCTGGGTTAAAATCCTGCCTGAAGTCCTAACTGAAAGAACATGTTTTAAACTGACTTGTTAGAAGAAATGATCCTGCAGCCTGCTGCTAGTGGTAGCCCTATGGCCACAGCTTTCACAGTCAGAAACTGTACACTCAAGTACAGTTTGCAGCAGTGCACTCTACTGCTGTGGCAAATTTAGTCAGGGAGCAGTAGGACCAAACCTACTAAAAGTTGTTTGAGATACACTTCTGTCAAAAAGCTTGCACCTCCTCATCCATTTGTATTTTTCTCTATTTATATATTGTATATTTCTCTATTATATCAGTTCTCTAAATGTTGACCAGCTTCACCTGTCATAGGTTTCACGTTGCTACTTAGAATACCAAGAAGGCTGGAAAGGAAATAAATGGGCAGGTCAAGGGCCACTTTTCATGTCAGGACAGATTTCTTTCTGTAATGCTCCCTTAACAACAGATCACAATTACTGAAGGAAAAATATTTTTATCTTCCTTACAATGTCATCTAGTTTTGTTAATTTAGTTAAAACTTCTCCTGACACTTTAGACTAAACTAAACAGAAAAACATCTCTGTGCAGGAGTCTGTCAGCTCTGTAGGAGGGGAATCTTCTATAACCTGCTGGGTGTGGAAAACAATCTGACCTCTTTTATTTTCACTCCAGTGGAAGGAAAAATTCAGTAGCCACCTAAATAAGAAACTGCTGTGAGCAGTAGTGTTGCTGAAGCCACGTTTTGACTAGCTTTTTGTCTTGTCATTGGATTCTGTTGTGAAAAGGTAAGCACTCACTGAAGCTTTTTCAGGGCTTTAAGCATCTTATGCAAATTTACTGCTTCTCCAAACAGTCCCTCTCAGTGCGGACATGAATAGGGTTTTGCACACTTATTCTGTTTCTGTTCCTTAAGACTTTGAGCTAAATGGCCATCAGGCCTCAGTATCATTGTCAGTTTTTGATGTATACAAGCTCAGACTCAAAGAAGTCTCAGAAATCATTGCACAGACACATGCTACAATTACATATGCTTCATTTCCTTGTGAAAACAGTTCGAACTCAATGCATCACTGTAGTACATGCCTACAGCTCTTCTCTTGAATGCAAATACAGTCGGTTCTTTCTTAAATTTAGTGGATTAACTGGTTTTGCTACTTACAAACGACACTGCTGACCTTGCACATAATCCTATTCAATGGGATGTGGACTAAGTGACTCTGATTTTAGCTATGTGACTTCATAAACAAGTATAAGAAATATTTTACAAAACAGATACTGGGATGATTGTTATCTTCATTAATGAGAGCTCAAGAATTTTCTTTAGAAGAAAAATGAAATAAAAAAGAAGTCTATTTGAACTTAGCATAAAACATATTAATGGGATGTTGGATACAGGTATTTCAGACTTTGCAGTCATAGAGAGGAGGAAAAATAGTGTAGTGCCTTTACATTCAGTTGGTTTCAGATTTTCACAGGCTCATACATTACATTATTAATGTCTGGGGGACTTTATTTGCAACCAGAAAAACTACAAGTTTAGAATAAATCTTCACGTGTAGACCTGTACCGGCCTCAATGCTAGCTCTGTCAGATAACTCTGAAGAGGCCAATACATTCATGGGAAGTTCTACAAACAGAGTTTATCATAATTTCTGATCTTCTCCCCACACTTTTCACTGAAAAAATACCATGGGACGCTAAAGCCTTCAGATTTTTTTCCTGTGAACTTTATCAAGGATAGCTTAAATGCTGCTTTGCCAGTGAAGTATTGTTTTGTGCTGATCCATACCAGTTCAGTTCCTTAAAACACAAAAAGTAGATATTTATGATGCTTTTTATCTGTGACTAATCAATATATAATCTGTTAAATACATACTTATTCCATTTTTGTTCATTTACTTAACACAAGAAGAAAAAAAAATATTATGCTGGGAACAGGAAAAAAGCCCTATAACTAAATGGCTAATGTGTGCCTTGTGATCCAAAAAGGTTCCATGCAGGAAAGGACCATATTATGAGATGTATTTTTCTATGCAGCTGAAGGACAGAAACCTTTCTTCGTAATATAGCTACATGCAGGCATGTATCCTTGCTTCTGGCTCCATGCATTACTTATCTGCCCTCATCAAATGACCAAATATGCAGTCTCAAACAGCAGTTTGAGTGATCCAAAACATTTTTCTCTTCTCTTCCCTTCCCTTCCCTTCCCTTCCCTTCCCTTCCCTTCCCTTCCCTTCCCTTCCCTTCCCTTCCCTTCCCTTCCCTTCCCTTCCCTTCCCTTCCCTTCCCTTCCCTTCCCTTCCCTTCCCTTCCCTTCCCTTCCCTTCCCTTCCCTTCCCTTCCCTTCCCTTTTCTCTCTGATTCACAGCTACATCTCCTTTGCATTATTTCCAAGGAAATATGACAGGAACAGTATGACAACATTATAAATGCCATACAAATCAGATACTTCATTACTGCAGTTCATTATTTTAATCAGACCATAGTACATAAATGAGATTTTATGGCTACCAAAGCTAGAGTTATCAATCTATGACATTTTTGATCACTGCCTGTTAACTAAATTGCTTAGGTATATAAGGTATATAAGGTAGTTAATAATTATGGTAATTGACTGAAAATGAAATAGTAGATGATACTTTTCCCAGCTTGCTAACATTTACTTTAACAGTTCTACTATTGTTGATTACTGAACTAATACTTTTGTCTCTGCAATGTATTGCCACTCTAGAGCAGATCTGCATGGCTTGTGCACAACATGGAATAATCATTAGGTCACATCTAGAAAAGCCAACTTGTCTCTTATATTTTATTCAAGATTTGAAGTTGTATGACCAAAACAAAATGAAAAAAAAAAAACAAAAACAAAAAACAAACAAACCACAAAACAACAACAACAACAAAAAACCAACACAAAGAATATGTTATGTTTTGTACATGTATGGCCAAAAATAACTTAATTTCTTCAAGAACACATATTGAATAGCAGAAATCTCATATTTGGTGAATGTTATATTTTTAGTTCACTCAAATATTGTTTGATCCAAGAGCTGAAAAAGACAGAAAGGTAAAAGTAGCATACAGTAGTTATTCTGAACTCCGTATGCTTGACATAAAGTTGTGTTTCAGAGTTTTCTCAACGGCACGCCAAACCAAACTTGAAGGACATACTTGATTTGTCTCTGTTTCCAATATTTATAAATCCATATAACGTTATGCTTGCTTCCTTCTTCTAGAAAAACAGTTCACAAAACCTAACATTTTTGCCCTTCTGGATTGAATTTCATAAGTTACTTTCTCAAGGCTTTTGTCTTTGTGCCAACATGAAGAAAAAGTAACATCTTCAGAATTTATTGCATTTTTCTTAATTCTTATTTCAACTGAATATTTATGAAATAAAAAAGAAGTAAAACATAATAAAAAGAAAAATAAATAATTGGTTTGGCTTTGATTGCAGGCTTTACTCTTTTTTCTCTCTGAACCATCAGTCTTATTGTGAGACAATAGTGATTTCTGGTATTACCAGTTTCATTGGTGATAACCACAGGTGTGTGTTATGAAGGCCTGATAGCTACAGATGGGTCCCACCTCTCTCAAATGGGGAAACAGATCCTAGACCAGGAGCCAGCAGGGCTCATTGGGCTTTAAACTAGGTATGAAGTGGGAATGGGATGAAATGGGGCTCAATAGAGATAAACCTTGGGGAGTAATGCCAAGGACATGTTGTACATGTATATGGTACTTTGGGACATGGTTTAGTGGGTAATATTGATGGTATGGGGTTGGTTGGACCAGATGATCTTGGAGATCTTTTCCAACCTTAATGATTCTATGATTCTATGTTCAGGTTCATTCCCTGAAAGCCAAGTAAGACTTATGATGGCCCTCAGTGAACTACTCTGTACACAAAAGGCAGCAGTAACAAAGAATATTCAAGTAATAACAGCACTGTCTTGTGATAAGTTAAACCTGAAATAGTTCTGAAAATTGAGGATGAAAGATTGGTTTTAAATTGTTTTCTTGAGTCTCAAAATCTCTGTAGTTTTTTGAAAAACAAAGTAAGGTAACATTTTCAGATGCGGTGAATTATGGTAGTTCTGCTGCTTTTGGTACTGCTGTGATAATTTTATACATTATAGTAGCTACCCCCAATACCCAAACTGAGACTTTGCAAATGTAGTTTGCAAATACGGTTAATGATTGAGCCAAATTTGTTTTCATCAGTTATTTCATCGCTCTGTTGCTTAAATGCTAAGTATTTTTCATAAATATATAAATTACAATTCTACTAATCATTGTAGCTAAAAGTAGAAGGTATAGCCTTTGAAACAAATAACACGGACATAAAAAGTATCAATTCCCTTATACCCTCTCTAAGAATGTCACTTGTTCATAAAAATTAACTTCTTTGTGGGCCTGTTTAATTCCCAGTGGTCTACTTGGCAATTGCATTGCTTGATTTGGAACAACACTAAGGAACTTGTTGATACAGCCTGTGGTGTTCTGTGTAGGGTTTTTAATGTTATTTTAAAGTAAGGAAAATAATCACAAAATGAGTTTGGCTTATAGAATGTAACTGCAGAACTTCAGACTCAACAGGACAAGACATTTATCTTGGATCTGACAGTATGTCTCTTTCAATAACTGGAATTTTGTGGTTTTGTTACATGACCACATAAAACCTGAGTCACATAGATGTTAATGTATCTGGCTACGCCCTCATTTCTGGAAGGCGGACATCTACAGTGACCTGAAGTGAACTGGAGTATTCTGTTAAGTACAGAATAAAGACAGATTTTTAAAACAGAGTGCATATATATCTAGAGTTGTGTCCAAGGCAAGTGGTCTGTGCCTTCTCAAAGGGAACCAGCAGAAAGATACACATTCTGACCTGCAGAAAAAACAAACAGCATTCACCAGAAAAATCATCTGCCACTAATTTTATCCTCCCATGTTGCTTTATAACTTTTAGTAATTAATAGTAGCTGCTACTAATTAGTAGAAGTAATAGGTACTTAGTAATACTGTTCAAGGCAGCTGTCAATAACAATCTTCTAATGAAGCAGTGTTATGTATATTATATATTTGCCCAGGAAATGTGACTGGAATAAGAAGAGTTTGGGTCATTTGAAGCCTGGTATATTTCTACGTATTAGATGCAATATTCTCAACCAAACTTCAAGGACCTGACACACAGGACCAAGAGACAGGATTACAACAGATGGTAAAGTCTACCTTTACAGTTCCTCCACCCTTTACCTCCACCCAGAAATGATTCTAACAGTACAACTGTACAACAGAGGAGTTGTAAAATCAACAATTTTAGATTAAAAGGGATCCAAATAGGCCACATATCAATATATATTAAAAATAATCTCATATATATTAAGTATCAATGAATAGGTTCTAAACTCTTTCTTTTTCCTATTTTTTCATATTCCTTCATTTCAAGATGTCTTTCACAGTGAAGAGAACCACTGATTGGCTTCCAACTTGGCCATTTTCTTTTCCACAAAATATGCCACTAAGGAGTCTGAGTCAAAAAAACAAGGACTGGATAATACATGCTGTGCTAACTGCTAGAGAGCTTAAGTAGTTAACTATGAGAGCAGGGTGATGCACCAAAAGCCTATAACCCTGTATTTTGTTCTCAACTAGTGCTGTTGAAATAAATATATATGTGTATACTTTGTTTTTTAATTGAACTTACCCAGTTGTGACTACAATATTATTTTTTTTTCTGAGACTACACGATCCAAAATGCCCAGGTATGTAGAATTCATTCGAATTATGCAACCACCATGGAATCTCTATAAACATTAATACAATATGTGATAACTTTATTCCTTTCCTTTCTTCCCTCTCCCCTTCCCCCTTTTCCCTTTTCTTCCTGGACAAGATCTGCTTCTATGCTTCAATGCTCAGTCTAGTTTTGAAGCAGCTGAAGTGGTTGCTAATAGCAGAACTTCTACTATTTGATCCAGCTTTGTTTTTGTATATAACTGTGGTGGTTTTACTCAGCTGAGCATATGAACTACATCTGCTCTCTTACTTCCTCACCTCAAAGGGAAAAGGGGAGAAAATATGATGAAAAGGGCTTCAAGGGTTGAGGTAAGGACAGGGAAATCACTCAACACATCACAGGCAAAACAGACTCAGTGTAGGTAGATTAATGTAACATCCTAACAGACTAGAGTGGGGAGAACTAAAAACAGAATAAGAACACCTTTCCCTCATCCACTCTCTTCTACCTCCTCCCCCTGAGCAGCACAGGGGAATGGGGAATATGTGCTGCATTCAGTCCCTAACGCTTCATCTCCACCATTCCTTCACAGTCACACTCTTCCCCTGCTCCAGTGTGGGGTCCCTCCCACAGCATGCCATCCTTCCCAAACTGATCCTGTGTGGCCTTCCCACAGGCAGCAGCTCTTCAAGCACTGCTTTGACACGGCTCCATACCATGGGGTCCATCCATCCCCCAGGAGCAAACTGCTCCAGCACGGGTCCCCCACCGGTGGGCGGCAGCTCCCCCCAGACCCCTGCTCCTCTCCACGGGCTGCAGCTCCAGCCCGGGGCCTGCTCCTGCGGGGGCTCTCCATGGGCCACAGCCTCCTCCAGGCCACATCCACCTGCTCCACCAGGGACTCCTCCACGGACTGCAGCATGGAGATCTGCTCTACCATGGTACACTGTGGGCTGCTCCACAGCCTGCTCCGCCACAGTCCTCTCCACAGGCTGCAGGGGTGGCTATAGCACCTGGGTCACTTCCTTCACTGACTTTAGTGTCTGCAAGGCTGTTTCTCACTCCTCACTCTCTCAGCTGCTGTTGCACAGCACTATTTTTCCCTTTTTTGAATCTGCTAGATGGATTAAATTCTATAAACAATGCCAGTGTTTTCTGCGTAGGGACAAGTTAAGAAAAATGCCACATATGTATATTTATTTCCAAACCGTATTTTGATATTACTTTGAAAGCTGTTTAATATCAAAAGATTATCATTAGTTTACACAGCCCGACTTTTTAGTGGAATTATAAGTCCTTCATCCTGATCTGAGGATTGTGTCCTGAATTCTGAAATTAATCAACTTTACTGAAAGACTTTCAGCCCTTTCTTTCAGTTTATTTTCTGTTGAAAGCTGTCATATCTATTCAAGTCCACAGAAGACTTAGACATGATACAGACAATCCCATAATTCCCCATCATTTATATATTCATATAGCAAGAATACTTCTAGAGCTCACTCTCTTTAATGAACTAAACATTCTCTATTACAGAAAAGAAACAGAATGTGTCATTTCAGCTTTTGTCAATTTAGAGCTAGGGAAAGCTAAATTGAAACTATATTTGAATACTTCTGTCATATTTCTACATAATTTCCAAGAGGATCCCAAGGTGAGAAAAGAAGCAGGTTTAGAATGCCTAAACATGATTCTTCTCCACTTTTGATTTCATCTCTTTATGTTTTCATTATAAAGACAGTTGTGCTCTTGATGAGTGCTGTTAAAATTTCTTTCTAAATTTTCATTTTAAAGGTTAATGGAATGAATGAAAATACATTGCTTAGTTTTGGAATCGTATTCACTCCTGACAAAATATGTTGTAACTCTCCAAATGAAGCCCAGCAAGATATCATCTACTAAATATATCATCTAAATGCTAAATACCTCAGACAGCTTCATTTCTAAAATATAGCTACAAAATAAATTATTTTTTTCCAAGTGCACACTGCTAGACTGTTTTCTTTATATACACTGATCTAGTGGCTACCTTTCTTTTTCTAGCTTCCTACATTCCATAGGAATTTCTTTCATTCCATAAGTTTATCAATGGAGTTACTGTTTGAATTACAGTGGTGTGGATTCACAGTTTGTGAAAGACGTTTTTCTAAGTGCAGGCCTGTAAAAAAAAAAAACAACTACCAGTGCCATGTTTTAATATATATATTTTTTGCACAGCTCCACTTCATTTATCCCCAGCATGCTAAAGGTTATGAGAGGCCATAAAGAGTGAAACTATTTTAGATTCACATTTTAATAACTCTCATATTTTTATGCACAGATTTTGCAAACCATATTTAGAACCGAGAGCAGTCAGAATTCTGTGCTTATTTATCATAAATAAATATGCACATATGCATTGGACAACAAATTGTTTTCTAACACCGCTGGAGTTAGTACATAATAAAGGATTATCTGATTAAAATATAATATTATATAAAAATAATCCCTTAAAATAACTACTTCATTTATGTATCTGAAATATGAGCGTCCTGGTTGTGGCTGGGATAGAGTTAATATTCTTCATAGTGGCTGGTATGTGCCATGTTTTGGATTTAGGAGAGAGATAATGTTGGTAACACACTCATGTTCTAGTTGTTACAGAGCAGTGCTTACATTAAGCTAGAGACTTTTCAGCTTCTTGTGCTGCCCTGTCAGTGAGGAGGCTGGGGGTACACAAGAATCTGGGAGGGGACAGAGACAAGACAGCTGGCTCAAAATGGCCAAAGGGATATTTCATACCATAAGACATCATGTGTGACAATAAAAACTGGGAGTATTGGCCAGAGGGGGACAGCTGCTCAGGGACTGGCTGGGCATCAGTCAGAGAAGTAAGTCAGAGGAGGAGCAATTGTGTTGTGAAACATTTGTTTTATATATATTTATATAATTATTATTGTCATTATTGTTATTTTCCCTTCCTGTTTCTATCCTATTAAACTCTCTCTATCTCAACCCATGAATTTTTACTTGTTGTTGTTGTTACAATTCTGTCCCCTAACCCACTTGGAGTTGGTGGTGGTGGTGAGCAAACAGCTGTGTGATGCTTAGCTACCTGCCGGCTTAAATCACAACAATTAGCAAGTTTAATTTTCATTCCTTTCTCTTCAGTGCATGCAGAAGAGAAAGGAATGGTTGAGGTTGGAAGGGATCTCTGGAGGTCATCTGTTCCAACCCCGTTGCTCAAGCAGGGACACCTAAAGCAGGTTGCCATGGTTGTCCAGGAACATGTCTAAATGGCCTTTGAATATGTCAAATGAGAAAGGTTCTATAACCATTCTGTACAACCTGTGCCAGTGCTCAGTCAACCACACAGTAAAGAATTGCTTTGTGATGTTTAGACAGAACCTCTTGTGTTCCAGTCTGTGCCCATTGTCTCTTGTCCAGTCACTGGGCACCACTGAAAATAGCCTGCCTGCATCCTCTCTTTAGGTATTTATACACATTGATAAGATCTCTCCTGACCCTTGTTTTCTCCAGGCTGAACAGTCCCAGCTCTATGAGCTTCTGTAAAATCTTGCTGAAAAATCTGCAAAGTATTATTCCACACAAGTCATGATATTATGATATTTGGGCTATTTTTGCATTTAAAGCATATGCTGTTGTTTTTAAAAAACAAACAGTGAGCCTAGCAACTGTACTGCATAACTACCTGACAACAGGAAGACTGTGGAAAATGTCAGCTCACTGCTGAATGGGAAAGGTGCCCTGGTGACAAAAGACACAGAGAAGACAGGGTTGCTGAATGCCTTTTTTGTTTCAGTCTTTACTGCTAAGACCAGCCCTCAGGAATCTCAGACCCTGGAGACAAGAAAGGAAGTCTGGAGAAAGGAGGACTTTCCCTGGGTTGAGGAGGATCGGGTCAGAGATCATCTAAGCAAACATGACATCCACAAATCCATGGGCCCAGATGGAATGCACGCACGGGTGCTGAGGAAGCTGGCTGATGTTATTGCTAGACCACTCTCCATCATCTTTGAAAGGTCATGGAGGACAGGAGAGGTGTCTGAGGACTGGAAGAAAGCTAGTGTCACACCAGTCTTCAAAAAGGGCAAGGAGGACCCAGGCCAGGACAGGCCAGTCAGCTTCACATCACATCACAAACATGATGGAACAGCTCATCCTGGAGGTCATCTCCAAGCATGTGGAGGATAAGAAGGTGATCAGAAATAGTCAGAATGGATTCACCAAGGGGAAATTATGCTTAACCAATCCGATAGTCTTCTATTATGAGATGGCTAGCTGGGTAGATGAGGGGAGAGTGGTGGATATGGTCTACCTTGACTTCAGCAAGGCTTTTGACACTGTCTCCCATAACATCCTCATAGACAAGCTTGGGAAGTGTGTCCTAGATGAGTGGACAGTGAGGGGGATTGATAACTGGCTGGATGGCAGAGCTCAGAGGGTTGTGCTTAGTGATGAAGAGTCTAGTTGGAGGCCCATAGCTAGTGGTGTCCCCCAGGGGTCCAGTGTTGTTCTATTTATTTATCAATGACATGGACAATGGAATGGAGTCCACCCTCATCGGTTTTGCTGATGACACAAAGTTCAGAGGAGTGGCTGATACCAGAGGGCTGTGCAGCCATTCAGAGGGGTCTCAACAGGCTGGAGGGTTGGGCTAAGAGGAACCTCATGTGGTTCAACAAGGGCAAGTGCAGGATCCTGCAGCTCAGTAGGAATAACTCATAACATTAGCTCTCAGTTCTGCATTTCACATTTCCAATATAAATCACCTAAGAGAGATGGAGAGAAGTAAACTTACATACTTCTGGTTGTCTTCATGCTTAGTTTTACCTAGCCACAAGGAATCATTTAGTTGGCAAGCTTAATGAGTTAAATTTTTATTACAGATAATAGAAATAGAAAAAAACTTGAGACTGATCAAATCTAGGTCACTTTTGATGTTTATAAAGTTCATAATTTAAGACTTTTTTTTTTTCTACTTTCTTACATAAAACCTAAACTTTCATCAGAACTTCTGAAAAGAGAATTTTGCACCAAAATTTTGCTTTACAGCTGTTATATTCAATACTAGCAGTTCTTATAAGGATCCTAGTCATTTCAAGAATCTGTGTTTACCACACTAGGAAATCTGTATTTATCTATGAAACTCATAGCAACTTTTAAATGGTATTGAAAGTCAAGCCAAAAAACATCTTTCAAACAGCGACTTGATCCCAGTGTCTACTAAATATTGGCAACCTTTGAATTTGGATAGAAACAGAAAATATATGATTGCCGGATGCAAGGTCAGGTTTCTCAGGCAGATTAAAGAGCTGCAGTTTGCATTTGTAAGAGGAAAACAAGAAAAAACAAAGCTCACCCTGAGTTGACACCAAACAGTGTATGTCAGCCAACAAAAAAAGGCTTTTTAAAGTATGTCAACAGCAAGAGGAAGTCTAAGTAAAATATTGGACTAGTACTTGATAGATGGTCACCTAACAAGTAGGGGTGAGGAAAAGGCAGAGGCATTTGATGCCTTTTTTAACCTCAGTTTTTAATATTAACAGTAGATCTTGGGCCCAGACTTCTTTTTGGTAGAACCATGACTGGGGGAGCAGCAACTTTTCCCTTGTGGTCAACAAAATTGTAAGGTATCAGTTCTATCAGTTGAATCTATCAGACCCAGGGAACTACAGACCGGTGAGCCTCA